CGGCTGCGAATACCGGAACTCTAACAAACTTTAATTTTTTACAATCGACGGAATTGACTGCTCTGAAGAGAGCTCGTTTCAATCGCGAAAGCGCTCGACCAATAATTACGAATTTACGTAATTCGTAACTTCGCTTCCGTAACTCGAAATAATTCCGTAATTCCGTAAATCCGTAAATTACGTGCAAGCCTATTAACAACTGTTGGCTGCAAACCTATTTTAACAAAAGACACCTGAAACTTGCACTTTAGGAACGATAATAAAAGATTCCCATTTATTCTTCACAAATTTTCTAAATTACCAACAATTAGGGTTCCACAAGTGTGGACACTATGAATAAAATTACGGTAAAAGTCAGGATTGTTGAAATACATATCCGAATGGGATTTCAGCTATTTTTAGTAATCAAAACTCATGTAAAGCTAAAAAGCGAACATTTCAAAGAGTAAAACGTAAATTCTGACCTCCGCAGTTGACTCGTTGTCCATTTACTTCATACCATTCTCTACAATCACAATAAGATGATTTACATTCAGCATATGGATAAGCTGGGCAATTTGACCGATAACATAGAGGTACAATTCCACAATTCCTTGGTTCACACAGCTGTTCTGCTCAAGTGTAATCAGAAAAAAATACGATGCTAGTTTTGGAATGCGAGATCAGCAAGCTACGGAATATGGTGCCATAAAAAGGATTAATAAATACGAAACAATGTTTTGACACAATAAATGAGTCTTTAGCCTACGCAATATAGGGTCGGTAACACCGATACTCATATGGACAAATACTATTTGCGAAAGACCAAGACCGACGTGTCAATTAAAAATAAAACAGAGCAGCTAGGAAATACGAATAACGGATAAACCAAAATATCAAACTTTGTTTGTGTTGTTGTACAGTACTTGATATATGTCTAAATATTTGACATCTAAGTGTGTTTGATATAAGCAGCAGGTTTAAATTCTCTTTAAGTATATATGTCACGATAACAACTCCATACGACAGTTGTTATGTGAATAGCCGTAGCCAGTGGACAATCCACACATAATTCCACACACACATGTTCCACACTTTTCAATAAATTTTTATACCAAAGCAATTGAGGATGTACCAGGCTTACGTCTTTTGAATTAGCTAATCAATTACCGTTATTGTAAGCCTTCTATCTCTGACGACTACTCGGCTGTTAGCGGTCCCGGAATTTACAAATATTATAAGACAAAATTGTAAATAATAGATAATCTTACCATTGCAGTTAACAGACTGTCCGTTTACTTCGTAATTTTCTGTACAGTCGCAATATGACGGTTTACATACCGCATTTGGATATGCTGGGCAATTAGGATTGTAACAGAGAGGTACAAATCCACAGTTGCGTGGATTACAGCCAACAGGTGTATCTTCATGAATGTGCAACAAAAATATTTCCTCGATTAGTAAAATGTAATGTAGGTGTTTGCATAATCAAATGTAATGGCATAACAAAAATGAAACTGGATTCACTGGGGCTGTTACTAAGTAACCAGATGCCGGCACAGATTGAAACGTCGTGTTCAAATCAGTTTAGACGTAATAATATACTAAGAGTTGGAAACGGCAGTATTAATAAACTGAAGTATGGAATGCTTCAAGCGCACATTGAATATGGGCGAGCAAACAAGCGCAGTTAGGGATTTCTTATATTATAATAAGTATGAACTTATTATCCATATTTTGCAAAATCGAATCGCAAAATCCTATTAGCAGCTATGGGAATGTGCATACTCGGTTGTCGTAACTATTGACGTCATCCGCATAGCATTGTAATAAAACAAGTAGGCTACAACGTTACTTACTACTTTCGCAAGTAGGAGCTTTCGGTGTCCACCTAAGTCCTGGCGAACCACCAGATAATGGACCAAGGATATCGAAAGTGCATGTTCTTTTTGGTATTCCTTTCATAGTGTAACCGGAATCGCATGTATATGTGATGCTTGAATCCAGGGTATAAAACGTCCTGGTTCCTGAATGCCTTCCGTTAGATATTGGGGCAGGGTTTGAACAAAAAATCTGAGAAGAGCCGGTATTTTGATTTTGATTATTGTCTGGAGATCCTATGGTAATAACACGAATATTACCGACATTTTGACCAGAAAGCAAGTCGCTCAAAGATGAAATCGTTCCTAAATTGTTATTCGTACAATACTCGTCGAAATCCTTACAGCAGAATGCACTTTTACAATTCTTTATGCAGGCACAAGGGAGGCCCACTACACCACATCTTTTATTGCAGGAACCTAAAAAATAATTTACACGTGAATGTTTGAAGAGAAAAATTAGTTTTAATAAAACTAGACCAAAAATGTTCGTTTCATGACAATGTTACGGCAAGTATGGGAATCGATTTTTTTTCAAACCCCCGAGTTGGGAATCAGAGAACAAATTTTGTTTGAAGCATTTGTTTTGTTCTACTAAACAATGTTTGAACAATTCAAGACACTCATGCATGCAGACGAATGCAAAGTCGTATTGTTTCTTGAGACGTTCAGGTAGCATATTATTCCTACTTACCAAATTCCGCTAAATTGAATTGGCCTTCACAAACACCACAAATGATTGCTACAACTACAAAAACGGTTTTCATATTTTCTGACGTGAAGTTATGATACTCGATGTGAATTAAGGATAGTCAAATCTTTCACCACTTCAGCTCTATCTAACATCTGATAAAAAAAAATATACGAATATTGGACTTCTAGTAAATACCCCTAAATTAGTAATTTTTTTTATATTTATTACGATCTCGATTCTAGCCTAGTTAGCAATTAAACAACATTATATAATTGCCCATGCTCGTAAAGATCAAACTATACGGTACAATGAATTTGCACTTCAGTTATTTTTATCTTTCATTTTCTTGCTGCTGCATCTCAAGTTATCATAATTTGAATTAGATTTAGCAAAGATAATCCAAGGTCGTAAAGACTTGTTGTTATATACCAACTGCTTTCTGCACCCGCGGCTATTTTATAAAACGAAATTTTTTAGGTTTGCGGTAAACATTTAAGTCTAATTAAGTGAAAAATAGAGCCATTGAAATATCTTCAAACGATTAATACACTTTGTAGAATTTTATAATATTTTGTGGCTTGTCGTTTGAAGCCTTTTCAGAGAGAAACGACATTGCGAATGGGATCTCTTTTACGCCATCATTCAATATGTAAAATTAGTTGACTGAACTAAGTCGAATGACACTGGACGACCATGTGCTTCCTCTCAAATAGAAAGGGTATTATTGTGTCACGTTTTCTGGATACTATGACATTTGATTAGACCCTTGAATTTTGTAACTTGTTTTTAAACTGATGTTATCACCGAGCAGACTGAAAAAGTGCACCTCGACAATTGCCTTGAGTGTAGTGCAACAATCAATAACAATCCACCAATTGGATATGATATCATCGCTCAGGTATTATTGGACATGGAGGAGGCATATTCACATATCACCGTAGAGTTTAACGGCGTATAAGAAGGGCAACATTGTCAAGACTCTGCCTCGTGATGACCTCTCTGACCTCTGCCTACAACTTAAACTTTCCTTCCTTCTTCGAGTGTATGTTGACAAAAAGATGCAGAGAAAAAAAGTTGGTCACAATTTGCTTTTACCAACGTTATCTGAAATAAAACCCCAGATTTCAGGTCCAAGTTTTCTACACTGTATTATTTGAGCCTTCGGATGGGCCTAAGTGCTGAAATGTTCAACGGGTAAAAGAATCAAATCACATATTTTTCATGTGTTTCACAGTCTCACTAAAATGTTGGTTTAGATTTAGAAGTAATGATGAAATCTGAGTTTGTGCAAAAAGCAAAGTCAAACAACAAGCTCAAATGAAAACGTTCTATTTCTGTTGATGTTTCGAATTGTACATTCACCTTCCCCTTCGCCACGCTAATTTCTATTAAGAACCTGGGAACAGGAAATATTCTTATCACATAGCAAGGCAGTGCAGGCTTTATTGATTTCCCACGTCTTTGAGACTTTCATTGGGTGCTCATCACGTATACCACGGGCAGGAATTACTGCTAAAAATGTGTACCACAAATTTGAGTAAACTTCTAAAGGAATTAGATTGACGCTGACAGTTAAGTGGACTCTTGGAACGAGTTGTGGGTTTTGTGTACATGAGAAATCATGCTCACGAAAAAAAAATTTAAAAAAAAATTACCGCCTCATCAGTAACGTTTCTTCACCACTACTCATGACTTGAATCTCCTCCGCGGTCGCCGAATGTGAAGGACATGTGGGGTACGAACCCACAAACTAATCACCGAACACCCCATAGAAGTTTGAGTCATCCTAATTGTTTAGTATAAATTTATACATGTTAAAAACAAAAAGATCGGCTTTGTATTTTTCATGCAATACAAATACCACACTTTCTAAAGTTAATTAGCGTTCTGTCTGCATTTATGTATCCAAGAATCATTCGAAAGCTCATAGATTATCCAACAATTTTGTAACCAAATAATTTTTTCCGCGTTCTTTCAAGATGGCTTGAATCTGAACCATATTTCTTCGCTTTCTTTGGCTATGAGGTAGCGTAATACAAAATCACTGTTTATTATTACTGGTAATTTTGTTTGTGAAGAGAGATTGAAGTAATTTTTCGGCCAACGATTCATTTTTTTCGAATAATCCTTCACAACATCCTCTTTTTAGAATTTTTCCCTTTTCTTCAGTGATGTGATAAGTGCGTCAACAAACGACCTGCATTCTCCAACAACGCTTTTTTTTATCACCTCTAGCGCTCGAAAAGAACATTTCAATTCTGCTGGGTCAGTTTTACCGAGTAGATTCAATATTATTGCTCGACTGATCGGATTTCTTCTTATCAACTTCTTTTTCAATAACTCCTTCAAACTTAGCACTCAGACCCTCTGGTTTAAAAGCTTTCAATAGTCTTCACATGTATATTACCAAGTCTTTTGCACACGACCATCCAATTGAATTTTTGATTCGAACAATAACTTCCATTTCACTGATCTTATGGTCGGTGTATTCCGCTGATTTTCAGACAGTTTCAATTGGGGTGGGACCCAAGCTCGCCTAACTTTCAAGCTTGTTGATTACCAATATTCCAAGTCTCCGTCACGCCACTCGGTCCGTGATTGGTTTCAGAAATCTGTACAATACCTTTTATCGGCATCATAAACTAGGGCGTGTTTTGTTTTTTTCACGACTTCCTTAATCACATGCTTTTTAAATGCTGCCTTCATGCTGGTAATGGAGTCAAATAGTCTGCCGATACAAACTTTTTTCAAACTCGACACGACAGTCAATCGTTTTTTTAACTATCGTAGTCTATTTAGTTATTGAGCCCCACACAAACAGTAAACACTCCAGTAATATATACGTCACACTATATGTATTTTTCTGCGCTGGATTATATCATGCAAGACATTAGTGTGTTAGAGCGAAGCACTGATATAATGTTCAAAAAGGATAGACGGATTGTAATATACAAAGCAAATTTTTGTAATAGCGACCGATTCGACAAACGAAAATAGTAAAACTATGACATGGATGATGTAATGAAGCACGTTACAGACGATGACCAATAATTAATAAACAGGAATCACACCAAATACAACACAAAAGATAGAAAAACATGTCATGAAATGAGAAAGATGATTTTTTTTTTGTATCAAATTTATTATTATGACGTCACATTACAATTTTTGTTACGAGAAATGAGTGATTTTTCATCAAGATAGATAATTAAATGTACTATTTTTGATCACAAAAGCAGGAAAAGTATACTTATTTTCCTATTATAATATGTATAGGTTAACCAATTTCAAAAAATTCACTTGATTCGCAAAATATATAAATATATACAAATATAAACTCTTAGCCGTATATTTTTCCAATATATTGTAGCGCTGTATATTTGGGAACATAAAATTGATTTGCGTGTTCTGGGATCAAAAAGTCAACTGACAAAAAAAGGTTGATAAATTTAGAAATATCATATTAGCTCAGCAAGTGGATATATTTAAAACTGACAGAGATAATTTTCTAATTCGCCAAGAGTAGGTGGTTCCCAAATATTTCAGGATGACTGGGAACGGAATACCGAATGGGCGTTTACCAATTTAGTTTCATACGAAACTTTTTTATTGTAAGCTGCCCACAAACCTTGAAGGTCTAAAAATATCAAAATGATTCTAAGTTCTAGAGTTGTAAAATCTTTTATTGTGCAAAGACACCAAACAGCATATACCACCTCACTTTATGTAATGATCATGTGTTGCCAAGCATGATTCATTATAGAGAAAAGACACATAATCGGGCGTGATCTGACGATAAAAGTCTAGACCAATAGCTAGCCATAAAGAAAATTGGGAAAATTCCTTAATGTAATGTTTCACGAAATTTTCACATGGAAGGGGCTTCCTGGTATGTGCTCCTCGCCCCATTTCACAATTAATGTATATTCGCCAGGTTCTTTTGCAGTGTATGTGACTGTGTAGCGTCGATTTCCGATATGTTTCACATAGACTTCTTCGCATGGTGTAAGTGGTCCATGCACTCCGACCAACAGCATATTTGAGCCTGAAATATTGAGAAATTTGTTTGTCAAAGCTCGTTCAAAACACAAACTTATTAATAAAAAAAAACTGCAAACAGATGGTTCCGAACCAACTGCTGTAGGGTAATATTCGCTCCAAATAAGACTAAGGAAAAACTTTCCAATTAATAACATACTTTCAAGAATACTTGAAATTTATATTAATGAATATTAGCCTTTTTAAATAGAAGATTATCAATTTATCCAGGAAAATCTGGTTTGAAATATTCATTGAGGTAATTTTTTATGAAGAAAAGTCTTACCAGCTAAAGAACAATCGACAGTAAATGTATTGTTGTCTCCGATTATACCTCGTCTCAATCCTTTTCCATATGAATTGACTTGTGTTGCATCAGACTGTTGAAAATAAAGTAATGAAAATTATTTGTCAGTGTTAGTTACTAAATCATATTTGTACCAAACAAATTTAACAATGCATTTGCTATCTTCTTCTGTAGTCAACAATATATAATATAATATCATAATAATATACAATAATATTTGTATTACATATGGTCGACCAATCATTTACACTTTTGCTCTAGTTTACAAAGCAGTATTGGCCAGAATTTCTTAAACCCAGAGACGGGAGTCAAGGCGAGGCGCATACCATTCAAGTCTCAAACCAAAGTCAGACCACACCCAGTGGAGGTTTACTCGATGACTCAGGTCCCGAGTCATTTTATTTATGTGACACAAGTTTCAGTAAATGGTGACTCAAGTCAAGTAAATGATTTATGGCTCCCAGCATTGCAATGAAGTACTAAAATACGAGATCACAAGGAGTTCCGGATATCAACAGGACAGGCACTATGAACTTCTAAAAAATGATATAAAGTATTAATATACCTTCATTCTGGGAGACGTAGGTGCACTACCGACACCTTTTACTTCAACGGGGAACGGACTTCCAGGAATATGTTCATCATTGAATTTCACAGATACCTCATAATCACCTGTTAAAATAAAAGTAAATGATTTGCCAGAAACAAGATCCACATACAGATTACAAGTCATCCTCTGGATTAATTAAATGCATTATTGCTTTTTTTATATAAAATGCTCTATTTGAGATTACAAGTAACTCCGCAGCTTGTAAGGTAGCTGAATATTATTGTGAGGGAATATCACCAGCATTATAATGGAAACATTCATATATGATTGATCGCGACTGCTGGAAGTCAGTGAGTAGTATGCTAGTACATAGCTAATGGGTGAGTAGTATGGCATGATGTGCTTTCAGTAAATCATTATGGGAATCTCCAGACTACTTATATTTTGATGCATTAATCTTTTCTGTTCAATTTTAGGACTAGAATAATACATTTAAAATTAACGATATGCAAAAAGAAATATCTTCTTCATAAACTAACTTGTGACATCTTTTGTCAAATTAAAAAATATATACTCAATAAATCATAACGTACCAGGTTCAGTAGCGATGTATGAAACACCACATGATCCATCTTTACGATCTTCAAAATTGATTTCTGCTTTCGAAGGACCTTCAACTGCAATGGATAATCCCCTGCACCAGCTTCACGAGTCCAGATGTTAAAGTCAGCTGTGTATAACAAAACAGACGCTGTTACAATATCTCATTAAAAGTTTTAAAGATGTATATACAAATATTGTGGACAAAATTTGGCTCTCATATAATATTGGTTTTCTTACACATACTCGCTGAAAAATAAACATGACCCATATCTGAGAAAAGTTACAAGCAAATTCTAAGAGCGTCTGAAACTATAGAGACAAATTCCACAAAAATGAAATGCTTGAAAAAATTTTTGCATAAACATTCAAGACTTTCTTGAGAGTACACTAATAGTGAAGAGCTAAAACCAACAGAGAAGAACTGCCGGAAATATTTGAGAATGTTTTGTTATGTCACAATCACTCGAATATCCACAACTTGAGTATTTCAAACTATACTGACCACACCATATATATGACTTATGATATACTGCCAGTCTTTGGTGTTTTTTAAAGCCTATAAACATCATACCTGGTATATTAACTTGTGCAGATTCCAATCCAGGACCACCGGCTGTGACTTTGCCAGCTCCACCAGCTCCAAGAGGACCAACTGTAAATTGGAATGGACTTCCTGGTACATGTTCATCAAGATACTTAACACTGACTGTATGGACTCCCATTTCCTGTAAATGACAACAGAACAGGTTTAATAAAGTAAAGCCAGTAACAATAGACCTAGCTTAAAGGCATCACCACAGTAAATTCAAATTTTGTGAATTTCATTCGAGGTGGATATTTATACATGAAGCTGAGAGAAAGCGTTCACTGTAGCTTCATAATATAAATAGACGTTTAGAATTCCTAGAATCTCTATTATTTCAAAATATTCAATTTTTGCATGGGACATTTTGAATTTATTATAAAATAATATCTCCCGTCACAAGTACAACACGCTTATTGAAATTCAACCATCCACATTATTTTGCTATACCATGAGACTAGATCTTGTAGAAGTTTATAATATTTGAACTTTTTGCAAGATTCAATCTTCATCGAAATATATTTCTTAATATGGAGGTGGAATATCCCCCCCCCCAACTTTATGTTGATATATAATTTTGTTGTTAACTAAAAAAATTATCAATGATTACCAAACCTAATCTTTAGCGTTTTACGTTACCTTGGGGATGAATCGAATACTGTATGTGTTATCTCCACTTTCAAATATTTGAGCCTTTTCTACTTCTCCTGATGGATTTTCTACTGTCGCAGTCAAGTCACGAATATTGGCTTCTGTAATCATGAAAATGAACATAAATGAATGAAAAACCCATATCACAAATATGCTCCTAATATTCAATTCAATACCGAATTTTCAACCAAGGCTTAACTAAGATGCCAGTTTCATCTCAGTGGCCAAACAAAACATCAGTCTGAATAGTTAGAGAATGGAAGAAACTCAGAGAGAAGATTATTAGAAAAGTAGGAAGGAGGTAAAACAAGAAAGAGAAAGAAGACAGACCTTTCAATTTTCCAGTGTGTTGAAAAGTACCAAAATCAGACCGATGACTAAAGACAGGAACGAAGGATGATGCTTTTTTACCCTGCCCGTCTTCTGCTCCATATGACCTCGATTCCTGCATGACCGTTTGTTGACCGAGGCTACCTACACTAGACTTTGTATAACTTGTATGTTCAGATCTACTATAAGATTGTCGGTACGCAGACGATGAACTCCCCACAGCCACAGTTCCAGATGAAGCACTTTGCCAGTAGTTGTCTGATTTTATAGATGGAAGGAAAGAATGAAAGATAAAGAAGAAAGTGAGAATTTGAAAAAAGAATATTGAATTGCAGGAAAAGATATAAATAAGACAGGTAAGTCTTTCGAGTTCCAAACAGTTCGGAATTTGAATTTCAAATACAATTTAGAGGAAACAAGAATTTAATAAAAATTGAATGTATTTACTTGGTATTTTTAAGTTGAGATCACATGAACTGCCACACAGTTGCAATAGATGGTGCTTTCCTGTGTCTAACAATACTTTCCGAGTGTGTTCCTTCACTATAAAAAATACCTTATGACAGGTTATCAAGAAATTGAAAATGAATGCTCATAAAATATGAAGTAGCAAAAATCATTGTTGATGATCATGAACAGTTTCTAATAGCACATATTCTTTGGATATTAGGTAGGAAGCCTGTTTTCAATTTTTATCCTGGAGGTAAGGTACCGGTAAGGATGGACTTAAATCATATGGTGAATTGCTCATATCGGGTTACCGAGTCCACGTTGGGCATGGGAATACTTCTTCACCAGTTGTTCACATGCCAGAGCTTGTTGAAACCACGTAACTAGTCAGCGGTTACGCAAACCATGCTACGACAGTGAGGAGTCCAGCAATCCTCTTGCACTTAATCATTCCCCCGGAACTCAAAGCAGCAAAACCAACGCATGATAATCAGGATGTGATGAGCTGATGGCAAAGCATACCTAATGCTTGTCACGATGAGATGTAGTGCAGAAATTAATACCTGTACATCTGACGGTAAATGGTGATCCTGGCACATGACTTTCAAGCAAATTTGACATTGATACTGTAGTTTCCTGGTTCTTGTGGTGTGTAGGTAACTCTGCAAACTCCATCCTTTCTGATCATTGACAATCTATATCTACTTTACTTGGACCTTCAATAGACAAACCCAATCCTCCATATCCTGGAAAACAAACATAAATCTCAGTATAATTTGCATTTCATCTCAGAAGGGAAAACAAAAACATGTCTCAAACAACATGATTGGATGACCCAGCACTTTCTTAATGTGAACTGAAAAATTAAACTTGTTGTCCATATGGAATTCAACAGTCCTCTATGGAACAGAGGCCATTCGAATGGCATATTAGACAATATATTAATCTTTATTTTCAACCGGAATTGAATCCAATTTTGGGACTGACGCTAAGCTAAAATTAGAAGTAAAAACGAGTTCTAATATTCTGTAACATGATATATGGGGCAGCGCAGTGGCCTAGCGATTAAAGTGTCAGACTCGACAGTGTTGGCATCACTGATTCAAATCCAATTTCCCTGCCTCACCCAGGGTGTAATTACTTTTGCCGTTTTGAAAATGATGTGTAATCAACCCTCACCTGCTTGTCGAGTATCAACAAAGAATTCAGCTAATTCGTGAGATCTTGCTCTCTCAATTCCACTACCCATATACGAGTACTTTGCTTGCATCACCAATTTCAGATTTTCCGACCATAATTCTGAAAGGACTATTGGCGACATCTCTACCTCGTTTCTTCACATGAAACCAAATGTTCACCAACTTCATGAGGTGTGAAAGAAATTCCTGTTTCGAAAACAAGATCCATATATTAGAAGCTTATATCAACTAACAAGTGACAGAAACACAACCCAGGTCATTTGTAACATGTACCGGTAACCCCCTTTCAATATCATGAGTCATAAAAATCTCACCAATATGCCCGTTAGGCATGTGTTTGAGTTGACAATCTTCCTCTCTACCACTTGGTGATATGATACTTGCGGTGAGAAGGCTCAAATCCGTTTCGTTAATCTTCAATGCAATGTCACTCATAGCACCATAAACAACTTTTCCAGAGTGTGGTTTTGTACCATCTATGTGAAAAAGACAAGAGACCATTAGGTAATAGTAAATGTATTATTTAATACAAAGTAACAGTAAAACTTACATCACACAATTTCGAACAAATAAAATAGGTTTTTTGAAAAAGTATGTACCTGTGATATTAGCGGTAAATGGACTTCCACGAATGTGTTCATCGTCAATTTAACAGCAATGCTGTATTCACCGGGAGCAGTTGGTACATAAGAGACTGAGCAAGTTCCGTCTTTGTTATCTACACATTTGATTTCTGCCTTAGAAGGACCTTCAACAGCAAGTGCCAATCCACCTGTGGAAAATCAAAATAGGATAATTAAAAAACAATTGAAAGACGAACGCATTATCATGCTAATATTGCCTACCTGATAGAAATGTTAGAATAAATGAGAAATGTTAAAATAATTTTAATTTTTAGAAAAATTCCTATACACTGGCTCTGGCTGGATGAAATACAGAATGATCAAACAAAAACGGAACCTAGGACATTAGGTCAACTATTCCAGAGAAAACATAACTTTTGTGCAAAGCCTAGATTACTGAAATTTTTGGGTGCAATCATACACAAAAGTTCTAGTGCTAGATAATTTTTTTTTAATTGATAGACTGAGACTAAATACAATACCTTGTCCAGCATCTTTTGTTACAATTGTGAAATTTGCAGGCTTGTTGACTCTTCCTGTTACAAGTCCTGGACCATGAGCAGTTACATGTCCTGGTGCAATAGCATCAACATAGAATTGTACTGGACTTCCTATAAAGAAAATGAAGAGGCGATAATCACAAATTCATGATTTTGTGCAATAACAAAACAAGACATATATAGTCAAAAGTATATAGTTCAAAAACATACCTGGTATGTGTTCTTTGTTGAACAAAATGTCCATCTCATGAAGACCTGATTCCGTTGGTAGATAGCTTATAGACACAGTTCCATCTCCATTATCAATAATTTTCGGTTCAGATGTTTTACCGGATGGCATTCGAACAACACCTATAAAAATGAATAATGAATTAATCATAAATGTCTTTACAAACAAAAACAATAGAATAAAGCAATTTGGAAAATGAAGAAATGAAAATAAATAAACACAATCAGTAAAACTAGTATTTATGAAATTTAAAATTAGAATTACCAAAATTGTGATCTGTGATTTGATGAATTGTTTTAAAAGAAACAACTAATTTATGAAACTTTTTAAATGTGACTGAATTACAACAAGACAGTGGCATCTGCAAACTTACTTGTTAATTCTCCTGGAGTCTGTGGTACTTCGAACACAAAGTCTACTCCTCGTAATATATCGCTTTCATCCAATGCCTGTGTTTATTAAATAATGTAAATTCATATCAAATATTCATGAAATGATCCATAAATGATTATATAATAAATTTCAATTTATATCGTGACTGAAAAGCCCACACATGCATTTCCAAAGCAACTAAGCACGAATATCTCACATAAAATGCGAAAAGCATAAAATTTAATACAACTTTCCTGGTAAAACATGCATAAACAAGACCCTTCAAAACATTCATCTGCAATTTAATAAATTTAGTACTAAACGATATTGAATGGCACCAGTGTTTAGCTATATGAAATATGGGATGGTTACAAGAGTGGATATTAATATTGACATTAGTATTAGTTCAAAACATGTTATTTTTCTATCAGTTTTATGGATAGTTATATTGATAATATAATATAAATAATGAAAACACACACACATACTGCAGAAAACTACATGATAACCCACATCCATATGTAAGGGATAACAAACTAAATATAAAGTAGTCGAACACCATATTAGGATATTATTGAATGCATATTTTTTCACATCTCTTCAATGTATCCGTATCAGTCATATTTGATAATGGACAACCAAAGCCCTATATCAATAACTCTTAACAATTGACAACACTTATTCAATTTTCCAGATACGTGTGTTGTCTTTACCTGCTCTAAAGCATCTAAACCATTTCCATTCATGTATGCATGAGCTGGTGCAGCATCTACTGCTTCAATCCTATCTTCCTCAATCATGCGTTGTTGTTCTTCAGGCTCATCAACCGCCTTCATCACCAAATGCCAAAACAATGCCAGCAAGCATGTAAGGACATCATGTGAGTGTTTCAACATGCAGGTAAAATACAAGCAAAAATGCGATATAGCATGCCATTAGAACACCATGAATTGTAATAAACAATGGAGAATTCTAAAGAGGTTGACCTAACCACTCTAACATCATGATATTTGTTTCAACTGTTAACACACAGTTTAATCCGAACGAAGCTAAACTAAAGAGTCGTAGGAGATATGACACTACTATATTTAACAACAATAATCTCTAATCTATATATGATGCCAACATGATCAGTGCAAACAACCATTCAATTAAATTTAAAATAACATTTTTTTCTCAATTGTTTTAAAAGTATATCACCCTATATAATTTCCTTTCAAATTATTTTGATAAAAATTTGTAATATATTGCCAAGCATGTAAAAATTTCTATAAGCAATACATTTAATTGAAGATAAGAAATGAAAAGAAAGTCTGTTTAAAATATTCAAATCTAACATTATTTTCATATTAACTAATAACTACACAGTAATTGTCAAAACATCTTAATACAACTCGAGGCAAGGTCTTATTCAGTCACAATACCTCTCTACACCTAGTAAACTGTTGTTACCTACAATCCGAATCAAATGATAATATATTACTATGACCATATGTTATAAGAAATATTTATAGTGTTCACTGTTTACCTATCGTGTTGATTGTTGTCACAGACCCACCCAGATTTACGAAGCAGAGTTTAAAATTAAGGTTGTAAATTTTTTATGGTCAACATAAGCGAATTGTTTTTCCTATTTATTACCCCATTTTTATGTAAAGGATCAATTCTGAATTCACTGTTATTTTTTAAACTGATTACACGAACCTATTCTATAACCTAAATTCAAATTGATCCAAAATCTGATTTTCTGAAATTTGTGAAGAGTCAGTGTTCCATATTAATGTTCTATTCTACATTATTGTTATTAAATGTTACAGGTTTGAGTACACAACACTTTGTACATGATTATTTTATACACAACTACTGTATGTTTGAATCACACTTATTTAAAGATTAATACTATATGGCTCGGTTCCAAAAACAATATGAACATTTGACATTGACATAAAAGCTAAGCCTTAACTTGAATGACACCATAAAAAGCAATTCACCAAATACAGTATCACAAAATGAGGTAGCAAAAATACAAAATATCAAGAGCACATACCTTAACACTGAAAGGACTGTCTGGAATATTTTCTCCACCGAAGCGCAAGTTGATGGCGTATGGTCCAGGCTTGGGTGGTGTGTAAAACACATCGAAAGTTTTATCCTTGTTTTCAACCACTTCAACATCTAACAATCCATCATCAGGTGTATTGATCGAACAATTCACTTTACCAGGACCAGCTTTGCTTGCATCAACAGATATAACTGCCTCCTTGCCAACTGGAACTGTTGGGCCAAGTCCATCACCTAATGAATAATATAGGGATATGAATTGAGGACAGTTATTTGATGTAAACTAGAAATATCTTGGACACAAATTGGATCTATGAATAGTTTTGCTAGGCTGTTGTTTTTGAGAAAAATCAATGGATCATTCAGTATTTTAGTACATAAAGTTGAAAAAGTTGCAAAAAATCTATTATCGGTGGTTTCTCACTTTTTTTTCAAATTTTTTCTACAGGTTCAAGTTCTGTGGGGCCCAATATTTCACCCTGAATTAGGCTGGTTGCTAAAATTCGCAGGTATTCACAAAAAGCCTCTAAACATTTTGATAACCATTTGATCATTATATTGGAGTACTGCCTTCTTGTTATTTAAATATAACATTAGTGAGCGCGTAATAAAATTCGGAAACAAACTCAGATTTACAATACATCAACCTCCAGAGAAAAAAAGAGAAGGAAAAGAAAAAAGGGACTAAAGAAAGATCGAAAAAGGAGAAATATAGCAAAAGAGAACTTACATCGCTTGCCTCCCACGATCACTTTTGTGATGATTAAAGTTGGAAAGAGAGAAAGAGAAAAGAAATTTAATACAAATGAAGGTAAAGATCAAAATCAAATTAAAAATGAAGAAAGACAGACATACTTAACATGAATATACAATTTTAATATTTTGTAACAGAATTTTAGGTGACAAGCTATTCAGATGTGATTGTCCATATGTCATATAATAAGTAATACTGTCAATGCATACCTGATATCACACATTTGCCTGCTTCACCCATTGGAGTAGCACGAATTCTGTATGGAGAATATGGCACTTCATCACCTCCATATTTGACAGATATTGTGTATCTGCCAGTCATGTCCGGTACATAAGATACATTGTAAGTTCCATCGTTGTTGTCAACAATTTTAGCTTTTTTCGGGTAACCTTCTGGATCCTGTAAAATTATGATATAAATGATAAATAACAGTCCCAAGGCATATAAAACACTATAATATTTGAAAAGGTAGCAGAATTGTTCTCAATTCCAATGAAAGATATGTATTTTATTTTATTGCTAAATTTCATCATATTAGTCACAAAGTAGAATTTTATGGTAAGTGAATTCTGGTTTACATGGTCATCATCTTTCAAAAGTTTACCTGCATTTATTCACATACTAGTTTTTCATTATAGTTATAAAATTACATGAAACTAAAACACATAGGCTTGGGCATCCACCTTACTAAGAGTGTATAATTGTTACAAAATGCTTAGATTGACTGTAAAAGAAATTATCCTAGTTTATCCAATAATATGTTCAGGTCTTTCCACATCATTATGCGAGAACATCACTTCCAGAGAAAACAAATTTGAAACTTGATATAAATATAAAAAGTAGATATAAAAAACTTCGAGAAAGCATTTAATAAGCATTATTACACATAATTATCTGTAAATTACAGTTCTACAAGACAACAAACATGCAATTGCTACAAAGTAGAGAAAACAGATGAAATTGGATTTACATAGAAATCAACGAAAACTAAGCAGCAGATTTTTAATTATAATTTAACAAACATGCATTTAAAATGTCAATCAAAACGTTTTCTAAATTTAATTTGATTGGAAAAGTAAGCTGAAAATAAGTAACATAGTTGGTACTATATTAAATAAAACGACGGTAATTTAGCTGCATAATTATTTAGAAGCAAATTAGAAAGCCCTGCAAGAAAAGAAAATAACTACGGAAGCTGAAGAAAAGAAAAGACACAATATTTCAATAATGTATAAGGGTGTAGTGGAAAATCGTAGATTCGTTGCTCAAAAACTAAACCCACTAAAAGAAAATCACATATTTCATTCCACTGGTAGTTGATACCACCCTGATAACTTCAACACTAGAAGCTGCAATTATGTTTATCATTTTTAAAATCGCATATCTAACTTTAATACCCGTTCATTGACAATAGTATCCCCTACCACAGTTCAACAATGCCATCGGAACATTAAACCATAAACCCTTTAATCTTGTGCTAATCAACAAATAATACAGATTGTGAAGAGATTATTAATGGTATCAAGCCTACCTAATTACAATAATGTTTGAAATAATCTTTTAGTAAAAGTTCCTCAATACCAACTACTTCTGTTGCAACAAAATATTTTAAATGTTCAAAACAACTCCTTGGTTAAGTGAATTTTTTTCCAAATTTGAGCAGGAAACACAGCTTTTTCTACATCTTCATCCACAAACCATATAAGTTTTCCGAAACATAAATTTTGAAAAAAGACTCCATTCTTCATCTTAACTGGTCAGCAAACGAGTCAGATTGGCTATACGATTTGGATGTTTTATATGATATTTTTATGCCCAAGAAAAATGAAATCCCATATTCAATAAAACACAGAAGAAAAGAGTAAGAAAAGTGCAAACAGCTATCTAGTGAGCAAGATTAGTTAGCCGCACCATCGCGTTATGCATTTTCAAAACAAACATTTGTTTGTTTGTTTAAGTCAATTACCTTCTTCCCTTCCCCATCCTTATCATCGTCATCAGACGAACTCGAGCTTGAGCTATCTTTTCTAGCTTTCTTACTCGAGGGAGCAGCAACTTCACTGACAGTTTTTTCACGTTTTGGATTCTAATAGAACATGCGATACATTGTTCATACATATTTCACACTCTATTTCATGTGGTTTGAGAAGCCAATACAGTATAATTATTAGAAAGTGATGATAAAGTGACTTTTGAAATTCTAATAAAACACGAGTTTTTTCAACTCCCTTAAGTAATCTCTCAAATACTCATTTGACTGAGTACTCACTCAAGAAATATCTCGAATATATACGGAAACACACAACTTTTGTTGCATTACAGGGTAGGGCTATAAGACACCAGCCACCGGTCGTTAAAAACCAAATTCATACTTTTAAATTTACATTGTTAACATACATTGATATTTTTATAAAAACACCATTTGTGGCCACACCACACACAAAAACAGCTCAGCCTCGATATATAAATGCAAAAAAATGACGATAAAAAAATGAAATTCAGGAATTTTTAATACATACAAATATTCAAACACTATAAAGCATGCCTGAATTGAACCATAAAAAGGAACTTTTTTATAAACGCTTCAAATTAAAATACTCCCTAAACTAAAATTGTCAAGTTTGTAAATTTTTTTAAGAAAATTGAATTGAGTTTTCCATAATTTTATGAATTTATTGTTCCTCATTTAGCAGTTGAATTGTATACAAATGTGCTTAATCAATCATTAGATTAGTATAAAATGTTGTTGTTTGATCTTCATTTTAATTTTGAATAAAAATTGAGGACAAAAGCATGACAAATGCAAATCCAACTATTTTAAGTTATTTATCATAAGTTCGAAAAAATTATAAATAACTGGGAGGCCCCAGAAACCCCTACTGCTAGCTTGACATTGGTGGAAAGAAACTGTGTGATAGCTGAAAAAGGTTAATGAAGATACCTAAATTGCAGTGTTCATACTAAACTACCGGTAAATTATGGCAGGAAATTTGGTCTGCTTGGATAAAGTCTTATGGTAAATTCAGCCAAGGATGGGGTGATGATAAATCAACTTATTAAGCTTAATTTATTATCACTTCATATTTGGCCAAGTAACACAACTAGATTACTATCAGTAAATAACAAAAATAATCGACAAAACGACGTGCTTTAGTTATTATTCATGCAAATTGATTAAAAGATTTACCGTGATTTGAACAGCAAGTATTCCATCACCAGCCTCTTTCGCATCGATCATGAACTCCACAGGCATTGATGCCGGTACAGTCGATTCCAATCCAGGACCAGAGCAATTCACCTATATCAACATCAAGTTTTAAAATAACTTTCCCCAATGAAGTTTCGGGTCTGGAAACTAAACATTCATCACAAAGTTATTTTAGGCAGTCTAAATTGACTAAACGTTCAATATATCGTTTCAAGCACACTACATAAGCATCTGCTCAAGGTCTCCGTGATAAATACATAGAGAAATGAATACCATGAGACTCACACAATTCTCCAAGTGCGTAAAGTAAATACCTACTGTTAAGGACAGAAAAGAAGAAAAGAATCCTATAATGTTTTCAGAATTTCTAAATTAAAACAGTCTCCAATTATGCCTCACTTATTAATTAGTGTCAATTCCATTACCTTGCTTGCATCATGTGTTGGAAGCACTCTCACACGTTGTGGCATATGTGGTACATCTTCCCCTGCATATTGTACATTCACTTGGTAAAGACCTTCTGCAGTTGGTGTGTATCTTGCAGTGTGTGTTCCATCCCCATTATCAATAACATTAATTGGATCTCTCACACCTGAAAAATTTGTATTTTGGTCATACAGTAGTAATCTCTAAGATAATTTGGTCATACTGTGGTAATCTCTAAGAATCTAGAGGATCTGAACTATAACATGTGAGAAATGTTCGATATTTGTAAAAAATACGGGACTACATCAACATGAACTAAAAATTTGCTTGCATTTCTTCATGTTGCATGTTGTTTTGTGCCAAACGAGATACCTTGCAGAATCGAAAGCCTAGTGCAGGGTTGTGCAGCCTTCAATACAGAAGGGCCAGATACCAATAACTGGGTGAAACTGCAGGCAGCACTTTTATTTAACATAGGCTTTCTACTAGTTGTGGGCCACACAATTTTCCTTGTGGGCCATATATGGCCCCTTGGCCGCAGGTTGCACACGCCTGGCCTAGCAGTTAAGGCATTAGAATGAACTGTGTTGACATCGCAGCAACACATCTTGGGTCCAAATTCTATGCCGATCTCCTCAACCAGAGTGTAATATTTGGAGAGGCATTATTGGCTGTTTGTAGAGAACCTTGTTCCAGCCCAAAGGTGTGAAATAACTGTTGTCTAAAAAACAAAGTCCTTACCTCTCGGTCCTTTTGCTGTTGCTTCCACGGGGGCAATTCCAGCCTTGCTTGCATCAATAAGAAATTCTTGAGGAATGTTCTTCCTAACCCCTGGTGATAGTCCAGGACCAGTGCAGACAACCTAAATCAAGGTTATGAGAATTTAAGTTGAGGTGAGTGTACATGTATGTACCACTACTTTGGGAAACAATTTATCTCAACTTTGTACAACTCAATCCTTATCTTATGTTCTCAATGCTCACAGAATATAAGAGATACATATTATAATGAAAATTTTATGTTTTTATGTTACAGTTTTCCACAAAACCAGATTTAGGGGAAATTCCCCCCAAAAAATTGCGGTTCACACTTCACAGTATAATTCAACATGTATTCAACTTGTCATCAAAATTTACATTCCATATTCCACTTCAAATTTGTAAAAATTTTCAATTATAACTTGATACTGTGTTCAGAAAATATGGAATATTAATCAATATATAAGTAATAGCCTTCTAAAAGAGAACTTTTTGTCTTCAAAACATTTCAATTTCCAAGTAAAATGATCAGTTGTCGAAAAACATGAGTAAAAACAATTTAGCAATTCGGTATACTTCGTCCCAACTAGTAACGGTCATTGCAGATCTTACCTTTGTAGGATCAACCTTATCTTTAATTGGAACAACAAATGGACATCCAGGAATAGCATCACCACCATATGTAATATTGACTTCATATTGTCCAGCTTCTGTTGGCAAATATTCAACTTGACATGTCCCATCTTTACCATCCTGTAAATAAGTTAATTTTTTTAATTTTTTTGTTACTTGGGTCTTAACAGTTTTATGAACCGTGGGTCAGAGAAGGGTAAGGTACTATTATGTAATCATGAACAGTTGAACTTCATGTTGTGCTGCACAAATTGAATTCATGTTATAAAAGTTAACATTTAAAATATATTTTTACATATTTATTATGATGGAAAGACAAAATAAAAATATTCACAAGTAAGCCATATCCCACTCCTTTTTAAGATAAAAAAAATGGAACATACGGTGCAAGTGACTTTGGCATCAGATGGTCCTTCAACTTCCAATGCAAGGCCACCAGTTCCAGCTCCTCTTGTATCCACAGTAAACTTGGCAGGTTCTTCAGTGGTTCCACTTATCAATCCAGGACCATATGCCTTGACTTTACTGGCATCACAGCCTTCTTCAACATTAACAGGGAAGGGTGACCCAGGTACTTCACAACCATCATAGTCGACCAGGATTTCACAGGGACCTTTATTATAGAGGAAAATTATAATAGGATCAAGTATGTTGTGAACAAAATATTAATCCATTTCATGAAATGTACTTTATATGACAGCGTTTAGAATTTGATATAAAATGATCAAATCTAATAAAATTATCGTAAAAGAGCAATTAGCTACATTTTTGAAAATATTTATCAAATTTAATTCCGTTAATGCTATAATCTCTCAAAACTGGGAAATATTTATAATTAAAAAAGGTCCCTCTCCAGTTTAAAGTGAAACGCTTGAGTCAGGACATTAAACTGAAAAACGATTTCAAATATTTTATTACCTTGTTCAAATGGACAATATTTAGCTTCATAAGTTCCATCACCATTATCTGTTACATCAATAGGTAATGTTTCACCAGATGGCATAACAGCCTTAGCATTAATATGATCTCCACCTCTCGGAGCAAGTCGTTTAGCATCAACAGTGAAACTGGTGTCAACATCAGTCAAAACTCCTAGTAAGAAAGAAAATTAAAGTTGAAAAGTCACTGCACAGTAACACGAATATATTTTTGCGAAGTTTCGTCCAACTAAAATATTTGCAAATATAAATCAAGATACCTGAATTTTCAACTCCAGGTCCATAAGTCTTAACGCTGCTGGTATCGATATCGGGTGTGATATGAACCTTCTTGGGAGTTCCTGGAATGTCATCACCTCCATATTTAACAGCCACGGTTGCATCACCAGGTTTATTTGGCACAAATGATACACTAGAAAGAGTATTTCAAATTTTTTTTATACCTTTACTAAGTTTAACTAAAATTCTTTATTTTATTTTAAATTTTTATATTCGAACTGATTTTGGTACCAGAATGTGGCGATATTCACATTCCAATGTGTAACAATTACAATTTATCATAATAAGATACAACACTAATTTAAACAATTTAGTGCAGATTAGTAACTTTCTGTGGAATTTACAGTTATTCGAAATTTATTGAACACAATACCACTGGTAAATAAATCATTACACCATAAAAAATGTTACAAGACCTTTAACAACATTAAAGTCCGATAAAAACAACACTAAAGTAATTTTCTGTGAAAATAAAAATCATTTAAATTTATTGGAACATAATACCACTGAAAACAATTCATCAGACTATAAAAAAGGTTTCGCCTCTTTAAAGGTATTAAAGTCAGATAAAAACAAAACTAAACAGTAAAAATATTGAAAAAATCCTACTCATGAGTTCCATCTCCATTATCGTGAACTCTGACACCAGGAACTTTGGATCCATCTTCATTAACAACCTGCACTTCAACAGGGGCTTCACCAGCATCAGATGCATCCACGACAAAAGCAGATTTCTTGCCAACTTTGCCGTTTTCGAGCCCTTTGCCTTTTGCTCGCACTTTTGATGAATCGAAAGCCGGCTCAATTTCGGCTATAAAAATAGACGGAATGGAATGATAAATATGTTTGGTATGATTATGAGTAAACCACAAATGAATAATTGTATGCAAATATTGTGATAAAAAGCAAGTAACAATGAAATTATTACCTTCATGACATAATTCAGAACCTTTATTGAAATGAAATACAAAGAAGCCAACTATTATGAGCTAAGTTTTTTTTGATAATAAGAAAATTTTTATATTAAACATTCTTTGCTTGTGTTCAGGAAAGGCAGATAAACAGCTTGACGATAATACATAATCCAAAATTTTTTGTATACATTTTTTTCATAACTTTAACTCTAGCGAGGCACTCTAAAAGAAGCAATGATATGTAAGAAGCTACCATTTCTAAAAGTACCTAAAGCTTTCTGATTAAGCACTATCTACCCAATTTATAACCCCATGAATGAGGTAGTTGGTGGTCATGGGATTCAACCCCACACTCTACAAAAACACGCATAATCTTTTCATAAACTCACCTTTAAATGGTGATCCTGGAATATGTTCTTCAGCAAATAACACATTGATTTTATAATCACCAGCTTCTAGTGGTAAGTAAGATACTGAACAGGTTCCATCACCATTATCCACGCATTCAATCTTTGATTTTGAAGGTCCTTCCACAGTCAAACCAAGGGCACCATTTCCTGTGAAAAAAGAAAATATCAGTAAACATATTGCCTTTTATGTTCTTCATTTACATTAACCCTGACCGAAACAAGGCCCTAGTGGCCACTTCTATCAAAGGAGCTTCTATTATTCGGAAGTAAATAGAATTGCTAACACAGTTTGAGTTTCTAAACCGATTCGTCGCCCCATATCGACTCCACTACAAATGTGATGTGTGTGGTACAAAACATTCTCAAAGTCTCCAGTTCCATTTACTCTACTATGCATTACATTTTCAAACAACAAATGATGGTGTAATCAATACTGCTACGAGACCCAATACACCATTTCTAATTTTACATCATTTTAATTTTCCAATCTTACCAGCCTCTGTAGTATCAATTGTAAATTGTGCAGGTTGATCCACAATTCCATGTTTCAATCCAGGTCCATAAGCTTTCACTTTGCCTGCATCTGCAGGTTTGAGAGCCTCAACAACAAACGGGCTTCCTGGGACAGGTTCACCGTCATAAGTTACATCAAGGCGATGTGGACCTTCTTCTTTGGGAGTAAAAGTGCATTTCGATTCATCTGGAGAGTTTCTCACTCTGACTGGTACAGGCCTCTTGTCTGGTCCAACCATGGCGACATCCAAAATTCCCTTTCCGCCTGCACCATCAGTTTCAACAGTGAAACTTTCAGGTCTGCCAACCTCAATTTCTGAATATATACAAGCCTTGATCAAGCATGGCCCTTCAAAATTTTCAACTTCTAAAAAAAAATCAATTAAATACTTACGTTCTGGAAGACCCTTGACGCGTACTTGTCCAACATCAAGTTCTGGAGCAACATTGACATGGAAAGGACTTTTTGCAATTTCATCTCCTCCATAGGTTACCTCGACATCCATTGGTCCTTGTCCGTCCGGTGTGTATTTTACAGTATATGTAGAATCCTAGAAGCAATTGAGAAAAATGATAATAAGATAGGTTTTTCAAATATCCTGTGGTAGAGGAAAGATAATAGGATGGCTTAATTATATGGTGAACCTTAACCCATTACCAACTCATGTGAAATATGGGAATATTTAATCGGTTATTTATTTCAGATGCATGGACTTGACGATAGAGAAAGCCATGACTAATCAGCGGTTACGTGAACCACCCTGTGACAGTGAGCGGTCCAGCCATCCACTCGCACATATTCATCCCCGACAGGTTTCAAACTTGCGAATCTGCACAAAATATGATGACAAGCATATTTCTAACACCTAGCATGATGCGCCAACCACTCAAATAACTGCTGAGTCATTGATATGAAAATGCCTATTTATAATACAATAAACATATTCTGACATACCCCATTATCTATAATCTCTGGTTTTGCTGCGACAGCATGTTGGTTTTTGGGCCTGAATTTAACATCTGGTTTGGCTTTTCCTGCACCTCTAGTATGAATTGTGAAATGGGTTGGTTTTCCACTTTCAACACCTGTAAAAAATTGTAAAGATGAGATTCACATAATGTCATAATTACAGGGTGACTAAAAAAACTGAACCCAGACTATTTGGAACATATTCTAGAGAGATCATTCGTGCAAAGCGTCCTAGATTACTGGAACTTGTGGGTCACAATCATACATCAGCAGAAGTTAATTGTTCAAAGAGTAGATATATTTTCCTCATTTTCGTAGTGGGAAATTTATAAGTTCTGTTTCAAGGATCACCCTAAACGTTATCACATTATTCAACAAATAAATAAATATTACAATATAGAAAATTCAATTCAATTGATGAATATGTAATTAGAATGGTGTAAATAAAAAATCACACTTTATCAAATTGAGTTCAATCCAAGAATTACTTACCATCTTTTTCCAATCCAGGTCCATCTGCTCGTACTTTTCTTGCATTATGATTTGATGCAACTTGCACATTGATTGGGCTATCTGGGATTTCAACATCAGCGAACAACACCATGATTGTGTATTTACCTAAAACAGGTGGACAATCGGGTTAAATAACTTCCATGATTGACTTTGAATAAATTTAGCTATCACCAGGGATTACCATAATCAAATATTCCACTATTCTATTGAATCGATTCGATCCATACAGGATATTCCTGATCATAACCCTTTGAATACTCGAAACCAAAAAATGTATAATCTTTCATGAAAGGCAATCTTCGAAATTTCTTAAGAAATATATTTCTTTATATTGAAGTATTTCACAAACCTGCAACTGGTGGTGTATATTTCACAGTAAAAGTATCATTATCGTTTTTGATTATATCAAAAGCGATGTCGGATTCAGGTTGTGATGGAGTAAGTCCTGGTGTGCATTTCAATCCAATACTGATGTCACCAGATCCAGCTTTACTGCAATCAACAGTGAAATAAGTTGGCTCTTCTGCTTTCAATCCAGGTTTAACTCCTGGTCCATAAACACTCACACGATCTGGGTGGGAATCTTCTTGCACCAAAACCTGTGTTAAATAATTTTAATAAAATGATTTTGTTGCTGATATATAAAAGAGCAACATGAAAAATAAAAAAGTTTATTTTACAATATGCATAAAATGGCAAGTTCTGACAAAATAAGGAATAAAAACAAGAAAAAAGAAAACTAAATTGGGTCTCACCGGTAGTCAGATGAGTTCAAGTCAGAGTCAGTTTGTTTAGATGGGTTTAACTCGAATCAACCAATCAGACATGGTTAAATATAAAATTTTATTCTAATTAAAGAAATAGTAGTAATTGCGTTGAATATGTAATCCTTTGATTACTGATAGTTCTATAATAAGTGACTCTAAGAGAAAGTCTGATTAGTGATCTATATTAAATGAAATGCAATGAAACAAAACATCCCACAAATATAACTAAACTATTCAATCTTACTCTGAAAGGACTATTTTTCACTGCAATACCATCATAAGTAGGTATGATTGTGTGTTTTTGTGCAGCACGAGGAGTGTATCTGCATGTGTATGTGCCATCTCCATTATCTTGCACATCTACCGGCACTTCATCACCATTAGCAGTCACGATGGAATTGGTGATTGGAGCAGGTCTTCCAGCAGATCTGGCATCTATTGTGTATTCTGTTGGTCGACCAGCCACAGGGCCATTTTCCTCTAAACCAGGTCCATAAGCTTTCACCTGATAACAAAAAATTCACTCAGTTCAACATTAAGCAATTTTAAGCATCCATTATGAATAAAGTTTTCAATTAGTATCTTAAGCTATAAAAATAAAAAGGATCAAAATTATTTTGGAATAGCCGACATTTTACTTTGATTTAGTAAGGTTGAACTTTGTGCGGATGAAATGTCCTGCTGCGTATGTTTTTGATGCCCGAAGGGTGAATCTATTGTTTGTGGATTTTACCAGTACCAAAAATGGACATACCTAACTGTATTTAAACAATGCTAAAAATTCATGGGTAGGTGGGCGCTGTGGCCAAGTGGTTGAAGCATTTGATCTTGGTTTAAATCCCATGCCCACGCCTACCCCGGATGTAATAAATTGAGTAGGAAATGTCGTACTAGAAAGCTATGATAGCTCTTCGCCTAGTTTGCTTGTGTCAGTCGAAAAGTGTTCAAATACATCATAGAAAAAAAACTACAACACAAAATTAAATTCCGTTTTACCTTATCTGGGAAGGTTTTGTGATCATCTGGTTCAATTTGTGCCATAAATGGTGAATGTTTGATGTCTTCATCATCACAGAGCACATGAACTGCATATTCACCAGCTTCTAATGGAAAGTATCTTACATCACATGATCCATCACCTTTGTCATCACATTCAATACGTGCTTGTGATGGTCCTTCAATTGAAAATCCTGAAATAGGAATAATAAAAAAATATTGAAATTGTAAAGATTTCAGGAAACTCTTCTGAATCTATAGTAAATGAAGTTTCAATTTGTGGTCACAGTAGGCTGGTGGTTGAAGCATTAAACTTCACTTTATTGACATCTCAGATAACGCAACTCTGGTTAAAATACCCAAGGCCACCCACCAGATGTAAAAAATAAGCTAGGCAACGCCAACCTTGAACCTTCCAAAAATAGTGTTTTTGATGTGTCGTAGAATGGTGTAGCTAGTGTAAAAGGCACTAATAAGTGTCATATAAATATTTATAATCTATTCGTAAGACTTCATCATGTTGGTTTCAAAATTTGTGAGATCTTGGATCAAATTACTGTCATGAGGAGTGATAAGAATATCCAGAAACTAGAAACAATTGATCCTTTTGAACATTTTTACTATATACTCTGCCCAACAGCCTTAAAAATACATATTTTGAAAAAAAATTATGTCTGAGATGACATGCTAATTGGAAATGATAACATACCAAGTTGTCCAACTTCACTTCCTGTCGTCTCAACAACAAAATCTGCAGAATGTCCAACTTTACCACCATGGAGACCTGGTCCATAAGCACGAACTTTCTGTGGTCCGGCCTCTTTGCCAACTGCTACCTATAAATGAAAACAATCAAAAATGAGGAACGAATGGTTTAGAAATATTGCCATTTAATGCAAGATAGAATTTCCATATTTATCCCAGAAAAAGAAAAGTCAATAAAATGGCGAGCCACGGTTTGCCGTCTGGTTATAGGTCCATTTCCGGTACGGGAATAGTCAACGAGGAATTTGTTTCTGATGCATGGACTTGATGCTGGAGGAAGAAGTTAAGGAAATTTGAAAAGCTAATTTTATCATATCACAAGTACAGCTTTAGGAATTAACAATTAATTTCGAAATTTTCATTTCCTTCAAACGGGTAACATCAAAGATAGGAGTAAGACACAAAGTAAACTAAAATCACCTTGAAAGGACTCTTTGGAATTGGTTTATTACCAAAGTTGACATCCACAGTATATTCTCCATTCTTGAGAGGGTAGTACTCACAATCATAAATATCTGGATCTTGTGGATTCCTCTTTACTGTGACAGGTTCAGAGTGACCTCCTAAAATAATAGAGTAACTTGTTAGGTGTTGAAAAGAATGATGTTGGTATTTAAATAGTAAGGTATTCTTGAATTTTTAAAATGGGTTAGATGGAACTATCTTGTATTCAAATCAAGATATCATATTTTATGGAATAAAAAAACATACTATTAACACAAAATATGATTTTACTAAAAAAATTGCAAATTTTGTTACAATAGAAAATCATGTATATTCATGTAATCTTGATCAGACTTGATCAAGCATATAAGTCAACCTTGAAAAAACAAAGTAGGTCAGTTATTCGGTTGTCTAGGCACAGTGTATTTGAATCTTTAAAGCACCAAAATCAAACTATAGGAATTCATACAATTACATACTTGGGCCTTTTACATGGATCTGCAGCTCAGCATCACCAGCGCCTTTTGTTGTAACATGAAATTCTGCTTTCTCTCGCATTCGCACACCTTTTGGTTGTATTCCACGTCCATATGCTCGGCATGCACTTGCATTTGAAGCTGCATAATAAAATTCGAATGAGTGTGTTTCGTATGTTGAACAGTAACACTGCCTTATATAATATGAATTATTGATAGAATTTAATAGGAAACTATTGTTTAGAATGTGGTAGCAAATAAGTAGGCCTACTTGTGGATTCATGAAATAGCTTTCCACTTTTCTCTTAATAAAAGCCTAAAAGCTATATATTCTTAACAAAATTAAAACGAATGTATATAAGATCCCACATTTGTTATGAATGAGAGAGCTATTAAAGAATTTAAATAAAATATCCTGTTAAACAATATATCATATTTTCTGAAAGTTGGTTCTCAAATAAATTTCATTATAATATTTTGACATATATGACTAAAAAATCCATAGTTTATATAATAGTATAACAAGTAACAGCTGACTTGAATCGAAGGTAACTCTAATATAATACCATCTCTCTTGTACATCAATTTTGCAAGCATCAGCCCAGACAGCATGATTACCATATTTATACTGCACTTAATTCAAATTTGAAACTAATGAACTATTTTAAAAACATCAAAATTCATTAAAATACAATTTACAGCTCTTTAATTTCATTTCAAAAGTTGACATTGAACCTCTCTGCCCTTGATTTTTAGGGACAATCTATTATCAAAGCTGTTTCAATTGTAATTTATAAATTCTGAAAAGTCAATCTTCTGCTGTCACTGCAATTATAGGATACTTAATTTTGTGCAGCATATGATAATAATATAATGATTAGTTGTTTTCAAATTCGATTCATAGAGTGATTAAATTTTAGTAAAGTATTAAACTTAGTAATGATAACAGAATTGGTAATGGCCTACATTTTTAATCATACCGATGAAACATAGGTTATGTTCAAAATTTAACTATAAATATTCAAATTATTAGCAATATAACATTTTACATTTTTTTGTGAATAAAAGATAGCTGCATAAACTTATTATTAAAACTATGAGAACCATTTTAATACACTACAGGATAATGTAAAAAACAAGAGTAATATATTTCTCAAATACAACGAAAATTAATATCACAATTGAAGTTGTTTGTCCATTGTTTGATTGGTTTACAAAAGTTTTTGTAACACTTTCCACAAAGATATGTTCTCTCTAGAATACGTTCCAAATGATTTGGGTTTTTTTTTCAGGGTCATCCTGTATTTACTACCAATTACAAAATTATGAAAAAAGATGAGCTCATCAGATCATTATTGAATAAAATAAAATATTAACGAAATGATTGTAACAAATTCCATGGCATAGAAAATAACCAACCTGGGACAATATCCACTCGGAAGGGACTTTTTGGCACATGATCTCCTGCAAATTTAACTTCTATTTTGTGAGGACCCTTCTCCCTTGGAGTGTAGGTACATCTCCATACATTGTTAGGACGACTTTCAATGTCTACTTGTACAGTTCTTGGGTTGCCATCTGGATCATATACTACTGCCTCCACATCCCCATTCCCGGCATCTAAAAAGAATAAACACTGTTCAGCAAAATTCTTCTGTAAGTGCGGTGTAATGATTAAATGTCAACATGCAATATGAATTTATGCTATCTAGTTGGTAGATCTAAGGGCTAACTTAATTATTTATATTCTTCTATGCTTTTGCACTGCTAGATCGGTATGCATAACACCAGTGAAGACAACTATTCTAAGTAATATAGGAGTTTTGTTGCACTTAAACATGTATCTTCACCGAAAGGTGGAATATATACTTATCAAAAAGATACACTGAAACTATTGTCCCGTCTGCATAAGCAAAAACAATGCTTAAATCAACTCGTTTTTACCTGTTGCAATAACTTCAAAATATGTGGGTTGTCCAACAACATTTCCAGTTTCAATACCAGGTCCGCGTACTTTAACTTTACTGGGATCAGCTGGTACTGATACATTCACCTGAGGAAATAAGTATAAACCATAAATTCAAGTCATATTCCATAAAAATTAGACTACCTAAAACTGTCCTATTGTGAGATTGTTTCTACCCTAGACAAAGCTATATTAGACAAACACTGTGTAGGAGTTAATAGTGATGATTTCCAATTATATTCAATTATAACAAATTTCTTAGTAGTGACTTGCGTTATCGCATTTTTGGAGCCGTCATAGCCTGTGATTCATCAGGGTTTAGACGCTCAAGTATTGTGAATAATGATTTCACAATCTCTAATTATAGAGAAGTGTCCCAAAGGCGATATTATACAACAAAGTAAGAAGATATTAGAACATTACATATCCCGTGAATAAGAAGGGTCAGACCAGGTGTTTCCTTCCCTTTATTTATGTGCTAAGTGACAGAGGTAGATTCTGATTTTCGGACGGCGATGCGTCACTTCCGCGAGTCATACCCCTTTCATTCAGAACCCAAAAGTCGAGCTTAGGGTATCATGTTGTTTTTATTTCCTCTTTGGGAAAAGGTTGAGCGGAAGTGTATACATCTGATGGAAACGAAATATTGTTCAGTGTTTAATACATACTGCGAGTGTTAATCTGAAGACAAGCCACAAAAAATACAGGGTATCGGTATCCTGCCAATCATGAATCAAATATAAAACGCCAAATTGACCGTGCATTTATTATTAAACTAGTCATTGTGATCAACTTCTATGAATCGCGACGATGTCTATTTTCCACAATTCAAAGGTATTACGTTGCGATGATCGTATTATCTCGACATGGTGTCTGTGCATGAACCAAGAATAATTTTCTCAGCAGCATATTATGCAGCTATATTATCCACGCCTTAGCGCGTAGCACATGCCACAGTATTGTGTCATAAAAATATCGGTGACGACGACGCAAGCAAGCATCATCGACAAATTTGGAGTCTGGGAAGCCTCGATTGCCATTTCGTTCACAAACACTGCGAACTGCTGATATATAAAGCGCAGGAAAGATCACGTACGCAACAGCGACCTGAAATTCATTCAGTATAGTTGAATGAATAGGACTCATTAAACGCGAATAACGATAAATACGGTTCATTTCATTGAGGAAGTTTCAAGAGTGCCAGTAAGCGATTCATTTGACGTTTTTGAAACCCCTGTATTTCAAAGGGTGGGAAGTATGAAGGTTACGTAATAACCGGTTGTATTTTCAGAGGGTTTCCGTCATTACGGTGTTTGTTTCACTTGGTGTATTCGATTCCCAAAATTGCAAAATGTGTAATTCTAATTTACTGAATACAATTTTTTGGCAAAAATATTCTCCCTTTTACTTAAAACTTCTTTCAGTACAGGAATGTTTTCCTCGCAAGTTTCAAGCATCGTCATAATCGTAACCCATGCACGCACGCATGCGCGCACCTGTGTGTGCGCCGTAGAGAGCGAGTGACGAACGAGCTACGAAAAGAAGACTTGTAGTCTTGCGGAATCAGACATGCCCTTATATGGCGAGCCGGCACGCTTAAGCGCGTTATTTCAGGCAAAACACGAGAAAATGGATTGTGATAATGATGCCATAGGAGGTTAACTAAGTATGCTATGCGGTAAAAGTGTTTTAGGTAAATGTTTCGAGTCGTCATGACGGAATGCATTCCTTTATTTTGCCCCATTGAGACCAAATTGCTAGTTTTTCATTTTTTAATCAAACAACAATTAGGGTTATTCAACAAAGAATCAATAAATTACAATTAAAATCTAATTCTGTCTTAATTGAATTCATTGAAAATAAACGGCTCAAAAAATAAGTCAATGGTATCCTGAATACTGAATGTTCCTCCAATTTTAGGAAAATACCCTATAAATAAATCATATTCAAGTATTGGTGTTTTCAATTGCATTTTCGTTAATGCCGAGTATGTAACAAAGATTTTGTTCATTATGCTTTTTTACCTTGCGAGGTAAACGAAACACATCACAAAGTAAAGAATAGTAAACATAATGGTGCACTCTGAACCAATTTGAAGTCAAAAATTATTAAAAGGAATTCTGCAGTAACAGTTTCCAACATGTTCAAAACGAAGGTGTTTACGCATAAAACACGAGGTACAGATACCATAGAATAAATCCTATCTAATTTGAAACGGTACGTTATTATTATTTCACGATACGAAAGGACAGTATGCGAAATCGAATACTCCTTTCTCAAAAACGTAAATCAGCAAATACCAGCAAAAGAATTCAGACACAGACGGACAATAACAGGTTAGATAAAGACCGTCTGTGATTACGTCATTTTATTGGGTCTCTTTTTGAATTCTATTGTACGAAATTACTCGGGAACTATATACGGATGACCATTATTCCAAACGTAAGAAAACCCTCCAAAAGTGCGTAATCAAATTGAGAAAGGGGCCTGTACTACCAACATTGATACAACGAAAAGGTAAGTTGTAATACTACAGATACACGTTGAAATAAATTTGAAGCGCTAGTAACAAATTTTTAAATCATACAAAGTTGTTGGTAGTTAGGCAGCATTTTGTTAACAAGTACATTTAGTGCGAGTTTTATTCGCACCAGACCATAACATGTATATTATCAACATCTTGCTATAAGAGAGGTCATATAATACACTGATTTTACTGATCTCTGATTATTGAATTTTGACTCTCCTTTTGGCCATATAGCTGACGCAAACGACACAAAAAATCAACAATTGATTACAAGTAGCGACCTCAGACGGGTTCAACTTACCCTGAATGGACTGTCTGGTACTGGTTTGCTTGCGTATGTGATAGAAACAACGTATTGCCCTGGTTTGCTGGGTAGATATTGACAAGTGTATGTTCCATCGTGGTTGTCGTCGATGTTAAGCGGTTCGTTAACTCCACCTAAAAATGACGTCAATAATACGTCAGAATTGTTCTTATCAAGCATGATACTTAATTAAATATCATCTAAATGAGACATTTAGCAATGGAACATGTTTGGTGAAATGTTAGCACGAACAACTCCCGATTTGGTCAAATAACATAACAAAACACAAAACGACAAAATTTGCACGGTAACGATTTTGCGGTATTTGAACAACCTTTGTTATGGGATCAGGATTACAGTACAGAACAAAGTACAAATTTGTACAAAATTAAAATTGTTATGACTGGTCATGTATGGTCACAATTAGACACTCGTCCGACTCTGCGCCTCAAAATAGATTGAAGAGGATTTAGCTTTAAGCTAAAATATAACTTCCAGGTCTAAATCCTTCAGGATTATAGATAACTAGGGGGTGTTGTTGTATTGAAGCAGTTTTCTATGTATACAAAAAATCCAACGACTTACGGGGTCCTACAATTTTAACAGCTAATTGCCCTTCCCCAGCTTTCTCTGTATGTACGGTGAAATAGGTCTTCTGTCGTAAGACGACACCGTCGGGTTGGATTCCAGGTCCATCAACCCAAACTGCACCAGGATTAAGCGCTAAAATAAAAACATAAATAAAGTATTTCTTCAGAGATTCGACTACTAATGTAATATGCTTTCTAAAACAGTTATAAGATAGCGCATTCCTTTCCGAAATTTGCGTGGGAAACCCATTGTGACGAAGTAAAAATGCAATAAAAATAAAAAACATTATCCTACGCAATCACACTTTAAATTTAATGAGTTTAAAACAACAAAATTGCTTCGGTGTAACGACTCTCGCTAAATTGCGCCAATATAAAACCGCTAGCCGAGCCGCTCGTGCCGGGAGCGTTTTGCGAACGATAGACGCAGTCAGTGAAGTGAGTGCACACCACTTAACCACGTACAAACGAGAAGGAGACTATTGAAAAATTTGTAAATTCCACGTTTTACGTAATTTATAATAATTTCGAAGTAAAAATCCGATTAAAACATTGTTTGTGCACCCATCTCGAAAATACAATCTAGACTCAATAAAAAATACTATAAAATTGAACCAGTTGGATTGACTGTAAAATACCAGTAATTATACAAATATTCAAGTGCGTGGACTTGAAAATACCAAGATTGAGTAAACGAACAACACTTCTAGTTGTAAGTTTTCAAGTACGGATTACTGTACGAATATTCATTGTTATTTAAGAAGGTAAGACTACGCATCATACATTCCATTCAGGTATGCCAGGTCTGATTAAACTGAGTAATCGCTGAAGGTACAACTCAGTACAAGTGAAGATTGCAACATAGTAAGTAGATACACAAAGCCCAAACAGACAAAATTGAAATTACTCAGAAATGCTGGTGTATTTTACAATTTAATTAACTATTCCCAAACTGTCCTAAATACCGATGTAAGTGAACATATATTTTGTTCCCAAAGTCAACACAAAATTCCAATTTGAAAGATAACGGTGGAGTCATGTTATGTACGGCCTAACAATATTTCGATCAATCAAACACAACCAGGCATGATCCGTAATTGTTGTGGATAAATTCACCTATCCCTACTTATTAGACAAATATTGCCAATGAACATTACAGGCAAGTAGGCGCTCGCTTGCAAACCTAAAGATAAGAATATGTCCATTAGCGTCCAAAAATCGCACCAGAAACAGATCATGTTCCATGCTCCGTTATGGCAAAAGAATCAAACTGTTTCAACAATACTCACGCAATGATATATGGACATGGTATGGACTCTTTGGGATGGGGTGATCGGCAAAATCGATGTGTATTTCGTGATTTCCTGCACTCCGTGGGGTGTATTTCACCCTGTAAACATATTCATCAATTTGTGAGATTTCCGGGCGAAGTTTCCCCTCAGGTTCGATAATGTTGACCCCTACGTTTCCGATTCCGGCGCCTGTAAAGGAAGAATTATGTTATTTGGATTGTGTAGGAAGGAAGCCAGCTGGCGATTGATATCGGTTTTCAAGATTTCGGTTCTAATCTTCAAGACCGCTTTTCGTTTTACTTGAAGTAGTAGTAAAATTTATCCAACTTCCGAAACAACAGTTCAACTCCATTTAAAGCAACATTCTCTTTTAAATACTATATTCTGTTAGAAGTAACAAATCATCCAATTCCAAACTTCCTGTGGTCAATGGGGTATGATATACGACTAAAAATTATTTTCCAAACAGAAGGGGAATCCAGGTGAAAAAATAGGAAGCCTACTGCTATTTGATTTATTATAAGCACCTAAATACTCATTGAGTTCCAAATTTCAATCCCAAATTAGAAATAACATTCGTGCCTGGCGGTACAATTTTACCAATTCAAATGATAGTCTTATTTTTTTACAAATATCCAATTACCTTCTGTGAAAACGTCGAAATACGTTTCCTTTCCTACAATATTTCCATTTTGCAGTCCAGGTCCTTTGGCATGCACCTTGCTTGAGTCGACTGGTGTATCGTCGACATTTACCAAAAATGGACTTTTGTGAATGTCTTGGCCAGCAAAAAGTACAGTAACCTGAAAATGTAAACAAATTGAATTTTAAAGTAAGTATTTTGACTATTTTCACGCTGGAATCTGGGACATATCCATCAATATTAACAAAGGAGCGTAAAATAATTGAACATGAAATTTAAACAAAACAATGGCGCCTAATTTGTTGCTACCGAAGCCTGAGGCAAAATTCAGAATAGCTGATGGCGGTGTTGATAACAAGGAACAGTAGAAGCTCAATTTTCGCACTGAAAATGAACAGGGCGTGGCATTACGGTATAGCGTATTTTATAACGCCACTAAATTTATTGTGTTAAGTTGAATAGAAAACGATACCCAAACTAAATATGAATAGCTTTGATCCTGACACAAGTTAAATAGTATATATATGTGTATAATTCGTCACAATTTTCTTATTTTCAAACGGCATTCATGGCCAAAGAAGTGACCATACCTTATATTCTCCCGGTACCATGGGATGGTAAACAACGGAAAATGTTTTCAATTTATCATTGTTTGGAGTCGAGCGCAATTCCGTCTCGTGTCCTTCTGGATCAGTCAAATAAACCAATACAGCTCCGTTTCCTGCTCCTACAGTTTCTACTGTGAAAGGTGCGGGTGCACCAACTTTCAAACCATGGGGTTCCACACCTATAAAAAAGAAGATGCAAATGAAATATGGCGTTTATTTATAAGGTAATTTGTTGTATTGCATTTCTTATAATTTTAACATAATCATCCCCACGGTTCACTTTGTTTTCAGCGTTTTCAAACAGAAACATTGGAAAATAATTTGATAAATAACAAGTTTTAATATAATATCAAAATTGATTACGGGGGTACGGGACTTGTGTATCTGCCTGTGCTAAAGTCAGCCTTGGTGTTTTAATGACAGCCAAATTTGGACAACATGTCCGTTCACCCCTCCTTTGAACTTCCAAACCCGAAAATATTGATAAAACAGCAAATCTATATATGTGCATTCCCACATTAGTATCACGTAGAGGCGTAAAACACAATCGCCATTTGAATTGCCTCCGCGCAAAATTATTTTACAGACATTTGGAAATTTGCAGACTTTAATCGTACAATTGATGAACGATAATCAGTTTGCCTTCTCTGAAACTCTACATTCCATGGTATACTAACTAACCTTTTCCGTAAGCACGTGCACGTTTGGCATTCGTTCTTGGGCGCAATGGCGCACCGGGTTTTAGTTGTGCTTTGGGGAATTGAGACAAATATGTCATAACACTGTGTTCGTCCACATTCGGGTTGGTGATTTCTTCCGGTGCGATAACCTAGGATTTTCAAATAGAAAGATTTTTAAACGTTTCAAAAATATGTGGAATAGCGGGCTAAAAAATCAAAGCTTAGAAGATTTTATGACAAACATAAAACCATTGCTTGGCCAGAAATGTTAGAAGAATAGTTAGGGTGTGAAATACAATAGTACTTTATCACACAAATTCCAGTTAACACACTTCATTTGAATATCATAACACAAAAATCAATCGGAAATAGAAAAATCACAAGCATTCTAATTCCATCTATAACATGCATAGCCGTGGAAATCTCCTGAGCTTAATCGGATTGAAGAGCAAAATTTGATTCATTGAAAAATTCGCCATTTCCACAATACAGTTTAGAGAACATCAATGGATTTGGTAGAGTCAAGAAAAACTTTCATGAAACTGTATTTGAGTAGTGGGAACTGATCCCTTTATTTGAGAACGAACACAATAGGTCTTGCGGTGGCGCTGGAACGTGGCGACGCAGTGGGTAAATATCATTTCAGCCATGGGACAACTTGCATCCGCCGAGACAATGAAATGACAATTTTTTCGGCTATAAATTAACCAGTGGGCATTTATATCTGAAATTTGACAATTTTACACGAGTTAACCAGCTAAACTTAATTCAACTCTCAAAAACAAAAACGAGCTAGTCCCAAAATCGATATTAAACAACAAATATGGCGTCATTATTATTCAATACAGGTTAAGTTTCCCAGTTGAAATGTATTGACTAGTTGATCATGTTTTATGAACTGGAAATTTTGAAATGTCCTTAAATATCAAAGGTTCGAATAATACACCTAGATAGCTGATTTACTTCAACATCACAAGCTTGTTCGATCGTGATTTCCAAAACAACAAAATAAATATTTGCTAGAATAATTGAACGTGGGGCGATCATTTATTTGACGAGTTCAATTAAATAGATAACTTGTTTGCTAACTTGAAGTACTGTGCCGGGACAATTTGATTATGGCTGACTATCATTTGCGCGCCAAATTCCTCCGTTGTGTGAGAAAATGTTTTAATTAGAAAGGAAAATTTTGGATACATAACACATTTTGGCTTTAATTGGATTGAATTTGTTGATAAAGAATACCGATGTTTTATAAATACGACAGATAACGAAATACATTTGTAACATACATTTAAAATTCTGAGCGATTTGTGCACGTTAATGTTGGGCCTTATAAAAGTCACTCGAAGGGCAGAAATGTTTGTCGTCAAAGGCGAGGCCAATGACGCAAATTATAATGAATAAATACTATTATTTAAGGTCAAGAACAATGACGTAATATTTGCTGAATAATTTCGAATATAAATCATCCATAAATCTGATCTAAAAGGGCAACGTTATAAACTTTATTTAAGTTCAGGGAAGACAGCCATTTAACAATATATCTAATGTCAACTCATTAAATTAATTTCGTAATGTGTAATTGACTGACAATGGCAATGATTTTAGGAATTCAGTCCATGACTTGTGAAATAATGGTGGCACAAAGTAAACCCAAGTGTAAGCTTTTTACTGCATAAAACGTTTTACATTTCTTACATTATTTAGTAATGACTGGTCTATTCTCAAGTTCTTATACCCTGTGTCGAATGGTCGTTTAGGTAGGCAGGAAAAATTTCGAGCTCTCTACGCGTTAAGGACTTATCATGTTATATATATTCTGCCTGTAGATCTCTCGTAAACAAAAATATGGTAGAGACGGTACAAATATGTATTCACATACAAAATATTTGTTTCAATTTCTACATACCGGGGGTACACCGAGCCAGTCATCGGCTAATTTTATCGCCTCTGTAGCGTTCTTTTCCGCCTCTTCCGGGACCCAATCTTCCCAATCAGGACAGAGGCCTACTCATTCATTGGTTCAAAGCAAGCAAGTGTTGAAGATCGATCAATGTGCAGGCAATATCAGCATTCAGCATGTTCACAATCATTGAATCAACATGTTGAAGAAGCATTTTGGTGAATGAGGTAGGTTTACATGCAAACAAAAATGGTAGAAAAATCACACAGTGATCTGGAAACCAGTTCCGTGGTTGAATATAAGCATGCATATCATATCATCAAAAGAACGCGATATTGACATTGCTAAATAAAAGTTTTTCGTGTCCAAATAATTAGGGTCGGGTAGTACGCGTGCCATCACTAGGACACATAATAGGCAAACTGTTCAATTGTTTTAGTCCGAAATTATCCAATGCGATAGAACATTTTTCTCGTTCAATAACAAATAACTAGAGTCGGGTAGCAGGTCACTTGCCGTTTAGTGCTTTATAGACAAAAAACATACGAAAAATTTTGTATTGTTTCAATCCGAAATTATCTTTCAGAAATGTTTCAAATATAGCAATTCGCCGAGCAATAGCGGTCACATCTAAACGCTGCCAAGTTCTACAAAGCAAAAGCAGGATCTAATTTTAACGCAACTACAACACGTAACAGTAAAAGCGATAGCTGATCCATTAAATATGGGATATTTAAAAATATTTTTCATTCGAATCTTTTGATCGAGGATTTATAAAAAAAATATCCTGACAGACTAAATTGGACATAAACCATCAAATGCGCGTCTTCTAATATATGAAACAACATGCTTTTTGATTCAAGTATCTTTGACTGAATCTTTTTTCTAAAATCACTGACTCAATGCAAATTTAAACAATTCAAAATCTGCAGACACGCTCATTCCTGTTTCGATCTAAACATTGTTAAAACTGTTAAAAACGATTAAAATTCACTCAAATTGGAATACAATTAGATAAAACCGTTTTAATTTAAAACAGGAATGGATTGTTGTATCCACTGGTTCCTGATATAACATATAAAACGGTTTTAACTCCGATTGTACATTTAAAATTTGAGTAAATTCAATGTTTTAACAGTTTAAAACTTCCAATCAATCACGCAGTGAAAATGATGGGTGCTTCAGACAGTTTTCAGACCTGCGCTACACCTAGCCATTGGTCGGCTAGTCCCATGGCCTCCTGTGCATTTTGGAGCCTGTTTTCTGGAGTCCAGTCTTCCCAAGAGGGACACAATCCTGTTTTTATCAATTAGCATGGTAACAAACAATACATAGAACACAAAAATGATGAAAAAGAAAATGATAAAAATTGAACTGTGACAAGTACAGTAACATAGACTCGCTATTAAATACACTATATCAATCGGCCATTTTTCCAATATAAAAAAAAGTAAAACCAACTACAAAACAGGCCAACAAAAAACTTGATATCGAATTATTAAACACGGCCTTCAGTGGTATACATAACAATTATCACCTTTAGAATAACAATGACCTACACCAATAACAAATAGAAGCCTACATTTCAAAGTAATGCTGCTGGAATTGGACCAGTTTCCTATCCATGACTTGGTGCTAATTAAAAAAGTCTTAACAACCGCATATTAGCGGTTTAAGTTATTGCAGCTAACACATGAAGAAAGATGGGTAAATGGACTAATTTTGAAGAGTCTATCCTGCCTGAATCGAAAAATACAACCCAAACAAATGAATATGTTTATTGTTTATACATTGTAGCATAAAGTATGGACACGTACCTGGAGCACAATTGTCAACCAAAGCTCCAAGAGCACGGCCATCTTGCCAATCTTTGTTGAAATTGGTGATTGGCATTTGAGGGACTTTGTTTTGAATCCATCCCAAAAGTCTCTGCTTTGGAGTAGCTTTGGTTTTTTCGACCTGGCCTTCGTCCTCGTCCCACATCGGCATTGAAATGGAATAATGCAAAATAAGCGTCCATATCAATCCCAGTATAAGTTTCAAATTTCCGTCAACGATAGCTTTGCTGTCTGAAAAAGAGAATCAATGTTTTAGTTCAAGGCATTCGTCACCGCATTAGATTCGAAAATTTAGTGAATTTCAAAATAACAAAATAATATCAACAAACAATAATATCATGAATGAAATGCTAATGAAGATATCGTATGCAAAAATACGACCAACTCTCAAGTCATATATATTTCAAAGATTTTACGACATTTCTTAAAAACCGCAACCGAGTTGAAGTTAAGTTAAGTCGCTAAGTTGAAGTTATTTTTAATTGCAAATGGTTAAACCAATCAATTTAATCAACGATATTGATAAGCAATGATCAACTAAAAATTGATTACTAAATGGTGATTTTTAACAAATTGCCTAATTTCTGCAATCACCATTTTATTGAAGCTTTATAGAAAGACAATCGACAAGACGATGAATGTGCAGTCATCAAGCATGGCCAAGTTAAAACATGATGAGGTTACAATGAAATGTCACCGACAAAATTTAAGGGAAAGTATTTTTTACCAATGTGCACATTTTGAGTATTCGGTTCAAATCGAGCCATGATGTAATCTTATGCCTGCATTGCAACGTGTATCTACTGTCCGTTTGTTGTCATTTCATATGACGTTATTTTTGTAGAAAGTTCAAAACTGAATTATTCCAGATTAAGAACGGTAAGGAAATAACACAAGATTGATTTATAGCAACTTATATCTGGCCAAAGAAGATGTGATGGCAGTGTTTTCGCGAGGGCGTAAGCGCTAACTTCCGCATGCCTTCCAAATCGGAGTACCACGCATCAAGCCCGGCCATGCACTGAAACACCAGTGATGCATCAAATCAACCAAACCCCAAATTAAAGATTTTTCGGTAATTTAATCTGCGACTATTTCTACCACACTTTTACATAGTACGCATCGATAATAGTAAATAAAGAAAGTATTCGACTTTAGATATAAAGCTAAAAACATCACCTCGTGTGTCAAGTCATGTATACATTTATATGGATCATTAGGCAAGAGTAAAAGGGTAAAGTTTGCATCAGCAAAGCCATAATACTCGACAAGAAAAGTGAAAGCAAAACTTGAAAAATCCCACAAAATTGAATGTTAACATATATACAGAACGAGAAGCCGTAGTAAGATTAGCTCATTTTGTACAATACTTCAATCGATATTCAAGCCATTGTCTACTCGATAGTTGTCACAATCGCCCTTAGCTTGATACTTAAACCCAAGCGGCTTATTATGGCTTTATGTTTATATAAGCCGGTCTAAATGACATAGTATTAAACTGTAAAACATGACATTTAGATTAAAACATTATAATTGTTTTCAATGTCAGATATCATTTTTACGCATAATCATGTACAAATTACCAGTCTGCGTGAATTTATGCTCGAAAACAAAAATCTCATCCGTATGTTTACGTGCATATCAAGGTATTTTTTCTACTGTCGACGACAATTTAAAAGAATGATCTACAATGTATAGAAACTATGGAGGAAAACCATACAATGTGCGCGCAGCTTGATTCAGGTCTATAAACAATCACAAATCAACATTCTTGGAAGCGTAATTGACCACCAGCTGAGGATACCAATCCAATTTGGCTTTGCGTTGTAAAGAATGGCTGGGTTTTTATTCTCACAAACTCACGCATGGGCCGAAAATGAACGCACCTTCTTAGCCAATCGAGCGCTATAAATAGGCAATAAATGAAATTCCGTTAGTCAGACATTATTCACGATGTTTACGATTGCGTTCGTTTAAGAGTTCGTTTTAAGAGTTTCAGAATGAAATACAATTTTATGACATGATCAATGGGCTGAGGTGATGCATTATACTTTATTACGCACGGCGCAAGACGTGAGCAATGCCAATGTGTCTTCGAGCGAAGAAAACTTATAAAACAGACGACAAACGAATTAATGATGTTGTATGCATTGTCGCCATTAAATGGAGCTTATACGAAAATTTCAATTACAACAACAACAGCGAGAACCAGTATTAAAATAAGATAGGCTTCATATCACATGGATTTCAAGCGCAAAAACGAGCGTGCAGAGCGTTGTCATATTGTTTACCAGCATTTAAATACTGCACTTATATGTTTTTATAGAATCTAAGCAAATCTAAAAATGATTTGCTCAGTACTTTTGAACGGTAGGTGTATCATTGGCCAAACCAGTCTCATTTTATTCCCATCTGTTAGCGATAATGTATCGGTATTTCTATGGCTAGAATGATTGAACGAATGCGCATGCCGCAAATAAGAAATTGCGACCGGCGCCTCCGGCTATGAACTTCAACGACGCCCAAATTTGTAACCTGATGCGAGTCTGAAACGATTTTTTAACAAAATAAAGTACGAATAATGTTCGCATTCAGAGCCCCGGTTATTCTTAAATGCCGTCGAACCTGAGTCAACCATATCATACGCCGACAATATTGATGTGGTCCCACGGTTTGTATAAAACTTGGCAGGAGTTTCCTAGCAGTGTTGAATTGCATTCTGAGTGCAATACGTGTTGTTTTGTAAATTTTATATCATAGATGTGTAAAGGCCTTCTCGCCCAAGAGACTAGTGACAAATCATTTCCGCAAGGCTTTAGTTCAATTGGTTTAATTGTTGTCTCTATTGTGGTGAGCGTTAACAGACGCAATGAAGCATTACGTTTACTATATTTTCATTGCATGGGACGCAAAATTATTTAAGACTCCTCGGCAGCCCAGTTACACAATCATACAGATTTTGGGAATACTCGGTGAGGCGCAAATACAGCACCACGCCAGAACATGGTGCGAAGTATTATAATACTGTTATAGAAATGCTACTCATTTTCATAATACTGTAATACAGCTTTTTGAGTCGTTAAATTGTTTAAAAAAATGCTTACCAATGCTAACAAGCTTGATTCTCTCTCTTTCCAAAAATTTCAACGCCACGGAAACGTTTTCCAGCTTCATTTGCCTGAAATTAGGCCTCTTGTTGTACTTATCCATTCTTTTCTGGGATAGTACTTCCAGGAGGCTAATCAGCCTCAAACCATCGGATAAATCCGTCTCCAAGCTTCCCAAACGCTTGTTGACACATTTCAGATGCTCGTTACACCACCTGGTAAAAGTATTCTTCTGGATTTGCTTCCAAGGAGCATCTTCCGCCAGTTCCCTTTCGGTAGCCGGCATCTCTTCGTCGTCGTAGAACTCTCCGCCTGAACTGACTTCACCAATGCTATTCATCGCGCCTTTTGTTAGCTATATATATAAACGAAAAAATCTACGGTTCAGTGCACAATCAATGGTTTTATAGCGTTTGATTGCGTGTGCTTGCACGAGTTGAGTGAATTCCGCTAAAATTCGAGTGGAGTCGCGAACAAGTCGTTTCTTTGCTTTAGTTCAGATCAAATAAATATCGAAGGCTTGTCGTCTCTGTTTTCCAGTTGTTGAGATGATATGTCAGTTATAACAACAATCTAGCTAACTTATACATTCCTATAAAATATGAAAATGTTGGGTTTAGAAGCATTTTATATAGCGTTTAGTCGCTTGGGCGGAAATGAATACGTTTCTTGCTACCACTTCACACGTAATTGGAATGACCTTCAGGTCGTTACGAAGCATCTGAAAGTGCTTTTCAATTATATATTTGCAATTTTTCATCCCCCTTCAGTGTCTACTATACACGAGAAATATTCGACAGGGTATAAAAGTAAATAAAAATTTCTTTTCTGCACTTTTTATCACAATATTATGAATTTGAATCACGAAGACCGATGAAATAAATTGTCGTTAGAAGTTTTGAGGGATATGATTATTATTTTAGGTAAATTTGAGAAAAGTGAACTAGGTAATCCACTCAATTGTATTCGTAAATTCATCTTCGTGATAGATATAAAATTCTATTTCAGAATTTTTATTGAAATAATTCGAAATGCGATGATAAAACAGTTATGGGCAAATTGCCTATCAAAACAATGACGTCATCTGATATGACGTCTAAAAACGTAAACGCCCTCCACCGCCAACAAGCACAAAACAAAATTTTAAATGTTCTACTGTCCTCCTCCCCTTTTTGGATTAACTTGAATTAGCCTATCAGACCAACGTGACCAGACTAGTGACAAGTGCGCTTGCCGAATTTTGAACGGAACGTGAAAACTGGAATTGTGAAATTGCATTTTGTTTCCGCACTTCTTATCACCTTTCCTATAGGTAACAGTCAACATGACTTTGACTAAAAGCGATACCAGTTATTAAGAGCTCACACACAATAAACATAAAAATATAGTTAGAAAGCTAGTGAATATATGCCGCCTGAGAAAAACAAATGAAGATATTTGTATATTAGCGATGTCGAATAGCATCAAGTTCATCGAGATATAACATCGAAGGTTTAGCATCAATAGCGATATCGAAAGTATAGCATCAAGTTCTTTTCCCCGCTGGGCAATATCATATTTTATGTTCATTTTTCTCGTCGAGATGAATTTAATACTTGAACAAAAATTCGTTGGATTTTTATCAAATACAATATCATGATAATTTATTTGAACAACAGAACTATAACTTATTTGAATCTACTTTGATTAACCGAACTTTCCTTAAGTATACTTAAACAGCACATAGCCAATGCAATAGTCCAAGTTCCTAACCTATACACAGGCGACACAAAGCTCTTGCACATGGTTGGCTACATCTCAAAATAACATATTTCAAATCATGCATCTTAGTAATAAATACTCCCCGTAAAGGTATTATGTCTCGCCCATGCTTCCAGGGATGCCAGAAACGGGCGGTTCTGCATCGGTGGATATCTCCATGTTCACTTACGTAGAAATATTGGGATGTGGTCATTGCCATATAAGATCATAATGCGTAGACTGTTCTAGAAAAAGATACTCCTTCATTCAGGCAGACAGCTACAAATTAGATTATCGTTTTCAGTTTATTTCTGAGCCTTGAAGAAATAATCACTTAATATTCATTAACGAGCCTTACATCATACATTAAGCAGATCATACATTTCTAGAAGTCATATTTGTAGACCAATCCTTCAAAATCGGAAAAATAATGTATTTCCTAATATTAAAATTAAAACAAGTAAAATTTAAATTCATTTAATGATGAGAATTAAATTAAACTAAGTAATCTCTCTCATTTGTAAAGGGTAGATTAAGTCAAGTTTGTAATATACCCACGACAAACGATTAATATACGTCGATTAAAATTGATATTCGATGGGGCAAATTAGAATCTGCATTTAAAAATAGAAATCATAAATGTGAATGGGTTAAGTGGATGCTATTTTGCTTTTCCATAGTATTTCAACATCTGTAGTCTTTCTATGTTGATTAAGAAATATCTTTCTAAAAGAAGATTACTTCAATCTACTATCGTCAATATGAGAATTAAGCAGAGCGTGATTGTAAAATCTATTTAGAATCTACAGATTCAAATTTGTCCAAACCTATTAAACATATGTACTTTTATAGTTATAAAATTCTTCTCTTTGCCTTAGAAATCATATTCCAGAGGTAATTCAATAATAAATGATTGTATAGACTCGACATATATATATCACGTTATTCATCAATAAGCCAATTGGAAATAAGTATTTTATGTACATTATGGGCACACTTTTTTATCCAGTAATCGGAAAATGTGATCAACATTATCGTCGATTTTATATTCAATTAATTAGTACATTACAATAGTATATACACGCTATAGTACATTACAAAATTCTCAGTGTTTTCGCCACTTCAAAATAATCATTGGACTAGTTTTAGCACTGAACAATTGTCTCCACTTCCACTCAAGAGCGTTAGCTGACAAATCACAATGGCTGAAACTGTTCAATTGCAATATAATCAATCGAAGAAAAAAAGCTGGGCCAGCCGGATCGCTCTCCGGTAAAATCTACACGACGTCATTGGTGCTTTTAATTGGATGTGGTGTTTTTTCGCACCTTCAGAATGTACAATTTGTAATCGTAGAGTTTTGAATTCCAGAGTATAATGTATTCTACCGGCGGAATCTTATCAGGGATTAATTCTGCGATGTTATTTGCGTCATCATATCCCACTACGGACTCATTTAGCGAAGGCGTGAGCGCGGCGCATGTGCTGAGAAATCCCTAAAGACCATAGAAACTTTGCGAAAGAACGTATAGTAAATATAATTTCGGTATTATTATGTTTCAAGATATAGGACCTTGTTTATACACTGATCTTTCTCATAATGTTTCAAACCGGATGCGAGTGTAATAACGAAGACAAGTCAACTAAAATACCTGCTGATGAGTAGCGTATCAAAACTAATATTTCGAGACGTACACGTGTAAAAATACAAATTATGTTATACACTGAGCAAAAAATGGATAAAAATGAATAATATACAAAAAAAAAAAAATAGCATGAACAACGGGACATCAAAAATTGCTTGCCATTGCAGACAATTTTGCTATGTGCGGCGGAGAAAAAACTTATCAAATTTTATATAAATCCGTCTCTTTTCATGCAAACATAGATTGAACATTCGAGATCATTCAAAATTAGTTCGGTCTGTATATAGCTTTTTTTTTGGTTTTAGAATGAATAGTGTATATATGGTTCCATTACATTTGAACCCACATACATTTGAATTCACGACAATTGCACCTGCATATTCCTGCTATGGAATTTTTTGTTTTTGTTTTACGAATATTTCAACCCATACTAACACTAACCCATGGGTTTTCGCATCCGCATATAGATTGAACCCGCGGATATACACATGGGTTCAAATGTACGTGGGTTCAAATGTACGGTCACCGTATATATATATATTATATATTTATTTGGAAAAATTGTCATGCTAAGAATTTGCAACATTACATATTAAAGAAATGAGCTCCATTCAAATCTGATCGGGCTGAATATATATCCGTGACTCAAAAGATTGCCTGCAGAATATTATATTATTTGGTTTTCACAAATTACTGGCAGTAAAACAAATAATTTAAAAAAGAATATTAACGACATACTTGAACTATTAATTGTCAATTAGAGCTGATGGATAACAGTGATCATAAATGCATAACTAAACAATTACCCCAACAGCGAGCAATACCAACTACCGATTGTGATCAATGAACGTAAAACAAATGCGATTTAATTCACAAGTCTCTGTGGGGTAGAATTTAATTAGGAAAAACATTGACAGAAAAGAGTTCATATTAGTTCACAGAGATTTCAAACGTCCAAAGTAGGCCGCGATGTACATCGATAGCGTTCTTCATGTTATCTAAGACGGAAGCAAGAATGGGCCTCGCCTATTCATACATAGCCCTATCTATAGGGTCATACTGCACTAATAAATTGATTTTCCATGATTTCATAATGAGAAATACTGTTAATTTGTAACTCAACGACCATAATAGGAAGCTGAGTATTTTCATCAAGCAGTTACTTCCGAACAATTAAGTTTATTCGGCTTAACTACTTAATTATGCGTTAAGCTCATAAAAACTGCCTCTCACATTCTATTTATTATGGTGATGTAAACTCTTATTGTATAAACTATAAACTAACTATATAAATCACAATAAACGAACTCTGAAACATAAAGAGATTACCCTAACGACCGATTTTTCGGGTACCTCTCACTGGAAATAGCTCAAAGATTTATTGCCGATATATAAAGGAAAACAAATGAGCGAGGCGAAGAATAGCTTTGAGTTTTCTTGCACTGTTTCAAAACTTCTGATTCGAATCTTGCTAAGCCAAATATTGTGCATCTTTGCCAGATATCTTCATAGCTCTATTTGTTATCACACAGTTATTACCAATGAAGCTATTACCGACTGTTGACTGTTTCTCCAATGATGCAAGCTTCCAAAATAAAAATATGTCAAAATCCCGATGGTGACGGTTGATAATTGAAATCCCTACGGGCTTTTATATTCCACAATCTATAGACACTGAGGCAATAGGCAACAATACTACGATTGGCCGAATCACTCTTGTACGCGACCGATTATATCAGCATACAGCTGTTCTGACGAAGAACGTAGAACTCCTAACTCAGCGTACGAAACAGCTGTACACTCGTGAAACGTAAGATAGGGAGACATTTCAAGGACTTCTGCGGAACATCAACACAGATTTCCCTCGTACCTTCCAGAACTTAACATTTGTTCGATCTTGTTACTTTTGCAACGTAATATATGATAATGAAATTCGGTCCGCGCTTGGACCACAAATAAATTTTAACTTTCTGTGAGTAAATTCATTTTACTCGTATCCCAGTTGTTCGCAGCTTCATGGAATATAGAAAAATATTTTATTAGTAAGAGTGAAATTTCCCCCTATGTTATTGCGCGGACATTACCTTCCGTGATAATGAGGGATGGCATCTCATCAAAGGTGGCTTTTGCTTTTAAGAGATAATTAAATTTAATTAGAAAAAGCTTAAAGGACAATATGAAACAAAAATCATCGCACTGGGAAAGGAAAGTATTGTTAACTTCTGTTCGTTTTAACTTGCAATTTGACTTTGATCCAAGGTCGCAACTACTGAAAACGAAAACGAAAACTTCAATTCTCGTATAATAGAAACTTTTACCTTTGAATTTGGATTAGTGATGTAATTTAATACCTCACAAAACCTAATATCCCACGCATTAGTAACCATGTTTCAAATTAAGATAAAAATACAATGCACAGGCGATTCAAAATGAAGTTTTCATTGGCAACAAAACCAGAAATATTTCAATCAACTTTACTACAAGTTATTAAAATTTTAAAGTGAAAGATTAAAGGACTCGTTCTTGCTTGGTGTAAATTAACCATTAGCACGTCTACACAACTACCTATATATATAGGAAACTATACGTCAGTTGATATACTTATCTATGACAGAATTTGCCATTTGGATTCACCATGACATCATTAAGTGATAATGAAGTTCGGAACCGACATATTACACTAACAGTAGTACAGTAACATTTTCACAACTAATGCAGAGATAAGTTAAGCGGGTACAGCTTTATATACACTTTAAATTCTATTACGTATATTATCATCAAAATGCGTTAAGCCTCTCCAAATTTATCAGGGGAGTATGCTTTAATTTGACGTCACCCAGGCTTGCGAAGATTCAGACATCGTATCAAACCGTAAATATGATCAAACAGATAGTAGTCGAGAGAGTCTAGGCCAGGGTGGTCCAAACCCAAGCCCGCGGGCCACATGTGGCCCGTCGCTTCATTATCTGTGGCCCGCGTCGCATTTGCGCATGGGTAAACAAAAATTCGCATTTGGTGTTGTTTCGTCATAAAGATAACCAGAAAAATCTTTCGACATAATGTTACATAACTAATTTCACTGAATTGACTAGTATTTTGGCTAGCTGAGGCAACTAGCAAAGTTCAATGATGTGCTTGGCAGTCTAAATTTTTATCTGGCTTTCCATCTTTTTGGTCGAGAATATATGCTAACAAAATAAGCTTCATATAAAACTGAAAATCGAATGGAGATCCATTAGCGCCTAATAACCAAATATTAATGTTATGTCCGAACAATACAATTCCCGCTGGGTGGTTTTTTGTAACCAGCCTAAACAGTATTAAAATGCTGCCTATATGTCAGAAAATTTGGCAATTACCCTCCTGTATCTTAAATTTGGTAAAATTAGGTAATCAATCAATCTGCAGTTACTTGTAAGTTATTTTGTAAACATGAGTTTGAAAATAAAGCTGACCAATTCAAACATATTTTTGACTGGATGTGAGGGAAAATACCACAATGCTTGCTTGATATGTCCGCAAGTTGTGTCGGTGACAATCTAATACGGCAGTTTCTCTTTGTGACACTTTCTTCGTTATGAAAAGTTTGAAATCTTACACTAAATGTAGAAAATAGTAATATTTTTGCACGTTTTAGTAATTTTGTTTTTGTAGTTTTTGCATGCTTTAGCTTAAAAAAATGTCAAATAATGATCAATGTATTTGACAATAAAGGTCTTTTGTTTTGTATTGCACTGTTTACATATTCTTGGCACTATTTTGGCCCGCGACTAATACAAAAATGATAGTGTGGCCCGGGAGGTCGACAACCTTGGACCACCCTGGCCTAGGCCCTAGAAAAACTACGAGCAAATTGCACGGTACTGCCTCTTGTGGGGTCTGTGATACCAAGGCAACGTCGACGCCAACAGTGGGTCAATGTAGAATTGTAGAAAGCGATAACTTTTCCTTCGAAGTGTTTCCTTCCGTATATTCGTCTTTTATCAAAAAATTACAACTGGTTTAAAATATGGTGTTAACTTCAAACATTAAAGAATCAGTTAACAGCCGACAAGCTGGTAATAAAGTATCAAGTCGAAGTTTCAACAGCTTGAAAGGTCAGCATAATGGAACTGCTGCAGGTCAGTTTCCAGACGTAAAATAATTTAGATTAATATACTTAATACACTATTAAACCACCATCGCTGGATCTGGCAGTCTGGTGAGGTGAAAAAAGTCAAGAAGAGATCCAAGAAGTTCAAAGATATTTTTTCAAACTACACCATACTAGTCTACAATATCCAATATTCCCGATATCCTGTGAAATAACAACCTCATTCCCATATCCTTGTCTGAAATCAATACCCAAGAATGAAAAACCTCACTTAGACCCTTTGTAACCAATTTATTTCCACATCCTACTTTACTTAATTATAGTAATTTTACTGTTACCGGTAACTTAATTACTTATTACAATCTGGACTATAATTTGGCAATAATAGGCTCTAATTTGGGGAATGAAATGGTCTCGCCCACCTCTTCATGCACCCAATTCTGGCAACTTTGGTTGGGCAACTTGGCATTTGACTCCAACTATAATCAGCTTGGCAATATGTTTTCAATAGAATCTTCCTTTTATATACCTAATTAACGATTAGAAGATCGATCAATTTGGCAATGGCAACCATTACAAAAATATCAATATGGTGTGGCAGATAATTTTCTTTTCTAGTATTTATTTATTTTTTTGTTTACTGTATAGTATACCCTAAATTTATCGCGTTTCATTCTTACTTAAATAACTTCTCAGTGGTTGTGTGTGTGTGTGGCTGGTGGGTGCATGTGAGCGTGTGTGAAATAACTTGATAATTTTAGGTGAGTAAACACGTACCACTTCCTCTTGGCAAAACCTTTCATCTTATATTTTGTACGTTATAAACCTTATCTAAGGTTTTGTTTGCTCCCCTGATTTCATAATCAGATTTTATTTATTTGTTTTTATCTGTCAAATGTATTGTTATGCTGATTATGGGGTCGAAATAAACTTATACTTATATACTTATACAAAAAAATAAAAATACGTGAGAAAAACTCACATGACCGGAATTTGGGGATGTTACAAACTTAAAATGATGTTCACTTATGCAGATATTGGACCTAAAAGTACCACATTAGTATTTTATATCTGACAAAGACCACACTAAAAGGCTTAACAGTTCAAATTCTGGCCCGCGAGCCTCCTGTCAGCCTGTTGCACACCCTGTTCTAAAGGGAAATACTGAAATAGAATGAGTCTGCACGAATGTATATATATATATATAAAATTTTGCGCGATCGTTGACTCGTACTAAGCGTTATTAAGACACTTGCCTTCACATTGCTGATTCCTCTGTAGGGATAATTTTTGGAAAGAGGATTTCTAGACTGCCCCCCTAAGTCCATGAATTTGAAATCGATAACTGGTAAACTATTCCCATACTGCACATGGACTGATATCCAGAAATGAGGCCGATGTTTTTCATATTATTGAGTCATGATATATTTTTTCATAGGATAAATTTGAAAATCCTATCTATTGCCAACTTTATAAATGTGAAAATATATATAGGTTAGGCCATTAATCCAGTAATTAATAAATAAGCTGTAACTTTTGTTATGTTTAATATTGTGTGAAAGTCTTAAAGTAATTATACTGTAAAATGTGGAAGCAAGCTGCTCATTCCGCTATATCAAAAGATAGGATTGAGCGAAAAAATACAGGGGGTTTAAGTGTTTCATCAAATCAAGCACAACAACCTGGTGATGAAGTTGAAGATGGAGAATTAGATACTGGTATCAGCGTGTGCTCTTGCTGTGAGATATTGATGAGTTTTGAACAAGTTGCATTAACCTTTTTTTTAAGTTTTGGAAAGTGTCAAACTAGCAAGTTTTGTGAGATTTCAGGTTTTGTGTTCCAATTAATCGAATCATCAATGTATGTAAACTTGGAGATAATCAATGTTAAATATTAACACCAACATTTCCGACAACTTTATGACTGATATATATAGATTGAATTTACTCATACCATATAACGTTAGTTCGAGTAAAAACCATATATAAACACTGATTAAAATAAAACAAACCTGGTGAAGATATATGTTAAGAACTGACTTTCGTAACACAATTGAAATTGTAACAGAATTTAATGAATACTTTGCAGCTAAATCTTTTTCTCTAATATAAGTACTGAGTTAGTGCATATGACATTGCTTGAATTTTTCAACCTATTTTGGATAATTTCTCATGCAGTTAGGATTTAATAATAATTTTTTTAGAAAAATATCAAAATTTTTGTTACACTTGTATCCAGAATTCATATGGTGCTTTACATTTTATTTTAAATTTTGTTTAAATTCTTTTGAGTTAACTTTCTATGTTGGCAGACTAGATAGCAAGTTTTCTATTGTTAAGCAATCAAACTTGGATATAAGTACACTATAGAAAGCTATGGGTCATAAGCGATACGTCTATGAACGTTTATAACATATGGAAATTTTAGTTAAAAGTCAGGTTCCAGTTTACCAAAAAAAAAAATTCCTCAACATATTTATTATTTTTGTGTAACTGAGTGGCTACTTTTTCCTAGAACTGGCCCTGACACCATTTATAGTTTCTTGAAGTTTGTTATTTAACCATTAAAACATTGCTTTTATTTGTTTCATTAGATGTGGTTTAACCATTGCATAACCAATAGAAAAACAAATATAGAATTTTTATTTTAAAGTTTTGAACAATTAAAATCTCTAACTAGCAATGGTATATTCATATTCTATTCAAAATGTATCCCAACCACTTCTCCAAAGACTCTTTACTTGAAGTTGATAATTCTGTAATAAGTGTCATCAAATAATATTAAACTTTGTAAATTAGTTTGCAGTTTTACATATTCTTATTAATAAACTATTTGGGTCTAAAGAAGGCTTAAGCTGTCCAAAGCATAATAACATTTAAGAAGTATAAAATAAATGCTTTTCATAACTTTTTTGCTAGAATTTGGTAATTTTTTTTTTAAGATGGGATGGGATCTTCAATACCATAGTTAGAAAACAAATTTAAATAGCTACTGATCTCATCAATGTCCTAATTTTTTCTTTGTTTCATAGAAAAGGGAAAAAAGAAAGGGGCTGGTTCACCAGATCAAGCAATATCACCCAGAAAATCAGGAAGTGACATCTTGAATAGTGATGACATTCAGAAGTTATCAATCAGAGATGAAGATCTGCAGAAAGTTTGTTCCTAGTGTTATTGTTTCCAAGATTTTTTTTATTATACAAGAATATCTATATAAAGTATCTTGCTTTGTGAATCTAGTAATCATGCTAAACCTTGTAACATCCTCACAATCACATTGCTAATTACTCTTCATAGTGGGGACAGATTCAAATCCATGAGGGATCATGTGCAAGAAAGTTGTCAGGGTTTTTGCAATTTTAGCGTGTTCAGGTCATTCTATAGTTTGTTTTTTATATGACACTTATTCATGGCTTTTTCGCCCTGAACAAAGCAACCAACGATGGGTACAAAGCTACTGTTTTTGGAAGGACTGAAATCTCTCCAGTTCGGCATTCAGCCTACTCAATTTAATACACCCTGGATGAGGTGGTGGACATGGGATTTGATTCCAAGATGTGCAACATTAAGTATACCCATTAATTAACCAGACGCCCATTTTGACGTTATAGCTTACCCCACCAACTATGTCCAGGCATCGCAATAAATCTAACTGTCTGACTATCTTGATCAGGACTAGTAACCACACAAGAAGTCTGCATACTCAGTCTGAGATTGTTACTATATACGTTTCAGCGAGCTCGTGATAGATTGTCATTTTATTGGGATAAATATATTGCACCAAAAATGGAATTACCTACAAAATGCTGATATATATTCAGACATTTCTCTTTTGCTTGTACAGGTTAGGAAATCACATGAAATCACATCAGAGAGAAGTACAAAACCGATAGAAACAAGTAGATATAAGGTTAAAAAACTAAAACCTCAATCTGAGCAAGAAAAACAACAGAAAAAAGTAATTGTTGCACGTACTGCTCCTGCTGATGCTGAACTCAAACCTATTGATTATTCTGGACCGTCAGGACCAAGGTATGTTAATTAGTTATGGGATTCGGAGGGTTTGTGCGATCATGTTTTTGGAATGCCGTGATAATCAGCAAAACTGTTTTTCTTATCTGTTGCGATGCTAGTCGATCCCAGCAAATGGGTAACAGACACCACAGCTAACGACTAGTGGTAAATTTGAAATTTTGAAAGTAATGTATTTAGAATATGTATATGAGATAATAAAACATAACTTAAAAGCCTATGTTGCTATGTTGAAGTGTGCCTTTATAGATATTTAAAATGTTAGAAAAACTTAAATCTTTTTCAATATACTAATTGTCAATAATTTAATGGTATATTGCAAATTGTACGAATTAAAAGTTGATCCTTGTGCTTTTGTGAGATACCATAGTTCATAAGTAATGACTTTTGAACATTTTTAATTTATTTTGTAAGGTACAATCACCAGACAGGTGAAATAATATCACACAGTTTGCTTGGATCAGTTGAAGATTTTGTATCTGAAGCCGTTAAGCAAAATTTCATCAGGGTAAGGTTATATTTTATAAACATATTTTCATATCATATAGTCTGGTAGTCTGGTACAAGCCGGTCTTTTGTGAAGTAACTGTTTACTTTCTAAACAAAATCTATATAAGCTACATGGATTGGGTGTTATTTTGATTTTTACCTGAATGACGAGGAATTGAACTTGCTTTGAGCATTACCATATATACATTTATTCATCATATTATATCATATTTTGGTTGTAGGTGACCCACAAAACAGAACCTAGGTGATTTGTAACATATTCTACAGAGATCATAGCTTTTGTGCAAAGTGTCCTAGATCATAGGTTCTCAAAGTGCTCCCAGAGCCCCAGGGCTCCGTTAGAGAAACTCAGGAGCTCCGCGAGCTATTCGATTACTTTTCAAAATACTGGATTTGCTAATTTTGTAACTGTTAAAAGAAGCAATAACAGCTTTGATAAAATTTGACAACAATATAGCCTCGAAATATGGCAAAGAGACGGAATTAAAAAATGACATTATTTATAAGCATGAGCGTAGCCAGGTTTCTTAAGACGGAAGGAGTTCAAAATTGGAATCGGAAATTTCCACGCAACATTATTCCCGATTAAAAAAAAATGGAAAACGAGATTTTTGTTGCGTAAAATATTCAATCCATGATCGATGCGAGCATTTAAAGTGTCTTGTCGTAATGATTCAATTGGGCTCATCGTTACTCACGTTTGATTCGAGATAACTATTAAGATTACTAAGATGAAAGAATACTATTCTGAAATAACATTAAATACGCGATAAACTGCCATCTATAAATAAATTGCAGTCGTATTTTTGCGATCTTGGGATTTGTCAAGCTTGATTTTGTTCTTTCGCACTCGAGAGCAAGATATCGCCGTTTAAAAAATCATGAGGTCTAGGCATAATACGAAAGATCGAAATTTATTTCATTGCATGCGGCTCCGTCGGTAGTTTCAGAATGGAAAAAAAGGTAGGCTACATCGCGCGCATAATTGGCTGTGGTCTCGTTTCGCAGTTAATACGATGAATAACCAAAGAAAACCCAACATAACACCAAATTTTGTGATTTACAATGTCTATAAAAGCGTTTTAAATCTGACATGAGTCTGCTGAAACAAAACGTATAGTGTTATCTTCCATTTTAAGTTTTAATTTTAATATTTTAGAATGCTGCTTTTCAATCAAGAAATTTGAGTTGCGGATTTACCTCTTTATTATTTTTAGCATTTCGTCTCCGACGACTATAATATGGTAACATGTTTTTTCACATTGAACATATAATTCCCCACGAGAACAAAAAAGCAATACTCGTCGACTCGTCGTCATTGTGGAACAATACATGTATATGCTGAAGGGAATTTTCGATTTAGGGAGAATAAACAGCGCCATGCTGACGAAAATATTCGGCGATTGTAACAAAATGCAATCGCGTACGTTATTAGCGGCCTTTTAAGTCTTTCAAAAATGTCTAAAGATTCGACCCCTAATTTATTAATATGTTTGTCAAGTGCCAAATTTACAGCTTTAGTATATATAATTTATCAAGGACCATATTGTACATATTTGATTTACCCTATTATAATTTATATAAATCAAAGGGGTGTATGCCGCACATCTGTGTTTTAGGCCAATATGGTCTTGTGCATACATCCCGTCTTCAGTATTTATAAGTACTTACTCTTTTATATTGCTTTTACGAGACGAATAAACATACATACATACATACATCTTTGACATTTAGATTCATTTATGACTTGTAATAACCCCATTAAAGGAGGTTAGCATTTAAATTAAGTAAAGTACTTTTAACTTACTCAGGAATATTATTCGGAAAATAACAATTTTAACATTTATTTTGGGGCTCGTGAATAATAGTCAACTTTTTCAAGGGCTCCGCAACACAAAAAGTTTGAGAACCCCCGTCCTAGATAACCAAAACTCCAGACTCCAGAGTACAATCAAAGTTAAGATGTTAATTAAATTTTCTTCCTTTTTTAAGAAGTAATTATGAAATCAAGGATTTTGTTATTTTGGGCACTCTGTATGGTAAAAACGATTCCTGGATATTTGCATTTTAGTTGTACTCTTCTTTGCAATGTATAATATAAACAAACATCTTTTAAAATTGAATATATAAATAGGTTTGTACACATATCTCTGCATTAGAACCAAGTAGCTTATGCATTATGCCTCATTTTAATGTTTTGTGAAATTTGTTTTAAAAGATCGCTTCTAACAGCCAAGCATAAGGTCATTTTAAGGCTCCGCCTAAAATTTAAACTAAAACAGGTACAGCTTTGAAACTAAAACCACAAGATAGTTCTGGTCGATGATGGCAGAAGATAAAAAGCTTTTTTGTTTACAGCAGTTATATGTTGAATCTAATCTTTTTGAATGTGTTTTTTGCAACATTTTTTCCAAGCTTAGACAAAGCATCGTTAATTAATATTTCAGCCTGATTCAAGATCAACTGCAGTTTTGACACCGGTTCAAGTATCTCATAAAATAAATATCAAACCATCTAAAGCTCAACCAAGACCAAAAAGTCCGAAAATAAAAATGGCTTTGAATCAAGGAAATGCTCTTCAAAATTGGCAACGAAAAATGGCAGATAGAAAACGTCAACAGGGATTTATTTCAAGTAATTATATTATTTTTGTCATAAAACAATTGACTACCTAGCTTATATTTTATATTTAAGTAGTTTTTTATTATGGATATCCCAAGAAATTTACCAATGTAGTGAGAAATATGTCTGATATTAGTCATACCATTACTTTTTACCCGAAATAATTGTTCATTAACGGCTATTATTTTTTGTAGTGATTGTGATTTATCATTTAGAATGCATGCAATGAAATTTTTTTTGCCAGACTTAGGATTTCTCAGATCAATGTCTGAAGCCCCTTATGAGAATTCTTGGAAGTCACCATTAAAATGTTAATGAGAACTGTATATAGCTTTATTTTTGCTACTTGGCAATAATTAAAATTGATTCATGCATGACACTTGAACTATTTCAACCTATATTGTTGGGTAAGTAAATGTACACAAATTCTGTGAAGCGAAAGTTAATTATATCTTGAAGTCCCAGACCATCAGGCTGTTTTACTTGGCATAGTATGTTATTGCAAAGTTTTAAAATTCATTTAATGATTTTAAATTTAGAATTACTTCAGAAACCCATTGATCGTTTGGTTATGCATAAAGATGATGAATTCAGAAAAGTGCAAGAATTAAGAACACTCGTCGATCGGGCTATTCCTGCTGTTGATTATGGAAAAGGATGTGAGTAAATAATTCTACTATTTGCTTTTTAGATTGTACCTTGATTCTATATTTTTGTTCAAGTCAAGTTTATTTTTTCAAACTATTGAAAATATCGATCCTACACAAATTTTGAAAAAAATGATAATTACACAGTTTCACTGAAGAAACTGCAGTAACAACCAAGGGGCTAATAGCCAATAAAAAGAATTGGAAACTTTATTTTTTTAAATTTTTCTAGTCCAAACCAGTATAAATCATTTTATCATAATTTCTTTGTTCAACAATAAAGTAAAATATTGTCCAAATGCTAAAATTCAATGAATAACATATTATTTCAGATCGAGTCGGTAGTGAATTTTGGAGACAACATGAAAGTTTTGGTGACGACTTGACTGGAATAAAAATGACTCTCACTAAAACTGAAAAAGGAGTTCCAATTGAATTCGGTATATTCATCATTTAATATAAATTGCATTGTGATCATGATGAAAAAATAAAAAAAAAAGATGAAATTGTTTTTAAATGAACTCTAGGAGAAATTATACCAACATTGACTGGTAACCCGGCGAAAAGCCATGGTTTGCCATATCATTAAGCTGTCTTATCAGCTTTCCTTCACCCAAGATAAATATAAAAAAACTATCTAGATATTTTCCTACATTAGCTTATTGAAATAGTTTAGTTATCTTCAAGTTTAGAAAGTAGTGGTGACATACACAAGGGATGAATTAGTTAATCATTGTTATCAAAAAAGTACATTACAATAAAGTGACAAAATTATTTGTTCGAATTATTTGGTAAATAGATATTTGAAAACGATAACATTTTTTAAATAAACTCATTTTACTTTGATTACTTTTAAAGAAATTCCATTAGATATTAAAACCCAATTTTTATTTGAAGTTCAATTATACATTACTGATTTTAATCCTTTGTTGCCTATTCTTACAGAACATGTGGCAAAACCATTAGTGTTACAAGTAGAGACCGGAATTATAGACCCTACCAAAGATGAAAGAACGATAAACACAGCTCGGCAATGGAGATCCAGTGATTATCTTGAACAAAGATGTCGTCAGTTAGCTCCAGTCATGTATGAACTGGATCCATACAATCCGGTACAGTATATTTGTTTGTGTTTTTATTAGAAGTAAAATTGGGCAAAATTCTCAAATGAAAAACTATAAAGGCAAACAATGAATAATATCAGACTTTACTATAAGAATCAGAATGGCATCACAGGTTCAAATGCGTTGGCAGTTGGCACAGGTGAATGCATTGGCAGGCTTATTCAGAGCATATGGCATAGATTCATGTCATATATCAAATAATGTATGCAAAAGTAGGTAGTTATATTAGTAGACCAGCTTGGGACCAGTCTCTATCTCTGAAGTTCAACTTGTGCCTTACTTGAGGAATAGGTAAACGAATTGAGCAAAATATGGTTTGACCAAAGCTGTGCAAAAGAATCAAGTCCAACTATCCATCAGATTCAGACATTCAAGTTTGTCGTGCAAAAACCATTAATCGATATAAAGTAAAAATAAATGAAATTGGTTGATAGCAATAGACAAGGGTTGCGAAAAGCAACTCACTAGAGACTTCTGTGTTTGGGATATGCCTCATTGAATATGGATGCGGCAAAATAATCATGACTTATATGACCAGGCATAATATGTAAGGCAAAATGGTTTGCCCAGCTATGAATCTTTCACTACAGCAAATGATATTTGAAAAATATTTTATTGTTTCATTGTGTTGGTGATAATGTTGATTATTGGCAATATAATTATCATGTTTTTTTTTTTCAGGATATTGCAAATCTCCAAATAATAGGTGAACCATGTGATAAAGAAAACATACCACTTGATCAAGATATGATGCGAGAAGAAGATATGGTTAAGCCAGAACAAAACGTATATATCCTATTATGTTTTATTAAATAATTTTTTCAATTGTTTTTACTCAAAGTGAAGGTTTTTGTGTTCAATTTCCATGGAATCAGTGAAGTTCATAAGTCTCAAGAAATGTTTCAGGAGATGGGGAGGATATTCGATTAAATATATTTTTTCATTTGTTTTTAAGTAAAGCTCCAGTTAAGCACAGACTAGACTGCACTTAATTGCTCAGTGAGTAGTTGTAAATTCTGCCCTCGTATATGGATGACATATCTTGTATGCTTTCTAAACATTCTGTAAGGAAATTCTAGTAAATATTTTACCAATAGTTCATTGATATTCTGTATTTTCTATGTTCACGGAGGAACTTTTTTCCTCTTCTCTTTTCTGTTATCCCTACCTGATACCACACATTATTAACTTTGTGACTGCTAAATATTGTAAGTGGTTCATGTTTTGTCTAGCCATCACCCCTTGACGATAATTTAGCCCAAAATTAGTATGACATTACTCAAGCCCATTCTATGAAAATATTTCTTGTTAGGAAAAGTATGACAGCAGAGAAGTGGAATACATTGATCCATTGGAAAAATACCCAGATGTTTTTCCTGAACCTGTGATGGGTCCAAGTATTATGTTTGGAGAAAATGTTGCTTCGTGGAATGGTTCAAGTACAAGTCACATTGTAAGTGCTTAAAAGTATAGGTATCTATATAAAAATAGTTGTCAACATTGACTATGTGAGAGAGGGTTTTGACTTCATTGTCGTCTTAAACAGAGGGTTGGTTCATGTACCACCCTCTACTGATCAGGTATAGCTTCCCCCAGTCGTAGTAGTAACAGTCCTAACCAACCGACGGTTATTCAACAACTCCTTTAACAGCAAGGAGGTCCAGCCAGTCTTCTCGCACATAGTTTCCCCCCATTGGATTCAAACCCATGTAAGACTTGTTAGGAATACGATCACCACCGCATCACTGATTACTTTGTGTGGGTTCACAGGTTCAATTCCTGTGGAGATAATAATGTGCAAGAGGATTGCTGGACCCCTCGCCGCCGTAGGGTGTTACGTAACCGCTGGACAGTTACGACCTCCTCCACCATCAAGTCCATGCATCTGAAACAAATAACTAGCTGACTAATCCCATACCCAACATGGACCGGTAACTGGACAAGATGCTGTGGTTCTCCATATGATTAAGCCTCCTCGTTGGCTTCCCGGGATAAATATGTAAACTGTGGTTTACTGTACAATCACCATACGATCCTCCCAGAGTAAATACAAAATTATTCATCTATTTCAGGGCCAAATAGGACAAGTTAGTCGAGTATTTTTCGAATCCAATGCTGGTGAGCGAGTCACATCTCATCTTAAAGTTCATAACAATGGAACAACTGCAATTTATTTTCATTGGAGAAGAGTTGTGACCCCGCCATCTTTTGAGGCAGTAAAAAGAGATGAAATTCAGAGGTTTTACTTCAATAATGGAGAAGGTTTATATCATGACTTTCATATTTTTCTGACGAGACACATCATTGGATATGCTCGGATATCAAAGCCCTTTATACTACAAGGAAAAAAAGTCTGCCTCTGTTATATTTTTACCATGTCCAATTATAACATAAGTATAGGAAGCAGATAGGTTTGGGGTACACTAAAATCTTGAAACTTTGTTGATCTTTGATATGAGATTAGTCTTTTATTGGCATTTATTTGAAGCTGAATTCTTTAACGGCTTTTTAGGTTATATTTGCATTTTATCTGAGTTTATGAAATTTGTTTTGTCAATGTCAGGTGTGGATATATTTTCTTTTCTTCCTGATGGTATCATTATCAGAGAGAGTATGATTTTTTGATTCTTTTGATTTGCCGGTATTGCCCTTATGTCTCAAGTCAAGACACTTTGTATAAAGATCAAGCTCTCTCTAGTATATGTTGCAAATTCTTCTATGATTTTTGTAGATCACCCTGTACAATGTACATTATTATGTACATGAATATCCATGCATCTGGGATGTCTAAATTGTTAAATATTGATGTATCTTCTCTGAACTGGTATCTGAGAGAAAGCTTGTTTTCATCTACCTGGGATAAATATGAATAATCCAACTTTGTCTCAATGCATTATTTGAATTATATTCGCATTGAAAAATTTTTACTTTGAAATTGCAACTGTTCTTCTATACCAGTTGGCTTTACCTTATTCAATTTTGTCTTTTTTTTTATTATCTATAAACAGCCTTTTCTTAATTCTTTTTTCAGGCGTTGTACTACCAGGTGAAACAAAACACTTTCCTTTTGTTTTCAAGTCACCAAATCCAGGAATATTCACTGAAACCTGGCAACTACTAACTGAACCTGTTGTTATGGGAGGAGCAAGTTTACATGTAAAATTATTTTTAATTTAGCTTTTAAAATGACTTGGAGATTTATAGCAGTTTGTCATGTACCAGAATAATATTTGGCAAAGTGACAGAAAATAATTTTATTTGTCTCAAGTATTGGTCATTTATTTGTTAATGTCTTTATGAGTTTGTTGTGAGGGAAAAAAAAAGATTTCAGTTTTTGTACTCGATTGGATGTGAGCTCTCATCTGTTTATAGTAAGTGTACCGACAAGACATAAAAACGTTTATTCAAAATTGGTCGCCAAAACTTCAAGTATGTGGAATTCACTACCTCACAGAAATTTTCCTGATCTTATTAACTTCAACTGTTTTAAATCTGTTTCAAGTCAACTGGCCGGAAAATACAGTATATTTCATCTTTTCGTTTTTAGCGGATGGTTGATATATTATGTATCTTTAGGTTGTATTGAAAGGTATTGCAACTGAAGATGACGTTAATTTTGAAATAAGAAATGAGATATTGAAAGAATTAAAATCAAAAGAAGCTGAAGTTGCTGCTAGGAGTATTATTGAAGAAATTATTAAATCTATTCGAGAATCTGACAGGTAGACAGCAAATTTAAATTTAAATATATATGTATTCTATTTCAATAATTCACAAATATTACTGCGATATAAAATTTACAATTTATTTTTTTTTCACTTCATCATCATTGTTTTAATCATTACAAATATTCACTTATATATACAGTATATTAAGACAGACTTTTTGTACTTGAATAGACTTATGGATGTAAATATTTGTTAACTTCAAAGAAATTATTTTTCGGTGCAACTGATCTCAATTCTCAGTGACATAAATGTATATACTTCGTCTTAACATCTGAAAAATTTGAAATATATTGGTGATTTATTTGCTTTGCCCCATTTAGATACTAATTGTTTTATTTAAAGTGTAAATGAATATAATATTTTCCAAATCATACTTGAGATGACTTTTCCTATAATTAACTGTGTTGAATGGTAATTTTTTTTTTACAAGACTTTACGAGATGCACTTTAAAGAATCTAGTTGTGTAAATTAATTACAAGTATGGTAATATGTGGCATATGTTATAGTTTTCTCTTGCAAAAAAAATTGATAGAGTATATGGAAATGGGTTTGGTACTGACAAACTAATATAATTCAGGCCACCATCACCAACAGATGCATACATCACAGAAGAACAATTATTTAAACGTAAAAATCCAAGTTCTCAATATGATTATGAAACAATACTGGAACTCAAGAACTTTTATCTTCAGGTTTTTATAATTTCTAGTTTGCACTGAATACTAAATGATGGTTCCAATAAGTTATAGTTGAATTTTGAATTTTATAAAAACTCAAACTCATGAATATTCTAGTATTTCTTTATTTATGCATTTTTAATTCATGCATGTCTCGGTTGCTCATATTTTTGGAAAAAGTTTGATACAGAATGAATGAAAATTAGATTCTGAAACTTATCTGATTGATGGTTGGTTGCTTGGACTTCGTTGTTCGTAACAAAAGTTCAGGCAATGAAAAATTCTTGCTTGTCATAATGCATTTATGGATCGTGTCAATATTCTAATAATTGTCAGATAGAGTTTTCAGACACATTTTCCTGAAAAAATCAAATTTCCTGAAATCAATTTGAAATTGGTTATATTCGATATTCACTTTAGTGAATTTTATATTTTAGGAATAACTAGAATTATTTTTATTTGAAAACTTGGTATTTTAAGAATCTGATATCTGATGATTAGATAAAAAATACACTTTATTCATCTTCTGACACTGTAAAAAGTAGGAAATTAAACAGAAAGATGTTTTTCTCAACTACTCTCCATCAATTTCGATGATTTCTGCTAATAGACCAAATTAAAAATATATTCCATATTCAATAATACTATTCTAAGTGATTGCTGCACATTAACATGTGTGAACCCTACTGCGACGAGGAGTCCAGCAATCCTCTCGCACATATATTATTGTTAGTGTGCGCTTAGGATAGTTATCTTTAATCTTGCTAAAGTGCCCTTGCAATAGATGCATACAGATACACCAGCACAACAGCATAGAAGAAGGATAAGTAGTTAGTCCCACAGAAACCAAATAAATATTCAGAAATACTATTTTTTTAAATGTAATTATCATAGAGAATTACTTAATTGTTTTTATATTTCGTATCGTGTTTAGTTATTTCCAGAAGAAAGTCGTCCTGATCGTGAGTGGGATTTGTCTCTCGATGAATTGAAAGATTGTATTGTAGCTGTTCCTGATGAAAATGCCAAGGAAGAATTGTTAAACGGTCTTGGTACAGTTATTGGTAGGCTTGGTTCAAAACCATTTACACCAACACAGAATCTTATGTACGCTGCTTGGTAAGTAATTCGTTCTGGTTTCAGGTAGTTTCATGCAATTGTTTAAATTTCTAGAATTTGTCTTTATGAGTCTTTATCTTTGTGAGTTTGTCTTAACTACTATAAATAAGACCATATGGAAACAAGAAAGCAATGCTCAAATATATGGACACAAATAACTATCGTAATATTAGCAAAACTCGGCCTAATGTTAAAAGAATTGAATTGATTGCTTTGTGAAGATGTAATGATAAAATTATAAAAATTGTAAAACATCCCTTTTCCATTTCCTCAATTATTTGCTGTCTACACTGACTAATTGCTGTCACTCCATACTGTGAGGCAAAATCAGACTCTCGAACACCACTCCTGTATTTCACAATAATTTATTTTTCAGTCTAATAGTTGTTCTCACTGTTTTTGTCTTCTCCCCTTTTGCACTACTTTTTTGGAGCCCAGGTCAACAGCAAAAAAAGCACTAAATCATAAAAATTTGCAACAGGTGTTATCTCAGTAACGTTCTGACTTGAACTGATGCTAGTTGAATGGTCGGAGGCAGTCGAGATGTGTGGTTCGGGAAGTTCAAGTGGCGTTATATCACTAACGGCTTGGTTATTTTAGATCAGAATTTGTGTTCGAGTACCGCAGAATTTTTGACTCAAAATTTTTGGTCAACTACCGAATTGTTCGATTTCGAGTTGTTTGACAACTGAGGTATCACTTTACTCATATTCCTTTTTGTAGTTATCAAAGGCTGCAAGACACGATAGATGGAATATGTAGTTCTTCCATGAGAATTCGATCGATCATGGGTCTGCCGGAAATTGTCATGGAACCTGTTGTAGAAGTAGATGCAAGTGGTATGTTGGTTAAGCATTCATCTTTCATGCATTCTTAAATTGAATCATATTTGTGTCAAGCATTGATTATAATTAGCTATTAAAATAGTTTAACACAGAAGATAATACAGCAACAGATTAGAACTCGACTCAATTAGAATGCATTTTATTGATTATTATCGAATATGATTTAGATTATTCTATACTTTTGCTTTGATCAAAAAATTTTGGTGATCGATTCTTGTTGCCATAAAGGTTGAAATATTTTAATGATTAGATTAGAGTGAAGTTTCAATAATTACTCTTTGGTAACTTCATAATGCCGAAATTAGCACAAATATAAATATTAAATCGCCAAATAATCTCCATAATGTACTTTTGATTATTTGGTATTCCACAAAATATACATGGCAGTGTGTCTCAACATGTGAGTTGTAATCCCCAAGCTCGATGGCGTTATGAGTTATGACCATACCAGTCATGGTGTGGTATAACCATATTGGAGGTTGTAGTTTGACATATGAATAAGTCATCTTATCAACTTTCCTCTCTTCGGGATAAATATAAAATTTCCGTTTTAATTTCCGGAATTATGTGACCTTATATTAGCTGCTGCCGCCCAACAACAACCGACTGCAGATAGCAAAGGCAAGATATTGTGTTGATATTCATAGTGTGCTTTTCACTCTCTTTAACACTAACAATATTGTGAATTTGAAAAATAATCCATCATAGAAAATTCAATTCATCTTATAGTGGTTTTTAATGAAATGCTTTTTAATATGATGCTTTTATCATGTGTTTCACACTAAAATGTATGCTGTGTACAGTCAGACAGTTATGTAAGGAGATTTTAGAATAATTAAGAATGTTTTCAGTTCAACATTACATGTCCAATTTATTACACCCTGTGTGAAGTGGTGATCATGGAATATGAACCCTGATCTTTAATCACAGATGGCAACATATTTAATTCTTACCACTAAGCCAATACACACACAACATATATAACATTCATTGTGTCTTATTATTTAATTAAACACATCACTAGATGCTTTATTCAACGTAGTGGAAACATTGCCATCAGGGAAGGCAGAATTTAGGACTTTTATTCGAAATGTGCAATAATCAATATTGTGTTGCCATATTTCAGTTTATTCAGCAAGATCAATCAACTCTGGATCATCAGCAGGAAATAGTAGACGTACCACTGCAGGTATTAGTTAGATGAGTGAGAAAAATTGAGGACTTCTTTCCATAGCATCAGATTAGTATTCTCAGATATTTTACTTTTCTCAATCTGCTATTTATTTGATGTTTACAAGAAAATCTGATGGAATGCTGGTAACTAGGCCTGCACGTAATTTACGGAATTACGAAATTTTTTTTCAGTTATGTGAGCAAATTCGGAATTACTAAAGTCGTAATTATTGAAAAACCGAACTCGATTCTAGAAAACGTCTCAAAAAGTGTTTACTCCCGACTTGTTATATGGAAAGAAATGAGTTTAGATAAGAAAAATGTTTGAAATATGTTTATAAAAAGTTTTAGATATTTTCAGCCTGAAACAGCTAGAACATAACCATATTTGTTGGAGACTAAATTGAAGAGAAACCGAGAAAATGTTTTCAGTGGAATGAAATTCAGATTCAGTGTCTTTTGAAAATAATTTTGTATTATCTATTACAACAGATTAAAATTGCTATATTAGAGAATTTTTCGAATATTTTGAGGTATGCATATTGAGATTTATATATGCTTTAAGATAAATTTCGAATTCAAGTGATGCAGTGTTCAGATTGTTTCTCTTTAACCATTAGTTGCATTGCTAAACACCACATTTTTGCACTTTATCAATTGTAGCATAGCTGGCTAAAACTGTTGAATATCACTTAATAACAAATTGTGGAGATCGACATTTGTTTGTGTTTTGCTTTTTTCAATCATTGCTGATAATTGATAAACAAATATCCACTGAATTATATAGAATTTCATAAGCATTAAATTCAGTGTCATTTCAACTTGAAATAATCTCTTTATTTTCTTTACTGATAGTAAATACTTAAATTGTTCAACCAAAATTTTTCACTGTATTACATAACTAAACCGTCCATCTCTTTCATTTGAATGTATTCATAATTTGTAACCCTTTTTCAACAGAAATGGTGTACTTATAGTTCAAAATAAATTAACACATTTTATAATCTTTGTATTTGCCCAAATAAGGGTTCAATATAGGCTGACTGATAAAAACTTAATCTAATTATGTATTTAATACTAATGGTGAAATTAATGACAAAACAAATTTTGAATTACTTGTAATGAATATGTTTAAATAAGATAATTGCTAATTCATTTGGACAATTTTGGATAATTAGATCATTTTTTCACTTTTCTGAATGAAAACTGTTCCATGAATCACATTTCATGTTTCATCGTGTTTAGATGATAAAAAAGGAGCAAAAGGTGGAAAGAAACCTCCAGCTAAGGAAGATCCAAAAGCTAAAGGAAAGGGAGGGAAGAAGGATGCAAAAGAAAAAGATGTATGTTATATTTCTTTATTTCACAATTTAGTGTATATTTCTAATCATTATGAACAGCTTACCAATCAAAACGAATGGTTATCCCATGTTGTTTGCAAGTTCAAATCTACCAGGTAATACCAAGACTCCTTGGTTCGCCCGATGATGTTTTAATCCTTTCCTGAGCGATAAATATGAATATTCTTTCTCGAAGAATCAAGGATTCACTTATGTTCTCAAAATTTCATTAGAACTGCATTAGCCTATTTTATTAGTCTAACAATTTACCCAACAATCATCTATAATACCAACTTTTTTCATGTCCTTAATTCCTGTGATACTCTTATCCATTCATGCAGCATTTTAGATGTTGTTGATGTTGCATTTACATCTACAAATTGGTTACAAAAATACACAAGGTTTTATTAGAAGTTTATTTTGCAGCGACCCAAGAGCAAAGATGTCAAAGGGGGTAAGGGCAAAGGTACCCCAGCTGCTGGTGCGACCCCTACAAAAGAAATTCCATCTGTTGAACGAGATATTGCTGTGAAAACTCCTTCCAGTACAAAAACTGCTCCAGTTGACACAATGGATCAAGAAACAAGGAAGAAATACACAGAGAAAATGTATTCACAGGTAAAATTGATGTCTGTACCTGGTAAACCATGGGTAATGATTCTGATGGTTAAAGAATATGCAATGTATACCTGCTTATTAATATTAAAGATGCATTAGATTGCACATGGGAAATGCATTTGACACTGCAACACTCATTATCACAGAAAAGAGTTATTACCGGTGCTTTCAATGAGCAACAAAAATTCATGTTTAATTTATCTTGGATATAAAACAACCCTCTTACAATTCTTCATTGATTTCACACTGGATAAACATGAAAATCCTATCCTAGTATAAGTATAAATTTATTTTGGCTCCATAATCAGCATAATACACGATGAAGTTGTTGGTGAAAACAAAAAAAAATAAAACTGATTATATAATCAGGAGAGCAAACAAAACTTCAAGTAAGGTTTGAAGCGTACAGATTTTAGATGGAAAGGTATTGATAAAAGAAGTAGTACGTGTTCGCTCACCCAATTATTATGGGTGACCTTCCGATACAGCGGTTCGGATGAATACATATGCTTTTTAGTGGAATAACGATTATAAGATGTGGCTACTTGATGTACTCTCTAATATAGTTCGATAATCCTTTAGCCCTGACATGGGCAAACTACAGCCCGCGACCAAATCCGGCCCGCTGAGTAATTTAATCTGGCTCGCCTGATACTGCCAATACCAAACAAAATTGATGTTTTAGCTCAAAAAAAAATTTATTGAGATTGCGATTAAATTTAGTTTTGGCATGAGGATATGTTTTCCACTTTTGCTTTCGTTACACTGTATATAAAATTCTGTTCATAGAATGTAACTGTTTACGTCACCGCCTAAATGTCTCGCCAGTCTGTGTGGCCCCTGATCCATAAACCTTGCCGTGCATGCTACTTTTTAGGACTTGTTTATACCTCGCTCCGAACTAGGCCCAGCACAAGCATCGAAATGTGTGATGACATCACAGGCAAGTCTGGCGCTTTAAAACGGTTTAATATAATAATTATCAACTTAAATAAAATCTTGAACAAACATCAGTTATATAAAATTTTAAAGCGACTTTATTTCTGGAACAAGACTCTTTTCTCTTTTATTTAATTAAAAACGATGCACAGGAAGGAAGGAATGAGAGTTATGAAATAGGCAAAGGGTGCAATTTAACAGAAAACGTTAGGAACCAATGAGTTCGCAGTAAAACTTGGCCACAGTCGCATTCTACTAGTTAGCGCTGTACGCCGTGCGTAAAAACATTCAGCCTTTAGAAATCATTCCCTAAATTTCTAGGGATGGCTGACTTACTTTATACAATTTCAATCTCCTGTGCAAAGGCTATTTAAAAGCTTTAAACTTAAAACTAATGAATTATTCCTGAAAACGAAGAAACGACGAAAGACAGAATGAACTGGGCAAGTGTATTACTTCTGACTGTAGCCTTCACTCTGATTATTTCGCCAAGTCTAATTATGGTGTCTGCAAACGATGATAGCAGCAACCTAGATGACTCGGGAACAGCGAAAAACGACCAATAGGATCCAATCGTGGGGGGCTTACCTCCTACCACCCTGAGATTGGCTCAGTCATGACACTGAAGACTTTGTTGGACGCGTCACAATTATGGCATTTCTTACTACTTACTTCATAGATATAAGTATTTCCGTTAAATTGCCGTGACCAATTATATTGTTCATCTAAAATAACTAAAATTATAGCTTGTCAGACACACTTGAAATGTTCATAATTTAGGCAACAATGAACAAAACAAAAAACATTTGATTTTTGAAGTTACGACTTGACGGGATATTGTCAGACATGTGATTCGAAATAACGGCTTGTCATTTTATTATTTGATATAGCTAGCAGTGCTAGGGAGGTGCTGATCACCTTTTATCAAGGACTCGAGTTATTAAGGAATGACTCGTCATTCATAAACCGCTACTGGGATGTAACTCAATTATTAACTCCAATTCGGCTCGCATAACCCGTGACATATACTCACGCCAAAATTGGGAAACCCCTTTTGCTGCGTCAGTGAGGCTACGGATTTTTTAGTCCATGTCAATAACCTACGTTGGTAAGTTCGAGCCCACCACCAACTCGCCTTAAATGTAAAAATCGATTGGTTATATCGTACTGGAACGACTACACTCAAGAGTTCTTACGGGCGTCGCTGTCACCCTGGCGAATGTGAACCAGGGACGTAGCCAAGAATTTTCAATGGGGGTGTGTGAAATTTCTAATTGCCAAGTTAGACTGTAACAGCTAGCGTGTCTGGAAAACGTGGATTTCGAGGGTCTAAAAGTGTATCAAGCTAAGAAAAATTGTTATGCACGATCAGAAAAATGCTTTCCTACACTTCAAAAATAGGTTGGGGGGGGGGGGGGGGGGGCTGGGCATTCGCAGCGTAATAAACTTTCATCGTCAATAAAATTAAAATACAGAAGTCGTAAACCCAGAGACGTGAGGAAAGTCGATTCACGGATTATTCAAGTCGAATCGAAGTCAATTAGGAAGTTCAATCTCAATGGCGGTTATTGAATGACAAGTCACGTCATTCCTGTTAAATGACTCAAGTTTTTGAGAATTGGTGATTAGAACTGGGCATTTCGAATCGAATCGGATAGTATATTATTCGAATCTGTTCAGACGGGAATTTTGCATCAACGCCATCTTGTTTTTATTTTGTCCGTCCGCAGATCGAGACGAATTATTTTTTTTTTATTTATGTCAAATTTTTGTAATGCAATTCTGACAAATGACCCTTTTCTTCCGAGAGAGTTATGGACAAAACATGATTATTTTGTGTGCACACTCAACGATCTGTGTGAGTGCTGCATTACGTGTTTTCACTAATATATGTCTCTGAAGGATCCATTACAATGAAACAATCAATACAACTTCATATCTTCCAAGTATTCGAGATTCGATTCGAAAAAAATATTCGATTCGATTCTGAAATCATCAGACATTTGAAAATCCCCAACCCTAACGGTGATTACAGCTTTCCCAACACTGCCGACACACGAATCTCTATCAATTAAAAAAATGATAAGCCCGTATTTCTGATCACACGTCTGACTATATCCTTCGCAAGACTTGATTTCAAAAAGCAAATGTTTTTTTTTTTTTGTTGAACTTTATTAGTGCCTTAATTAATTATGAGCATTTCAAGTGTGTCTGAAAAATTTTAGATATTTTAGATGAATTTATTTGGTCACGATAATTTAACGAAAATGTATGAAGTAAGAAATGCCCTGATTGTGACGCGTCCAACAAAGTCTTCAGTGTCATGACTGAACCCGTCGTCGAATGGTAGGAGGTACACCCCCGGGGCCTGACGGTGCCTCTTTGTCGTTTTCCGGAGTCCCCTGGTCATCTCGATCACTTCTATCATCATTTGCAGACACCGACATCAATCTTGGTGAAATAATCAGAGTGAAGGCTGCAGTCAGAAGTAATACACTTGCCCAATTCATTCTGCCTTTCGTCGTTGCTTCGTTTTCAGAAATGATTTAATAATATTACATTCAATTAAAGCTTATAAAGAGCTTTCGCGCAGGAAATTATATACTATAAGTAAGGTATTCCTAGAAATTTGGGGGATATTTTTGAAGGCTGAATATTTTTTCGCGTCTAGCGCTAAGCTTAATGATACTTTAATCACGTTTTACTTCTAACTCGGTGGCTTCGGCCTTTTTGTTAAATTTCACCATTTGCCTATTTTTAAATTCTCACTATTCATAAAACTACTAAACTTTATTTGTTTAATCTTTACTGGATCATTTGCTAGTTTTATGAGCAAGTCGAACTCCAGTTTTTGTACAGTTTAAGTACTTTATTGTTTGTTCATGAATAAGTATTATGGTAAGAAGCAGAGATAATAGTAATAATACAGCAAATACAAAGCAAAATTCCTCCACCAAAACGGCAAACTTCCTTCCTGGACCGCGAAACTTTGTGCTAACCTATTAATCAATCGTTAAGAATTAAATATGAACAGTATTTTTACAATGGGAACATTTCCACTTGTGCGTGGCAGTCAAGACATATGTCGCCATAACCAGTGTTCCCTCTAAGAAAATTTTACACTAAGCAAACATTTGCTTTACTGAGCATAAGCATGAATATTTTAAGGCTGAGCGGAGTCACAAATAATTTGCAACTTTATGAAATATTACACTTGTATAATTTATTAGCAGAATGCGGACCCAATTAAGAGCCTAGCTATAGACATTACAAAATATGACGAGCCACGCTTTTAAAACGTAATGTCGCAATGCGTGAGTCTTTACTGCGCAAATGGTCTTGTGGTACTGCACAAGTGCGCACCTTAGATTGAACCCTGGTCATATATATTGCGTGTCACACTAGTAAAAATATGTGCAGCCGTTAGCGTGGCTTTTCTTTTAAGTTCTGGCGCTGAGCAAACTTGAAATCTGGAAACTTTTAAAACTTTGTATTTCTGTAATTTTTAATGGAGTTCCGCAACACTCCAGGATTCCGCCAGTACAGGGATTTCCACAAGTTCATGTTCAAACCCGAGAGTCTATATCAGACATGGGCAATCTACGGCCCGCGGGTCAGATCCGGCGCATCTGGTAATTCAATCTGGTCCGCCTGATTCTGTCACAACTAAACTAAAACATTGCGATTAAATTTAGTTTCGGCTCGTGGCTTTGTTTTTCTCTTATGCTTTTGTAACACTGTAAATATTGTTTATAAAATGTAATTTTTAACGTCACACTTACATGGCCCGCCAGTCTAGGTGAGCAAAATTATTGCCCCCTGGTCCGAAAACCTTGCTCACCCCTGCTCTAGCCTGTGCACATTGTGGACAAGATCTGATTTTCCACCAATCCATCTATCATACGAGATTCAACCCTAGATGAATTAGTATGTGCTTTACTAAAGTATCAAAACCTAGCCAAAGCGATATGTGTTAACTCAATCATATTTGTATTTTCTCAGGTCTACAATATATTATGTGATACATTGGATGATATGAGTGAGATATTTTACGAAATAAAGAAGACTGTGGCACATGACTGATTCACTGCAATTTATTTTTATTTTTACCGATATATATTTAAATATATGTTTTCACGGTTTATGTTTGATATATTTGGCAGTTTTTAAATTGGCAGTCAGTCCGTTTTTGGCGCTCTTCAGATTTTCGATTCTGGTCCAGACCAGACTATTGAACCGGATTCCTTCTACGATTAAAATGATATTATAGCCTTTCTCCAGGTTAAAACTCCAAGAATATTCAACTCAAAGAATATTGGTATGTTTGCGACTGAAATTGTAACTCCGCATACATTCTAACTTCTGCTATACTAAAGAATGACTTTAAAAAGTTTTTCGTTTATTTTTATCCAAAACTTAAAACAAAACTGACGCCAAAGAGAACTGATTAGATTGTTGTCAGCCGATTCTGCCTCTCAATTATCAATTTCTAGGATAATTTATAATAACAAATTGAAATGATTTGCCAGTCGAATCATGCTACTACTACTACTACTACCAATGAATAAACATAAATTGGGCATATTCATCCGCGGCCTGTTTTTAAGAAATGAGATAATGAAAAGAAGATTTAGGCGGTATGAAAGAAAGGTCATTATTCTTTGAAAATGAGAACATTTCCTCAGTAACTAGATACAAATTTTGTTTTAAGCCTTGAAGATCGAACTCTTGATGCATTGTTTATTCTTGATCTGGACATTTGAACTTGTATTCATCCTTATACGCAACTTCAACGACTCGTTTCTGATTCCACCTGATTAATAAAATTGGGTCTCTTAGAAGTAGGTTCGTAAATATATATATAACGGCACAGAACGTTCGTGTTATGCTCTTTAGCCCCACTTATAACCCTGCGTGGCATCGACAGATCCGAATGTGACGGCTCTCAACGTTAATGTGCGTGGGTGTGAAACTGGTTAGCTATTACCACACTCCAACCGGTAATTGGATGGTTCGCCCAATGATCAATCTATCTTGTCAGCTTTCGCCGATGTGAAAACATAATGAAAAAATCCTATGGTTTTATATTGTTCAAAAAACTGACTGATAAAATTACATTCTGTGTATATCTTTAATATTTATTTGTATAGAAATTGAACATGCTTTCGGATACGAGTGTCAAATTATTGTTCGGAAATACTAAGAGGTTACTCAAAAACCCCGTTCCCAGGAGAACCCAATCTACTATATAAATTCGTAGAGTACTCACCTCCAGTCTGTACAAACCCTAGTTTGAAAAATTCCACATTTTGTGAGATAACTTTCCCTGACACGTCTCCTAACACTTTTTTCGTAAGGTGTTCTGACGATTACTCTCGGGCAAACTCTGTGAAAAATTTTTTTTGCAGTTATCTCCAGAACAGACTAAAACGCCGTTACTGTTCGACAGTCAGTTCTATGTATAAATATATAAATACCGATGCTTTCTCTTAGTAACTAGAGCTGGGCATTTATAATCGAATAATACAATATTCGAGTCGGTTCACAGACAAAAATTGTTTGTTGGTAACTATTTATATATATGTGTGTGGCGGTAACATAATCCCAAGTGAGCGATTATTTACTGCAGCTGGAAACACCGTCACTGAGCTCAGATCAAGCTTAATCGTATTCCATATAAGGGCTCTTGTATTTTCAAAATGCCAATATGACATATTACTCTTTTCTTCCTGGGGAGTTATTGATGAAACATGTGTCTTATTGTGTGTGGCAACTGAGTGATGGATTCAATGTTTTCACTAATTTACGTCTGGAAGACCCATTTCAATAACAATGTTTCATACAATTACGTCGTTATGTTACGGTAATTTAAATATCTTTCGAGTATTCAAAATTCAATTTGAAAAAAAAAATTCGATTCGAAAATCATCAGGTATTCGAAAATGCCCAGCCGCAGTAGTAACCATTCAATATTATATCGCACTCCTCATAGTTAGGTAAACTCACATTCTTTCGCAAAGTCGACCTTCAGTTCCGGCAGGGCATGAACATGTAGATCTTCTTCCTTCCATCACACAAGTACCCCCGTTACGACACGGCGGAATGCATTTTGCAGATCGCACTAAAAAACAAGAACATCATAATGAATTATGTTTCTGGATGCGATGATCTCACCAAAGAAGGAAGTTCTGAGGCTTGGTTGTAATCAACAAAAGGTAACCGTTGTTGTAACAAAATGTTTTAAAGTTTCCAAGATTTGGAATATTCATTATTAGAAAGATAGTTAGTTAATCTCAGCGCTAATATTAAATGGAATGTGCTCACAGACTGACAGCCAAATTCTTGAAATGAATTAAAGAAAGAGTTGTTTGGTGAAAATATTTTGCATTGAACGTCCGACTAAATATTAACTAGTTACTAGTGCGATTTAAATATTCTTCATTGCGTTACTTCTAGTACCGGCTAGCGTAAATTAAAGAAGACAAATTGAAAATGAATTGGTGGTAAGTTTTGCAATGTCTAATCTAATCTAATGTATCGAATTAGCCACGTTACAGTCCCACGTTACAGCCATGGAAAATCTCAATCTTTCATCCGTTATGTGATTTATTCGTGGTCAACATTTTGAAAGCTAAGATGTCACTATTCGACGTCTGTCCAAATACAAGCAATGTGGTTAACATAGCAAATAACGAAGTTCTTCATCGGTCGCCAAAAAAACTACGCGGATCGGTGGCTGGAAATCACTGATCTGCCGCATAGTATGGAAAACCTATATGCAGTTATACTGTATTTGAAAATATGAAAGTAAAGGACTATATATACCAACCTCTTTCACATCGTGCGCCATAATATGGTCTTGTACATGTACATCTATTTCTTCCAACGCATCGACCACCATTTTTACATGGAGAAGTACAGGAAACAGGATTTGTATCTATCAAATAAAAATAATACCAACAGAATATAAAAATAAATACATTTGTAAGTATGGTCCCGGACTTTGCTTTATAATCTAAACCAGTGGTTGTCAACCTTTTTGTCTTTGCGGACCCTTCTGGTGCTCTCAAAGCGGTCGCGGACCCCTCAAAAGGTTTTTATTTGAAATTAATTTATAGCTTAAAACAGCAACCTGATGTTCCATACAGATTTAACCAAGTCAAAAATAACACCAAACTAGTGGACATTTTCATTTATTTTGTCAAATCGAATACACTTCATCTCATGGGATTTCTGCTGTTGCATATCAGAAGCAAGTCTTGGAATACGTAATCGTGTTTTTGATAACGATAGACGCATATCGTCTTCGACGTTTAGTTGGTGACGAGAGTTGGATTTGATATGAACGAGAGCAGAAAATCCACTTTCACAAAGGTAAGTGGAGGCGAATGGAACAATAATACGTAATGCTTTCGTCGATACTATTGGGTACGACGGCAAAATGGCGCACCAAAACTGAGAACTATCAGTATCACTGTAGCTGCGTTCTCGTATTTATCCTTGTTATATCATAACTCGTATTTGTCACGATAGGTCTACGGAAGATAACTCAAAATAGTTTTTGTAGGCTATTGTCACATTGTCATAGGCAGCAAATGTTCGATTGTATTAAAAAAAAACGATATTAAACTGCAAATAATTTCATAAAATCTTAATTTAATCGCGGACCCCCTGGAAATGCTTCGCGGACCCCGGTTGAGAATGAGAACCACTGATCTAGACGATATTTGTATAATCCATTCAGCAGAGCTTATGGCACTGAACGTTACTAGTACAGTAAAACTAACCCCCAAAATGCATTAATTTTTGTCACCTCGTTCGCATCTAGGTCCAACCCATCCACTTTTGCAAACGCATTTATCCACAGCTACACAAGTTCCTCCGTTAGCACATGACGGGTTGCAGTCTGGCATCTCACAAAATCTTCCTTTATATCTGTCTGGACATTCGCATTGATTTGGTCGCACACATCTTCCATTATTTTTGCAAGCATTGACACAACGAGCTGAAGAACATAGAGTGTTAACAAAACGAATTTGTCAAACTATTTTTTTCCTCTTAACAGATAAAACACTTAAATACAGACAGTGTTCATTAGTAAGAAGTTGGAATATCATCACTTCGCTGTGTGTCTGTTCCTGCTTATTAAATTTATTATGCTTGACAAAGTTACATCTTTGGCCGATAAAAAGTAAATCATATATATTACCTTCAGTACAAGAACGGCCTATCCACCCAGACTGGCATCGACAGGTATTGAATCTCATACATTTACCCCCGTTAGAACAAGAAGGCGAACAAAGTGCTGGAAATAAAAGAGAGCATTCAAGTTATCTAAATGCAGGTAGAATTCAGCTAACATGAATGTAAGCAACTGAGTCATTCATTATATTTCGGTCTCTCTAGCTTTGATAGGAACATTACCAACAACAAAAAACGAAAACAGGGCTACTCGAAAGACGAGCATTAACTTAGAAAAGAGTTCAAAACATACAAGTAAGCAGATGAGATGTCGTAGTCCTGCATATGAATGAGCCATCCTATCGGTTTCCCTCTCTTCTGGAATAAATATGAAAATCCTATCCTAGCTATACGCCAACGCATCCACAAACATGCCGCAGTCAAACATCGACATTGGTACCAGATTACAAGATGTCATTGCATTAGAACATATCGAAGGCCCAAATCTTACTGAATTATCGATTTTACCTGAACAGTCCGGGCCCGGATATCCGGGTGGGCAAGAACATGTGTTTGGTTCAATACATATTCCGTTGTTAATACATGGTGTTTCGCAATATGGCTGACAGGAGAATTGATCCTTCAATGTATATCCATCTCTGCACTCACATCTGTAGGATCCTTTGGTATTCATGCAATTGTGTTCGCAGTTGCCATTGGTAACCAAGCATTCATTTACATCTATAACATAATGAATAGGACTCTGTCGGAGTTTGTAAGAACTATTTTGGCAAAATTTAAGTGCTAAATTGTGTAAACAAACAAATATCAGTGTAGTGTGGTCTAACGGTGTATGTAGAAACCGCCTACACTTCGAACCCTAAGAAACCTCACCAATGCACGAAGTCCCCTCATCTTTCAAGGAAAATCCATTTTCACAACTACATATGATTCCATCATTCTCATCAACATTGCATATTTGTTCGCAACCGCCATTGTCATCTTCACAAGAGGATATTACTAAAATGAACGCATAATTAAAAATATGGATATAAAACTTTATTACCCGAATACCATATAGCAATACATATAACAGCTCTTACCTTTGCAACTCAAATATGTATCATCAAGCGACATATTTTTTGGACATCCACATTCATAGCCCCCAAATCGATTTATACAGAAGTGTGAACAGTCCCCGTTATGTATTAAACATTCGTCAAAATCTTAAAAAATATTATACATTTATTAAATATAGTCAGAGTAGTATACATCTGTCATCTATTCGTTTACAATAAAATTCAAGTGGTTTTTCTGACACGTCTGAGATATAATATTCTGCTATACTACCGAGTACCGAGCGATAAAACAGAACCATATTTCTGAGACGGTCATACTGAGCAGAACAATCAGCCGCTTTCCGTGGATGGAAGAAACTTAACAGTTCAGAGACAATAAACCTTCCTCCTTTGGCAATATTTTGATTACAGTATTTTGCTTACGTCATAGCAAAAAATAAAAGTAATAGAAAAATTCCATCTTCAACCACTGAAAATTTCAAAGCAATTAATTGGTCCAGTAATTAAAGAGAAAAGCGATTTCTTCAAAACGTGTCAAAGAACAAGACAACATAACAACAAAACGATCGTTAGGTCCACTACGTGTCCAATTATCACTTCAATTAGTATAGGTATGGTTTTATTGAAGAAGAATAAAAATGTAGTTGATAAATGAATATACCGATACACTGCAACTGATCAACATGAAGTAGGAACCCTTCACCGCATGTACAGTAATAATTGCCAGGTATGTTGTGGCACAACATATCACATCCTCCGTTGTTATCTTCGCATTCATTAATTTCTGAAAATTTATTTGAAGATGAAACTTAATTCCGTTTTGCGATACGTTTTTTGGCAGTGTCTTCCTAATATGGTAGACGTACGAGTTCTCTACCCATTTATTCACGTACGCCAGGGGTCGTTAACCTACGGCCCACGGACCGGATCCGGCCCGCGGACCACTATAATCCGGCCCGCGACGCTTCACTAAATTATAGTAACAAAACATCCGTTTTGACGAATATATTCTTTAGACTAAATTATATTATAACCTAACAATTATATATTTCACAATTACTCGTTTCATGAGCATATAATTTAATTATAATTAAGCAAATGGCAACAAAGCGCAGAAAAGTTGATGCTAAGTGCAAAGGGTTCAATGGCGCTGAAAATGTTCAAATGGGATTTTATGAGATGCAATGAGGAAGTAAATTTATATTCTATTCGAGAGGATGTATCATGGCTTGATTTTTATTATAAAAAGTATCATCCGATCGGATTTCCAAGTTTGTAAAAATATGTACGGCCCGCCAATGACTTGCAACCTTAATTTTGGCCCGCGAGCGACAAAAGGTTGCCGACCCCTGACGTACGCATTCATTTCTCTGCATCATTTTCTTGCGAAACTCATGTTAGGAAATGCTGAGTAGGTTATATATCTGGGATGAGTTTACACAATTTCTCATAATTTATTTCTTTTTACAATAATTATTCATTAATACTAAAAAATAGATGACTATTTTTTTTGTTTGGCAAAAAAAAAAGAACACATTCGAAGTCTGAGCCTAAATTCTGAACCTGAAAATGGACATTATTTTATATTCAAAGCGAGTTCTCGAAAAGTTAACGTAACTGTCTCTTACCAATACATTTAAGAGCCCGTTCGTGGGATTCCTGATATTGAAATCCATCTAAACATCCACAATGGAAACTGCCTATATCGTTCACACAATGTTGGTTGCAATCGGTCTCGTTGCTCATACATTCGTCTATATCTAAAATATCACGAAGAATTGGTAACTACTTAAAAGAGAGAGGGGGTCGTGGTCTTAACTTAGGCGTAATCAAACCTCAAAACAACTACAACAATGGTGAAATTAAACCGAACGTCCATACTCCCATACATATATATATGCATATATGCAGTATGGCGAGCAAATCGTTCGAAAAAAAGAAGCGAAGGACGAACAGGGCCATTTATTAGGGCCTACACTTTGAAATACGACACAGTTTTTCAGGAAATAATTTATTTAATATGGTTTCCACTCATTCTTGCATGATAATAGTACCCACCTTCACAATAGTATCCATTTCCATTAAATCCGGGTAAACATGTACATTCATAGGAGCCTAGAAGATTTTTGCAGTAGGCATACACATGGCAGTAATGCGAATTGTCGAAACATTCATTAATATCTGAAATGGAATTAGTCAAGAGATTGAAAAAATACTGAAAACGTTTAAAGAAAGATGATACATTGGGTATAATGATATATGAATATTACATTACACGATTATAGTATATATATTATACCAGTATACATAACAACTATTTAAATACAGTTTTGATAATAATATACGTGGTTGAGAAGACGGGATGTATAATGTATGCCTCTTTACTGAATTCTTACCTCCACATTTTCCCGTTCTATTCACGTGGTAACCTTCTAAGCAAATACATTGAAACGATCCTTCGATATTGGTGCAATTCCCAAATTCTCCACAAAGATCTGGCGTGGCAGAACACTCATCGATATCTTTAATTAAATATTGGAAATTGTTTAACATTTTGATTTCAACAAAATTAGAGAATTTTTTAACGAGAATGTAATATATATATATATACATGACTATCTCTTTATGATGTATTAGATTATTAGAACTTACGAAAAGCAAATGTATATACAAACAATCGAACCTTCGCATATACCAGCCTCATTCAAAACAAATCCTTCATTGCAAGTACATTCAAACGATCCCTCAATATTGGAGCAGATTCCCTCCTCACCACATATGTGCGGATCCAACAAACATTCATTGAGATCTGCAAGGAATTGTATAATATATTACCGCAATGAAAATTTTGATTGAAACGCATTTTTTCAAAATTTTGCAAATGCATATTATCTATACCAGTGGTTCCCAAACTAGGGTCCGCGGACCTTTTGGGGTCCGTGAAGTACTTTCAGCGGGTCCGCGAAAGAAATCTGTTGGGTGGCTCAAAGTTTGATAATGCAAAAATTAACTGCTTAAATTTGGAAAGACACATTTATCGCATTACGATGCTTTACAATCTCTGCTGAGGACACTGATTCTTCACTTTCTGTTTCGATTAGGCTTTCCCAATTGTGACGTCACAAAGCTATGGCAGCTCCTGCCACGAACAAACCGCGGCGTCTCATGCCATGGTTTAATGGCGCTATAATTTAGTAATCAGTATTATCGGCATATTAACAAAGTCATGTGCCGTGTTTTTGTTTAATATACAGAATTATATCTACTTAAATCTGGAACCAAACCTCAAATCCATTAAAACTGTATCGATAAAAAAAGTACTAACCTACTCATTGTTTGTCACCAGCAGGGGCAGCCCTGCCAATACATCCGACATGCCTCGGTTACGGCATCAAAATTTTACCCGACATGATTTTTTAATTTGCTGCCGTGGTACCGGTTTGGGACAGCTAAAAAGTCAGTCGCCGTGGTTTGACCGGAGCTCCAGAAGTAATCTATGTGCACCAAGATGGCGCACAACCTGAACATGGTATTGTGTACCGGTTAGGGTTCAGGTCGTGCGACATCTTGGTACATATGCTTCCGGAGCGCCGTTTAGCCATAGCGGCCATTGTTTGGAAATCCCGCTAAATACTTAAAACTGCACTTGGAGGTGTAGATTGCGCTGCCTTCTTGCATGCTTGTTGTTATAGGAGAGAATTACAGTAGGTAATTGATAAAGTATGCCACTCCGTTTCTAAATGCTGTTTTACGCTTTTGTTTTGAAAGGTAGATAGCGTTAAATATAGCGCAGTCAAAAAAGCACTACGTTTTAGTTTTTAGATGTCAAATTTAGTCTTTGACGGTAGGCATATATTTTTACGTTTTCAACTCTGTATTATCGGTTTCAAAATGTCTTCTAAAATTAAAATTGAGATAATCGTATGTAATTTTATCGTGATAAACGCAGGTGAAGATGTGTTTTGCACTACACCGCGTGGAGCATTTATTTTTGTTGTGATCTTGTTTTATGTGATATCTTTCTGTCTTTCTTTGATAATGTTTTATTTTAGTCAATTAGTGCACAGGGCCGCGAAACAAAAACAAAATTGCAAGGGGTCCGTCAGACAATTTTTTTGAAAAAGTTTGGGAACCACTGATCTATACTAAAGCGTAACGCAGTACCTTCACATTGTTCCATCTCTTCATTCCATTCATATCCACTCAAACAATTCAAGAATAACTCGGTGTCGATGATATCCGAGTCAACTGAAACAAGTAAGTACAATCGTTATATTAGGTTGGGTGGTTCACGTAACCGCTGGTCGGTTACGGCTTCCTCCACCACCAAGTCCATGCTTCCGAAAACAAACAATACAGTAAAACTAATCCCATACCCGACTTGGAATGGTAACCGGACGAGAGGCCGTGGTTCGCCATATGGATAAGCCGTCTTATCGGCTTTCCTCTCCCCCGGGATAAATATGTATAATCCTATCCTATCCTTGGCTTACATGAGTTGTATTTCGCATGGTATAGGCCAGGGCATAGGCTACACTGTCGAGATATAGACTGTGTACAGATAATATGAAAGGTTCAAGTGTTACAAATAGTGCATTTTCACGAAGTAAGCTACATCTATACACAAGTTGTACGCGACAAATCATGTGAAAGGTACTTGGCAAGTCTGGGCTAACTTCGACTTGGCGGGGCTGAGAGCGGAGAAGAATGTCCGTGCCATCTTTGCTAGGCTTACCATACGTCCCGCTTTAGGCGGGACAGTCCCGTTTTTAGCGTTTTGTCCCGCCGTCCCGACAAGTCAGCCAAAAGTCCCGCTTTCGCGTTCAGCCATCCAGTTTAATAAACGAACATGTTCTCGTTACTGTTGTTGCTGTGTAGCGCAACGCTAGCCTACTTACTGAAGGTGAATGCGTTATTTTGTTTGTTTCGTTGTTTCCCACTAATATTGTTCCCATCACATGTAAAATCAATTTTAATTGGTCCTGTTCGACGCTCACGTGAATGTAACATTGAACAACGCCTTGTTGAAGGTGTTATCTACAGAAAAGCATGCTTAGGCGAATAAGTAAATTCTCAATGCTTGAAAACGGCAGACTATTCCTTTATTCCTTTTGCTGTACATAAAATTCAAATTCGGATCATTTGTATCGTTAGATTCCTTTCTATTTTTCGAACTGAACCCGATATTTAGACAGAGAATATGCGAATGAACTCCCGATGACAATATTGTCGATGAAGACAGTCGGGATGGCTTTAAATGTAGGCCTTTGTAGTAAAATCGGAAACTGTAAAGTTACAGGATCGCAGCTAAGAGATCGTGTCTTTGGAGGCGTCCCGCTTTGAAGTCAAAAAAATATGGTAAACCTAATCTTTGCTAATATAACTCTTTGCAGTGCTACTGGTTAAAATTGAATATGTGTGCGGAATTGATGGATTCGTCCATTGGTAATTCACACGATAGCGGTACTTCGACCTGGCTAACAAATACTTTCCCTCACCCAGCAACAGACGGGAAACAATTGTTTGGTAAATACGCTATCTCGTCGGCTTTTAACCCTAAAATATATGATCAACTACAAAGGCTCGGAAATGGAGCTTGAAATACCTCACAGTGTAAGAAACTTTGATATAGACATATAGTTATCATTTCTTGAAATATCAGAAGAGATTTAATTTCAACCTATGAAAGCACAAGATGTTAATGTGAAACAGCGATTTCAGTCACGCAGTTATTTTCCAAATGGATTTGTATTGATATCCTAGATTCTAGAACAATCACACGAATAAAAGTTAAATTTTACGAGCACTTATGGTCTATGTTCTGAAGAGATCATGTTATGGTAAAAAAACTTACATATGTCGTAAATTTCGTCACCGTGATATGCACCTTCGTCTTCTATGATACTCACGCTCTAGACAAAAAAAAACAATTATGACGATTCATAATTGCCCAATAAACTAAATCAGACGTGGCCTTACTCCGAGTATTTGAAAACAATATGATTTGTATGCAAATAGCATATTGCCTTGACCATTTTATTTTAAAAGCTGAAGAATTTCGACAAACTAAAGTTTTGATGTGTTGAAAGACAAATCTAAATTAAATAGTTTTTAACGTCATTGCTCTCACCTGAACATCAGATGATTCTTGAGCGACTCCTCCAGTAAAAAGAATTATCGTCGTAGCGACAAAGCATATTTCTTCGTAACGAAACATTGCAGTATTGTTGTTTACACTAGCATAAACCAGCTCACGTTATCACTAGCCTGTTACCAGCATTTAAATTGCGCCAAATACAGTTTGCGTTTCGTTTGATTCAGTCACCCGTGAAGATACATGTTTTGGTTGTTTTAGCAATCCAAAAATCTAGTGAATTGGGGAAAATTTTGCACAAAGTATATTAGATCAGGCTTGGTTCGTAGATTAAAAGTGTAATGATTCATGGTTTGTTGAACAGTATACAGATGTTGATAAGATAAGTAAAGACCCAATTTCTAAAATTTATTGCGCGAATGCGTTTCGTTTCTGGTTGGGAAGTAAACTGAAGGATAAATGTAAGATAACGGCAATGAGTAATACAGTTTCGACTAACACAATAAGAAAAACTTTAATATTTATAGCATGTGGACTATGTTCCAAGCTTGGTAATTACCAGTTTTTTTGCGAAGCAAATAACGATTAGAACGTGTTTTTGCATTCGACTGTGAATGTATACTTGCAAAAAATATAAATCAAAACTACTTGAGTCGATGTCAGAGGCGTAGCTTAGGGGGGGCAGTGGGGTACATATGCCCCCGGGCGCCAAGGTACAGGGGCGCCAAAATGGGGCTGGCAAAAATTTCACAACAAAGGTAAAAAACGGTCACAAGCAAGATCGCACCGGCGGCAGACATCTAATCTTAGTACATGGCAAACTGCACACTTGGTCAGACCACTTACGACTGCCGACGTCATCACGCACATAGCACGGTCAGATTTCCATCGTAATTACATGGCCAAAAAAATCTGGCCGGAAAACAAAGCAAAATTTGATTTGGGAACGTTAGGTAACAAAATGCACCGGGTTAATTACGTGGTTCTGTATCGTTAAGTTCTTGCCTGCGCACTCGGATGTAAGTTGATATTAGTTCTGTGCTGAAGACAAATGGAAACGGAATTTGGTTGAATGATGTTAATACATGTTTTGAGTAATACGTGGTTTTGTATTTTGTTGTCAAAGTACCGTACTTTGCGGCAGAGTTACATAAAATATATTATACTGTGCTAAAAGACCTCAATGCCGTTTTCGACAATTCGTCGAGATTGCACAGATTTTGCAAATCTCTACCACACGGACATCAATGGCCACGAACTTTTCACCGAAATTGGAGATCAACCAGAAACTCCTTTGGCTCTTCTTGGTTTTATTGTGTCTTTTGGAGACGACGTTTTATTCAATCTGCGAATTTCTCTACAAATTTTGTTAACAATAACAGTTTCAATTGCAAGCTGTGAACGGTCTTTCAGCAGATTGAAACTTATTTTGTCGTATTCGCGTGCATCAACGGGACAGGATCGTCTCCGTGATCTTGCACTTCTAAGTGTTGAAAGAGAAACATTGGAAAAAAACAGATTTTGATGACGTGTTAACCAGTTTACGACAGTGAAATTGAAAAAATGAATTTATTTTAGACTATGTAGATCATCTTTGACAGTAACTGAGTGGGACATATGCTCTATTTTGTATAGCTTTGCTTCTTCTTTAAATAAAATGTTTCATTAAAATTTGAATTTACATATACATATATTTTTGAATAAATAATAAAATATATAATTACATATAAATTTGAATTCACATATCGTCACGCTAATAACCGAATTGCGTAAGTCATTTTGGGCGGTTTTGAATTTTTCATAAAATAGGTATTTATGTAATGCTGCGCACCTGTCTGTTAACTCAGATTTTATTTTAAGAATTCCGAAACCCATAAAAATAGAAATTTTGTATGATATGCAAATTTGTTCAATTGTTCCGTCATAATGAATTATCATTGTTAACGCAGGACTATTGTGACGTCACAAAGGCAAAATAACCTAGGCGAAGGATTTTCGAGTTTTTGCATCTCAGATTCTAGCTTAGCGCTAATAATTTTCAATTTATACTACTGTATAGGAAGGCGTGCACTTGTGATATTTACGGTCTGAGTCCAATTCACCATGGTTGACTTTTATATAAGAGTACATTACTGTTTTATTCTTTATATTTAACTTTAGTCTTATTTCGGTGATGTGCAGAGCGTGTTATATTGATGAAATATATATCTTTAAACATAAAAAATAATGTAATTGAAACAGATTAGCTATTTTGGGGATTTTGGATTGTTTGGTTTTCAGGACTGGTACATATAGACAAGTTGCAAAATTGCGTATGTCCTCTAGCCATAGACACATTTTTGCCTAAATCACAGTGTGCCATTATGACGTCACATGACTGCGTCATACAAATTAACTTAAATCCGGCTACGATCAAAAAGTTGAACTATGGCAAATTAAAGACTCTCAATGGCATAGCAATATCATTAGGAAGTTTTTTTACGTTTTTCTCAAAACAGCTAAAAATGACTTACGCAATTCGGTTATTAGCGTGACGAAATATAATTTTTTTTTACATATACAATTAAATGCAATAGAAAACATGATTAAACGTGGGGGCCGGGGCGCCAATTTTATATTTTGCCCCGGGCGCAAAATATGCTGGCTACGCCTCTGGTCGATGTATATTTGGATTTACCAAACTGGCCACGACGAAATAAATATCTGAATCCGCCAAAGTAATGTCACTTTATCCGCTACCATCGAATTCAATATTACGTTGTTCAAGACAGGGGTGTGCGACCTTTTTCGCAGCCGGGCCAAATAATAATACCTGGGTAAAACCGCGGGCCGCACCTTCATTTAACATAAGCTTTCTATTAGTTGCAGGCACAAAATAGTATATTTTTGTTATCGATCTCATGTCGTCATCATTAGGGGTCCTTGCAGAAAACGCATAAATTTCTTAAAACTGTAATTCAAATATATATATTGTCACACCCAATTTATCGAATTTAGAAATTTGCTGCTGGATTCTTTTCCAGACTACTTCTATCTAAATTTGCTCAAATGCAAGTGCTAGCAATTCGATATGACGCCCATTTTAGAAAAAAATGTGTAACCGAAAAGTGCCATATTTGAAGCCATGACTTTTTTCAAATGTGGAAAGTTATCTTAGTTGAAATGTTTTCGGTATAATACGCCAAGATTCAATCCCAAATACTTTGCTGTCAAATCTTATTCTATATTAGATTTAACCAAAATCAACTGATAGGCTGGAACCAAAACTCATTTAGCTTTTCTGCATAGATAATAAATTGGACTCGAATATAAGCTTTGCAACGCAAAGGGAACTAGATCAAACTAAATTAAAAACTAGTTTAGCTGGCCGCACACCATTGAAAATTGGCACTTCTCCGCGGGCCGCACAATTTTCCCTCGCGGGCCGCACTTTGCACACCCCTGGTTTAAGACATTGGAGACAATTGCAATTGCCTGATGTATCGTGGTAAACTCATTTTTGAAAAAAGATTGTCCGTTTGAATTAGGTTCAATCAAATACAGATTCTAATCTATATCCACAATTCAAATATTCAAGAATATTGCGTTGCTATGCAACTCTTGACCATTGAAATCTGATTACGAAATTAGTTCAAATTAAATTCAATGAATTTTGACCGAAAATATATTTCTGACCAAATCTTATCGAGAACAACAGCAACGAATCAGTTTAAAAGCTTCCGATTATATTTTGCATATTCTACAACGAACGATTTATGAACAATTCTGTATGCAACACAATAACATCATCAATTGTGCAATGAACCCTGCCAATAATTCGGATTTTCGCATTCGCATTATTTTGTGTCGCGATTCCAAATTAATTACACCTCCATTTAAATAACAGCACTTTCGTCATCAGTCGGGTTAATTATATAGAAATCTCTAGTGGAGGACGGAAATAATGAATCGAATCACATTGTAAGCTGTTTAAAAGCCAAAGTGCAAGTTGCCTGTACTACGGGTTAGGAATCTTTCAAAGATGGAAAAAATTATGGAAACATAATTTTTATGTGTAGGGTAAGAGCGAAAAAACACGAAAGATTGGCATCACTGCCTTAGATCACTATGTCGAAACAAACTATTGCGCAATAACAATCATTTTTGAACATATTAAACTTTGTCAAAAACTTTAAAATTGCAACATCACTGTTAACCTACGCAGCAAGTATAACATTTCATAAATTAATTCCATTCTGCTGCATACTTGCACCACCCTGCATACTTAAACTTAAACTACTGCACTAAACAGAACACAATTTGCAATGTTACTAGCTGATATATTATCATTACCATAAGTTCTACATTCGCAGTATAAGAATAAGCTAAGGGAGGTAGAAAGCATGAGGAAATGAGACTATGAGAGATGATTTTGAGGAAATTGTCCAAATTTGGTTAAAATGGTACCCCGACTGGGTTAGATACACGAAAAGTATAGGAAGTGGTAAACCTTAAATGAATTTATCCTGCAGTATAAAATATGTGTTAGATTCGAAGAAACATTTATGGATTGGATCGGTAACAAGCCAAATATTCAAAGTCATCAGAATTTTCACCATTTTTCCTATTAATGTAGTTACCAGTATATATCTATGTATAAATGCGAAGTTGTCAATTTTGCTCAGATAATTCCTAGGACCATGTGTAACTACAATTATGATATGATGAAATATTTCAGGCAGCGAAATAAAATTAATACAAAAATTGTTGAGGTCAGTCACTATGTTTATGGAGTATGAATAGCTTAATAGTGCTAAGCGAGAATAAAAGACCAATAGCAAAAATGTAACAAACGAAGATCCAAGGTTGTAAAGGAAAATTCCTTTCAGATTCCCACAATTTATAGCCAATTTTGGAAATTGTCATCAGTTGAATGAACTGCATAAAATATGTTTTTTGAAATATGAGGCTTTATATTCTAATTGCTTAGGACTTTTAACTCTTCATTTGTAATAACAAGGTCTTATTTCCTGAGTTTTTTCGGTACTCCTGAAGTATGCGCGCCAAGATGTCGCACAACCTGAACCTTAACCGGAGTTCAGGTTGTGCGCCATCTTGGTGCGCATACTTCAGGAGGTCCGTTTTTTCTTAGATCAAACCCTACTGATAGAAATTAAATTGCCCTATATACAAAAATATAATTTACATATGGTTCAAGCATGTGAGATTGATAATTTCAACGTTTAAAGTATGATCCATCAATCATTCATGTCTGGCCCTATATAAACCAAATAATGAAAGCAAATCAAGCCACTCACTCTCTAATTGAAGCAAATAATAAAAATGTACAATCAAACATGAGCATTTTCAATATCATTTTATACAAATAATTTCTAAATATAATTGAACCAAGAATGTGTTGCATGGCATGAGAGAAAAAAACAGGTGTGGATTCCAAAAACCTTTTTTTCCACCAAATATATCAGTTAATACGGTAAAATCAACAATAATTAGGGTCGAAATTCTGTTAACAGGTAAAAAAATAAGAATTTGTTTATTAAAACAAGCAAAGATGTCCAAAAAATTTAATATAGCATCAGTCAAACTGATAAAAAAAAGTCGCAACAAAGTAATGAATATTTTCCATAATCGCATCAAATAACCTTGGTTTAAAAATATTCATATCGATGTATTCGGAAAAGGACAATTTAAATTTCACCACCGTTTCCAGTTTCCAATGCAGAATGAAAAAGGGAAATTTTTTTCATCTGAGTACTGTTTGAGGTGCCATGCAATATGTATACATATCATAACCTTTTTTTTAGTTGTTTAAATTATACAATAAACTGGGACACCATGCCCAAAAATTGAACTATTTAATAATCAATTTTCAACAGATATATATACTGGAGAATGGAGATATCAAATTTACATTTTTAAAATGGAATTGAGGCATAAAATATTTTAGAAACTAAAATTACGGTAACATTTTTTTAAAAAAAGAATGAAGCAAAGCAAATTCTAATACAGCTAACATTTTTAAACCTGAGACCACAAATTATATACAAATGAGTATTATGAATACAACTTAAAGAAAATTAATAAAATCTACAAATTTTTTAGTTATGGGTAATGGGATCAAACTACTGTCTAATGAGTAAAATAAATATGCAGGTACCCACAGAATTTAGTTTAAACAAAAACTTAAATTAACAAAATTCAGAAAAATTTATTCAAAATATAATCCAAACCATTTTTTCTGAAAAATTTTCTGGTATTGCATGTAAAACTAGGCGTGTAACACAAAGTTACCACAAATTAATTCCATTTATAATATTCAAAATTTGAAATTGAAAATGAACATTTCAAAAAATATGCTCAATTGGGACCTTTTCAGTATTTCCCTATGGATTATTGTCTGGAGATTCATACAAAATCAAAAGGGTGAACTGCCGAAAAAATATTCCCATTATCATTGAGATTATCATATTTAATTGAGCTACTAGAATTATATTGAATATTTAGTTTAACAAATATAAAAATAGATATTGGTGAGTATCAGCTCTATAACAAGCTTTGTTAAAATATGGAATCGAACAAAAACTCCAAACAGCAAAAATATAAATAAGCAGGTATATGTCAATGAAGCAAAAACCTGAATAGAAGTTTCACTTTTAGATATATTCAACAAAAAATGCTTCAGGTTGACGGGCGGGATGTTAATAATCCATTGTGAATCAAAAAGCCAAATTTTACATTTGAATCAGCATAATCTATAACTTGAAATAAGCTATTTTGCAAAAAAAATTCTGATTATTGGAATATTAAAAGTGATCATTATCTACTTAAACTATAATGATAATAATATAAATGGGAATAAAATGCCAAATATCAGTAAACAGAAATACTATAACTAAATATTAATCTTGAAAGAGATCATTATGGTGTCAAAAACAGGGTTGGGACTTTGAGCCACATTTTCAAAGACTTGAGTCAGGTATTCAGAATTGAGATCATATTGACAAAACATGGAATGAATCATAGATGATTTTATCATATCATGAAACATAAATTGACTGGTCTGGTTACTTTCAATTATCTTGCTGAAGAATCTGAGACTCTAGTCATACAAATAGCAGTTGAACTGAACTCGATAAATTGGGCAGAAACTGAGTTAAATAGCTTTTCCCTGAGGGTCGTTTTTTGTATGACGATTATTTACGTAGTTCATTCCAAACTGATATTTAACATTATGTACTGGTCTACTATTGATTGGAAGGACCGGGACATTTCTGGTTAGAAATTGCCCACTCAAGTTATAATACCCCGAGTTGGCAGGTATGTGTAGAACCAGAAATGTGTCACGATGCCAACATAGTTGCTTTAACAACTAGGCCATCTCGCAACAATTACTCCCGACTGGAGAATTCAGGTTTTCATCCCAACCCTGGCTCTTATCCAATCTAATTAATTATTGTGTGAACTATATAAAATAAAAATAATTTAAAAATAGATACTTCAGTATATGTCTGACCAAAAATCTACTACATACCGTTTATAAAAGGAAATAAAACATTAATGCCTTGCTGAGACAACTTATTTTATATACCTTGCAAGGTTATAATGATAGATAAGAAAAACATAAAAATTGTCATTGGAACTTTTCCTGAAATATGTCGAAAAATATATAAATTTATATGAGGGAACTGAGGTAGAAACAATAATTTCTAGATTTAATATACGGAACAGCTTCGCATGCCAACTATACTGCGCCATGCACAACAAAATCGTTAAATTTTAAACCTGCCGGTTTGAAGGTGTACAATTGTTTGTACAAAAATTTGAAATTTAAAAATGGAGGTCAATTTTTTGAATTAAGCAGGAACTATTTGAGGATATTTTTACATGCCATCACATGGCATAGTGAGGTATATATTTGATATCATGAATAAAAAGAGCATTGCATTTTTATTGGTCGATAAAGGACAAAAGTCATTTGAATTTTTAGTCTTTTGTAGTCAGTATACAAGAATTCTGTTATTTCCGAAGTCAACAACTGCAATACCACCATCAGGAGCGACAGCAATCCCTGAAGGTCGATCCATCTCTTCAGATCCGCTTCCTAAAACTCCTCCGAGTATTGCGATGATAGTGCCAGTCGGAGAAAATATCTGTAAACGGTTGTTTCTGGAATCAGCCACAACGTAGTTTCCACGATCATCAATGGCGACACCTTGAGGTCTCAAAAATTGTGACGGTTGAGACCCTTCTGATCCGAGGAACCTTGCCGATTGCAGATCCGACTGTACAATCACTAACCGATGATTATTGAAGTCGGTTACAATCAGACTTGCGTCTCCATTCGTGAATGCTATTCCTCTCGGAGAATCAAAATGTTTCCATAAAACTCCTTCGAAGCCGTATTTTCCAATGAATTTTCCATATGGATTGAATATTTGAATTCGGTGATTGCGTGTATCAGTGACAGCAATAACGCCGTTAGAATTGGTAGCGATATCCCAAGGATAATAGAACTGTCCACTTTTCGATCCTCTTTCACCAAATGAGAACAAAAACTCTCCTTCGAGGGTGAATAGCTGAATGCGGTGATTATCTTTATCAGCAATAACAATACGATTATGCACATCTACGGACAAGCCTGCTGGACGGTTGAACTGTCCAGGGTACGAACCGGATGCTCCGAACTTACGAATATATTCACCTTTGGATGAAAATATTTGGATTCTATTGTTACTTCTATCAGCAACAATGAAATTTCCAGCTGGATCGCATGCTATTCCCCAAGGCCTACAAAGTTGACCATCTTTTTCTCCAGTTCCACCGAAGGAAAATCGAGGTGAACTGCCAGATGAAATGTGAGGTCTTGCTGTTTGGACAGGAATATTCAAAGGACTCTCTAGTATATCCTTCCCACGAATTGAACATGATATTTTATGAATTCCTTCTTGAGCAGGACAAAATTTAAGGCTACATGTTCCATTCTAAACAGTTTAAACAAAATCTATTTAGTATTTGTGTATTAACCCTAACAAGGGTATATCATGCTAGCTCGAGTATTTCACCAACTAGAAACTATATGACTAGGGCATAGGACTCATCTAAAATCATGATAATATCCTCTCAGTCTGAAAAGTTTAAATTATAACAGAAGTAACCTATCATTATACAACTAACAATACATGGCAATTTCATTACTCAGAGTATATATTTTTGTCATATTTTATATTTTATCAGAGCTTGGCTGAAAATCTGTGTGTGTGAGGTATAGTTTTCTTAAATAAAAGAATAAAAAAAACAATTATTTAGAATGATTTGCCTTCAAAACTTCTGCTTTCTCTCAACTGAAATTCAAGTGATAAATCAATTTCTTCATTTTAGTACAAAAAATAAGGGATTCCTTTTTCGAGCCGCCCTGTATATATTAATTTGAAAAAACAATTACACTCACATTATTTTCAATCACTTCGTGATGTACTGAATTGCCGTTAGGATCAGTCACATTGAAATGTAGTAAGTTTGTAGAGTTGCATGGTTCCCTGAGATGATTATTAATTGCAACTGTCAAATAGGCCATTTGGTTGCAGACAGCACCCTTGAACGAACTTTTGGAGATGGCAGAAAAAGTGGCAGATGCTTCACAGGATATTTTACCAAGTTTTCCCAGAGTTGTCTTTATATTAGGATCAGGAGGTAGAAAGGCTACAGATTCGTCTTCATAAGGTGAGGTAATTTTAGATAACTGTTGTTCAGTGACAACTAACTCTCTCATGAGAGTATTTTTAGCTGAAAGAAAAATCAACAAATAATTAGTTCAAAATTTAACAGAAATACATTCGTGTCAGTGTTAAGCAAGACTCCTGTCCTGAGTCATTTTTTCATCTTCAAATGACATATTCACAGTATATATATTTCGCTCTAAACAAGCCTCTTCACAAGCATTATTATAGCCTGGGTGAGGCAGTCGGCATCAGTGATTTAAACCTCTGATTTTAACATGTGATACGCCAGGGCTGGGCAATTATTTTTGCTATCGGGCCACATTGAATATTCAAAATGCAGTGGCGGGCCGGACTAAGCAAAGTCAACGTACATTGTATTTTATTACACATTAAATAAAACAAAGTAGGCCCAATATTGCATTTTGTTAGAATTTTTATTCTAAGCTTATTATTAAAACTAGTTCAAAACATAAATCTCACGATTTCGAGAGAATACATAGGATCAGAGAAACGGCGCGCTCGCATAACAACGCCGAATTTGATCATAAATGCCGAAGAGTAACAATGCGGAATTAGGACCATGCCTTCGATGGTCAAACATCGTGATTCATATAACTTTACTGGTATCATAGCATTTTTAATGTGAACAGAAAAATTTTATTGCATTGGAAGGCATTGCGAGCTTAAAAAGTTTGGGGAGCACTACTCTAAAATACCACAGCTATCTGCGGATATAAAAATGTGAGGTAAACTGCCGGAATATACTTAGTCGTGCGATTACAATATATAATATCACGATTTTGCAAATTCGACAAATCTGTTCTTTCAACACTGACTTCGCTCTGTTTTAAAGATTTTACCGTTAGAAAAATCCCTACGTCACCGATAAAACAACACCGAGTAAAATTCATTTTAGTACCATAAAAATCGATTGGATTTACTTTTTACATTAATTATCTTATATATCAGGCCCGACTGGTAGATTTAGAATTGATCAAAAGGTACATTGTACACACAATTGACTGCGTTTCGAATTCAGCCAGACTATGGCTTCGAAAGCCATCCAATTAAAATGTGTGCCGTGGGCGCATGAAAATTTTCAGTTTCCAATTTCTACAACATCGTTTTTAATCTGTCGCGAGCCTTCTAAATCAAAACCGGCTTCTGTTCAATTTTTAGTATTTTGTATTGCCGCTCTTTAATCAATATTTTGGTTGGTTGAAATTCACTCATTTATCTATCTTTAGCACCTCGTTGCCAATGATTATATGATAACTCGGTTTTTTCAATGGTTTCTCAGTTTCGTATACAAGACATATATATGTCTAGAGAAAATTGTGATTTGAGAACAATAATCACCGACTTAAAGGTGTTCACGGTTTAAGTAACACCTCACGCTGACGAAAACAATGAATTTTTAAAAACAAATTTAGTCAAACGTTATTACCGACTTTTTCATTATTCTAAAAATTTCTTTTGTTCACAGTTAAAGTTTATTTTATAAGCAAATAAATAAAGTGTGTAAATCTAGAAACCTGCTCGCGGGCCGGATGAAACATTGCCGCGGGCCGGATGTGGCCCGCGGGCCGCAACTTGCCCAGGCCTGTGATACGCTGATACCGATCATAACTAAGTTTATTGCTTCAACCACTATGCCACGTCACATTAAACAGAATAGACGTTGCTGATCCTTATTCTCTATTCCTGCATTGCAAGTAGGGATGGGACGAGTCCGGCATTACAGAGATTCGACAAATCCGAGTAATAGGTCAAGGACTCGAATCCTCCGAGTCCGTGACGTCACAATGTAAAAGTAGAAAAACACGTTTTTGACCATACTACAGCATCGCGCACTCACAAACATACGTCGTAGCTCATATTGTTTGCCTAATGGTTCCGCAAATAGCTGTTGAATCAATTTAAAAATACATTTTTCTTCATTTTTGGCGGTCATAATACAAACGTAAACGTGGGTCAATGTGCGCCTTGGCTGTGAATGCTTTCCCAGAATTCCAGATATTTCTAGCCTTAAATTTACTATGTCGCGTGCGCAAATGGTAGAGAAATGCCACTCGTCGTCAATACAATGCTTGCATTTTAGTAGTTCATATAAACGTTCCAAAACGCTCCATGCTTTCCATTGCTTCCTTTTTAGAGACAAGATTGTACGTAATAAACTTGATTTAAAGGAGGTATTGATGGGATTTCCTCTTGGGTTGATCCTGCGCATGTTTCATGTTTATTTACGCGAATCGAAAACTCAAAAATACTGCGCTAACACATATTTTATTGTGTACCACATGTATACCAAAAAAGATAGATAGTTTGAAGGCGAATGGCGCATCCTTGTTATAAGCTATCAATAGATTTTAACTTGCGTTATATTATTTGGATATCTGTCGTCGTTTTTATTGGGAGTGTTCATAATACACACGAGTGATATTGTTACATATCTAACCTTGAATTTCAACTAGTTAAGGTATGTAGTGAGATTTATAGGGGTAAAAGTACAAACATAGGCGTAAATTAGTAAAAACAGAGTTGATTATAGACTCTGTAAAAACGACGTGGACTCGAAATCGAATCAGAGTCCAAAAAATGCCTGAATTCGACTCGAACCCGGATCCGAATCCCGGCCCATTCCTAATTGCAAGCATTCGTCTGCCAGCCCAGAAGCACAGATATACATAAGTACTTATTACTCAAGAAACCACACAAATAGTTATGTACTTTAAATGCTGATGAATTTGCCATTCCTTTTTCCTAGTTAAGTTAATAATAACAACATATTCTTAGAACTACAAATAAACTTCATAATTAATATGAAAAAAAGCGATAACACATGTTTATTTTTTGGTAAAATTAGGCAAATTACCATGAACCTGTTCTCATGTTATATAAATATGCAATTCTGTCAAAGCAAATGTTATTCGCAAAAAATGTCAGTAACTCATTATTACCTTTTAATATATCGATATCATTTGAAAACTCAAAATTATTTTTGATTTCATCAGTTAACTTTACAAGTTTTGTTGAACGTTCATTTATTTCTTCATATTGTCTGTTTAATGCGTGAAATTTGACCTAGAAAAAAAAATCCAGATTAGGAAGTATGTTTTAGGCGAAACATTACACAACATTTCCTGAACTTTTCAATCTCATTACACATTTACTTTCTGTAATACAAATCAGAAGCAATATTTAATAGGAATTATAACAAGGAAAAGTTATATAATATTTGAAAATTTAATCAACGCAACACCTGAGAACTTATTTTATGCATGTAAATGATCATAACACAGCTGAATGTCCAATATAGTCAGCTGTACTTATCTCTCAACTTTAGTTTTCACAGATTTGATCATATTCAAGTTCTGAACACGAGCAGAGAGAGGCAATTTTTCAGGGAATGGATTGATGTTTTGTGGCACACTCAAAAGTTTAGGAACAACTGCCTTAGATTATTCAAATTCTATGGATGAGCATATCTAGGAGAATAACTATTTATTTATCTCTTCTCCATCCATGACCCATACCCGCCAAGGGCTGGCTGTCCTTATGAGAAATCATGGCCTGCCATATATATAACTAACTAGACCATATCAATTTCCCTCTTGCCTAGCTAATTATGAAAAATCTTAATCTACATTATTCAAATACCTTTATTGTTCAATGTAGAGTATTATCGCTAGGTTACCTGTTGAACTTTGTGAACGTTGTTTATGAGTTCCTGTTCTCTCTGTCCTAACAGCGACATTAAATTATGAAATACTGTTTTAATATCAACACAGATTGCACCAGTTTGCATCTCTAAATTTTTTATCGTTGCAAGAACATCTTTCGAAAGTTTTTCATACAAGTCAGTTTTAGCCCTGCAATAAAAAATAAAATACCCGAGCCTTTTTTAACATGAATCTATTATTTCAATTATCTATTAGACTAGATCCTTCAAATTGATCTGTAGCAAAAATCATATACCATGTATGTCCAAAGATGACCAATACCGAATAATTCACTATTTCGAATACATTAGGAATTATTATTTTTGAATACGAAATATCAAATATATATATATATATATCTCTTACAAAAATTCTGAACTCAAATCTACCATTTTCATGTTTTTAAAGAGTAAGGTAATAAGTAAAAAGAGCTAATGTTGCGCAGGGAGTGACAGCGTCTTATATAATTGAAAAAATGGAAAAGTTGCTGCTTGTCTTCATTATAACTATTGTTGTTTAGCTACTCGCTTGAGGTACCTGCCTGGGTATTTTGGAATACGTAAGAGTGTAGTGAAATATTTACTATTGTTTCTTATAGCAAAAAAAGTTTTAGTAATTGAAAAAATCGGTAGTCGAACACCAATCCTGAACGAATAATGTTTGACTATCGAGGTATCACTAGATAGCCAAATCAAATTACTGTTTATCTCAATATTCTCACATTTCCTAATTCAGTATAAAAAAGTATGTGAATGTAGATTGTTCAATTTTACAATTTTTCAAAATAATTACACTTATAATATTTAGCATAATATATTGGTTTGTATAAAATTATTTGTTAAAAATGACACATTTTAGAATATTATTAACACATTATTTCAGAATGTATTTGAAATAGTAATTCGGTTTTAGGGATTACATTTTACTACATTAATAATAATTCCATATAAATCACCTCTATCCCAAACTGTTAAGCCCGAGTATTGCAGTAATTTAAACATAAAAAGTAGGACAATACCTTGACTGGGATATCAGTGAGAGCAATGCAGTTTTACTGCCTTCCATAACTTGTTGTAAATATTGAATATTATGTCCACTGTGATTTAATATAGCACATTTGTTGCATATTGCCTGTGGAAAGTATGTACATTTGACATGTTCAATAAAATAGCAGTGTCAGCATAATTTTATGATTTGGCCGTCCCAATAAACAATTGCATGTCCCATCCGTAAACCAATGCTAAGCTAGGCTAAACTAGGGTCTGTTAAAAAATTGAACTTAATTATATAATCTATGTGAATTAAAAAAAATTCAAACAATAGAGATATATTATACAGTTTGATAACTTAAAATTTAGATAAGAAATGTTCGAAAATATTAGTATTGCTTTCTCAGAATCAATGTAAAACTGTATTATGGCCAGTCAGTGTTATACACAAAAGACCAAAGTGAAAACAGTCGGCATATAAATCATTCCTACAAAAATATACAAACTTCAATAAATTTAATTTTATTAATAGATTTACCGTTGCACACAGTTCGCAATATAACTGAAGAATTCCACCATTATGTTCATTGCATGTTTGTTGTGATGATATTGTATTGAATGTGAGGTAGTTAGAAAAATCACTTGAAGTGTCAATATCTGGATTCTGATCAAGAAACAATTTGATGTTTATTGTTAAAAATTGTGCAGATAAATAATTTGTTTCTAAAGTATTTGCTTGGAGCAAGGTAACGCGTGCCGCACCACTCAGAGTTAAAGGACCAAAATTATGGACAGTCACAGGAGACCTATAGAAATCATCCTAATGTCTCGTTTGTTCGCTTTAAATCAATATGACAATACTATTTGTGACTACAAACATTGGGCAGTGGTGTTTTCAAGATGGTCAGTAATCATTGAAGGAATAGTGAAGCTGCCTGAAATTAAAATTTCAAGTGGCCTAGCGGTTAAAGCTCTCGACTTGACCCTGTTGGCATCGCAGGTTGCACATCTCAGGTTGGAATCCCATGTCCACCACCTTACACAGGGTATAATTGTGTTGTCAATGCCTAACCGAAAAGATTCTGGGTCTTCCGAAAAAATATTAGTCCTTTATGCGTCAGTGGCTGCTCGTACAGAGCATTGTTCGGAGCAAAATATTTGAACAGCATTGTACAAAAATATTCATATAAACTATTGAGGCTTCCCAACTTTATAGCGAGTTATAAAATTTTGACATAAAAAACATACAGTATATTGGCATATAATAATGCAAATGACTTTTTTACCTTAATGCTTTTAATGGGATGATCCCTTGTCAGCTTCACTCTGTTGTGCGCAGAAACACATTTTGCACACAAATAATCATTACAATAAGAACAATATGAGGTAGCAGTAACTCCATCGTCACAATGGCATGAATGTCTATTTACAATTTCTGACGGTCTAGAGGAGTCCTCGGGAATTGAAAGATTTTGTAAAATTCCTTCAAGCAATGTTGCTGACGATTTAGGATCAGGAATTTGAAGTTGGCCATTGTGCTTTACTGGTCCAATTAGTTGGGGTGTCGGCGAAAATGACGACAAGTTGGTGGTTGGACTGGTTGCACCAGAAATGACAGACAGGGAGCTATCAGAGAAGAACTGTATTCCGGAGTCACTTGATAATGTTCTCCTGTTATGGCCCAAATTGAAAGCACCTGCCATGAAATCTAAAAATACAGTTGAATTATTTATTCTATCAATTTTAATAGGTTTCAACTATTGCGATATACTGATATAGGATATGGCCTTATATACTGTATATATAACAGCAGCATAATGGCATAGCCCATTTACATTGATTAAAGAATTATAAGAAGTCTGCTATGCCTGTATACAATAGACAGATAGATCTAAAATATGAAAACGAATAGGGCCTACCGGAATATACTAGGCTACGGTACATCTCCAGACCTCTGCAACTAAAGAATTTACTGTAGCCTACTCGCCCTACTGTCTGACAGCAGGACTGTTTGTGTCTTACGGTACCATAATGCTGTAATGATCTAATGACAGAATAAAAAAGGACTGCAAAAAGAAAAACGGTTTACAGCATTAGTTTATCCAAGCAGCGAAGGGACCTAGTTTGGTAGGTAGGCTAATTGTTACAGACAAAGAGGCCTGAGTTACGAAACATATTTATTGGAGACCTAGGTTATATATCTACACTTACCCGCTTCACATGCACAACATCCAAAAAATTGTCACCCGTGGCCCATTAGGGCAGCTAAACCAACTGACAGAGAAGAGAAACGAGCAAAGCCCGCCGCCATGAAAATCGTCTAATTCTGAAACACACATTATTGTGGTGTACGGAGTTCGAAGCATATCAACCGTTACGAATAATACGATGGTAGAAGTCAAGTTTTTTCAATCAGTAAAAACAATCATATACAATATTCAAAAAAGAGATAATCATAAAATTTTACTGTACAATGGAAGCCGTGGGAAACCAAAAGTGATTATCGATCAGCGACACCCAAGCTTCTGATTTAGACTTCTAATTCTAATATCTTATTAAAAAGATCGGATAAATTTCAAATATATATTTTTCAACAGTAAAAAAGGTAAAGTTCACAAATTGTGAGAAATGATATTTACAGCTATGGATGTTTCCCCAAGTAACGACTTCCTTGTTTACTTCGTGACATTGGCCAATCAGCAAGATGATAAAAGTGATGCATCCGCTCAGACACTTTTCTCACTCAGACAGATCTTCAAGCGTGGTCGTAAACAATGCCTCGTTTTCGCATTTTCGAATATTATTCGTTAGTTTTCAGTTGTGTTTTGGACATTTAAATATAAATCAAATAAGTCAATAATCACTTTGTCTTCCTAAAAGTTTCAGTTTAATTGCAGTAATTAAAAATTAGTGTAAAAATAGCTGTGATAGACTAGGCCAAAACTCTTTACCGATACTGAATGCTACGAATCAGAATGATGGTTTGAAACAAATACCCCATTTTACATTCGCAAAATTATTCTTAAATTAAGCAGCAAAATTTTTTTAATTTTAAAGTATCAAAAGGGGATCAAAGACCGGATAAAGGTTCATTGAGCAGCGATACCCAAGGTTGTAATTTAACAGATTGTATTTTTCTGTAGTTTAAAAATTTCTGTTATTAATGGCAACACCATATGAATTTTTCAAATTGGCCTACTAATATCGATTATTTGAGATAGATCATTATATACTAGAAATTAACATGTAATGAAAGTTCCATGAAACCATTAAGTTTAGAATGAAATACGATTAGAAAATAAAAATAGAATGGAAAGAGTCAAAGGTTAAAGTTGAGACACATATAAGTAGCCAAATGCAGTTTCATCGAATTGATATGAGCGAAATTGAACCACGGCCTCTCGTCCGGTTACCGGTTCATGTCGGGTATTGGGTTAGTTAGCCAGTTGTTTGTTATGTGCCTTTCTTCGCGTCCTCGCATTGCATTACATGCAAGATTTGCAATGATAAGAGCAAGGCAAACTTAACAGATTTAACAAGTGTGATAAAGTTCAAACCCAATATTACTAGCAAATTTTGCGCCTATGTGGTCTATGTGTGGTTTTTGAAAGAAAATAATGATAATATGAATGAATGAGAATAATATGAGTGATCTGGTCGTAGTCAACGTGATAGATATCTTTTTAAACAAAGAAAATTGAGAGAACTTGTGGATATCATATAAAGCAAAACATGAGTTTTTGCTATAGACTATCTGAATTAATCATGACCATTTTTACATTCCACTTCGGCAATCAAGTTCATCCCAACGCTTATGGTACTTAGGTTAGAGTTGTATAGTGTAGGGTTGTTGCTGTTGCTTTCATTGTTTTCTAGACTCCGCGTGCCGAGACTGCGCTTCCCTTTGTGTCCGCCTTAAAGTTTCTAATGACGTATAAAATCCTCGTTGTATGTTGTATTAAAGTCATCAACGATAAAACAGTATAAGATAGATAAAACGGTAAAATAACTTAACTTGGTTGGTTAAGGTGCGTGGTGTCCGAGAGTCCGAGGTCCAGTGTCCTAATTTTGTTAAGACACAAAAGCCAAAACGTGGCCAACGTCACGGGGTCACACGACCTGCGCCTAGGTGTCGCAACAATAGTATTATCATAGTATTAACTAGAGCAAATTTGTTGTTAGTTAGCATTTGTAGTAGTTTAGAAATAAATACCTAATTTCATGAAGATTATCAGTTGGTGTGTTGAGTTGAACCTAGCATCAATATATATGTTTAATTTTTTTCATTAAAGTAAGATATTTTAGAATTAAATGCAAATACCGTATATCGGCTTTGATTGGATTACAACGAAATAAGTGAATAATTTTGCTAAGCAATGAGTGCGCTTGAGAGACAAACAAAGAAGGAATCGCTCTCGCTCTAAAATAGTTCTCACGCAATTCCTGGTCATTACTAAATTGTTGACGACAAAATACGTTATAAAAAGTCTGATGTCGAGTAACTTAGGTTTACTAAGTAAAAATTTATAGTACACAGTAATTTCAGTTTAATTGTGAATAGAAATCAGTTTGTAGTGTTTATTTGATATAAGGTGTTAAAGGAATAGAAACTAATGTTTAACTAATTAAGCAAATTTTCATAACAGTAATGAGCTTGTAAATTCGTATATCATGATTATTGCAATTAGTAAATGTTTCGACCATGACATGTTAGATTCACGTTAGTTACACGCTATTCTCAGTATTGGAAACAGTTCTGCTTAAAAATAGACTATCGCGTATTGAATAAAATCCAACTTTATGAATAAAAAAAATTGAGGAGTCTTAGCCAATTTTGTTCATTTTAATTTTCGTATCGATTCCCGATATTGAAAGAGGAAAATAACTTTAAATGTTTCTTATGGTAACTCGTGATACCAAAGGATTATCAAGATTAATTACCAAGATTTTTTTTTTGTATTTACTGTATTTGTTTTATTCAAATTTACTGTGTTTTCGGCATAGTAGTCCAGGAAACATATTCAAGCATTTATAAACATAATATGCAACATTCCAATTTAAATATGTTTGGATAAAGGAGATTCTATGCAGAACATTGCTTACGTTCTTTTTATCACATGCAGTATCGACGAAATCGAAATAGGCAAATTTGTTTACGGCAAACTTGACCCACCGTTTAAAACCATCATTTGTCTCAATTGAAAAGTGTATTTATACATATTGGTTTTTAGATTATATTTACCATGATTTTTTACATTATTATGTTTGCCACATTATATTTAACATCAACAAAATGGACAGTACTTGGATCAAGAGTGTTAGGTGAGTACTCAAGGCGTTTTTTTTTTTCAGTAAAACGTATATATCAAATTACTTTTGGGATTCATTCTCATTCATTCTCAATTTATTCTTATTAACCCTTGTTCCTGCGTGAATTTATCTGGTACGAAACGGAACGATTGACTAAATGTCATTGACGTATGGTAGATTTCCTGAAGAATGTACATTTATTATTATTATTCACAATAAACTTGACAATATTATTATTGTCAAATGAAGCTAGTGATCATGACGTAAGAGAGGATTAGATAAAACTGACAATTTCAAAAGAGAGGCTAATATATACGCCGTCATACTTTTGTTACTAATGATGAGCACGTTTATATTTGAACAAACGAAAATTTGAAAAGAGTGCCAACACGGAATTTTTATCGCCTTCCAAGTTCATTATCATGTATTCTGCTTGGCTCTTATAAAATAGCACTTTGTAGATGGTAGATTATACTTAGACGTAATGACGCAAAACGAATCGCTTCACTTTTAAGTCGTTTTGGGAAATTACGAAGTAAGCATTCATTCAATTACTCGCCGCGGTGACCACTACCCTCTTTCTTTTCTTTCATCGCTTGTCAGTCAGACTCGTTTTACCTAAACTTTGTAATTCAATGTGGAAATATTTTTGACCTTGCGCATATAATATAGCAACAACACTCCTTGGTATAATACACAAACAATGTCGTATGTGAAAATGGGCAATGGATAATTAAATTCCAAAGTTTGTCATTAGATACGGACCGCATAAGCGATGAACCTCTGAAAACAGTAACAACCATTAGTCTTCAAAACGAAAGCAAGTCATTCGCTACTTCAAGTTTTCCATCAACAACTAGTAAGCAGTCTACTGATAGCGAAGCCGTCATCAAAATGGATAAAGTCGTACAAACCTCTAACACGTGGATTGGAACTCAAGAAGTAACTGTTTCTCAGGCTACGTCAACTACTTCATCGCAGGAATCGGCTAAAACTTGGGATGTTATCAAAAAGATCACCGTCGAACCGAATTCATTGCTTTCAGTAGCAACAGATAAAATAGGTAAAAAAAACTATTCATATAATAAAAAAAATTGTCTGTCAATATTCTGACATAACCCGCAAAATATGAATATTGAAAATGATTCCTCCGATAAGCATGGCTAGAAGCGGGAGTTTTTGGGAGAGGGTCCATGGTATATTTAAAAAATATTTTTTCTTTTTGTTTCAGATTTGAAACAATTTGTTCTTTCTGCGGATTCGCGTTGTGAAAGCCATGAGCAATGTGTACGACAAATGCAGATTGCCTTTCAAGAATATTGTGATAAAATTGGAGACAAAATTTGTGGGAGCTACCGACTGCGGGGTGAATTCAACTTCTGGGTTTGTCACAACCTCACTTTTGCTGTCAATTTACATTAAAACATCTTTTTACAGATTTTGATGAATGCTCTTTTTCAAACGACGTTTCTGTAAATAATTGTTCTGCGAATGCAACATGTACTAACACCTACGGTTCTTACACATGTCAATGTTATAAGGGATACGATGATTTAAATATCAATGATCCTGGACGTAACTGCAGTCGTGAGTTTTTGCGCTGACTACTTTTTTCTATTTGATTCAAATCAATTGATTTAACAACTGTGAAATGCTTGCTGTCATTAAGAAGTTGGTGAAACCTGCAAACTTACTTTTACAAAAGCTGAGGTTAAAATGGAAATATATGGAACACGAAAAATGCACTGATGTAAAATATACACAAATTATAGGTTGCAACGTTGCAAAAAATATTATAATAACAAATTAATTGTATACTTTCTAACAATTTCAATACGTAGCTGAATATATTGGACATTTGTAAGTAATACTACTGGTGTTTAAAATTATCACATTCTCTACAGAACGTTGTTTCTACTTCGACAATAAATGCTTCACCCTTTTTGAAAGTACCGAAGTAGATTACAAAACATCACAACTTGAATGTAAGGAGATTGGTGGTCACCTTGCCAATTTATACAATGAAAAACATTGGACAGATTTTTTGAAGTATGTCCGTAGTTATAATATGGGTTCGAAAACGACGGTTACGAACTTATTCCTGGGAATGACATATGATCCAAAAGTAAGTACGCAATTCTATAACAGGGGACGCTTAAACTATGTAAGCCAGGGGTTACCAAACCGCGGCCCGCGGGACGATTTCAAATGGCCCGCCGAACATTAGTGAAACTATAACCGTGAATAAATACTAACACGTTTAAAATTTAAATGTGTTCATCCTTTTACGTCGTAGATGCCGCCAATTGTTACGTCATTATCACAATTTAAGCACGTGTACATCGTAACAACTCAATTATACCGGTATCTCAACTTACGTACCGGTATTAGGATTGCGTACGGCAGTCTTTTAGGTATCACGTATCAGCCCTATATTAAGGAAGCTTGAAGATGTCACAAAAACGAAAACTAGGCACTGAAAACAGACGTTTTTTAGATGAATGACAGCGTTTTTATTTCTTTATTGAAAAGAATCAAACTTCAGCGATTTGTCGTCTTCTTACCAACAAAATATTTCAGTTCTGAAGGAATACAACATTATGCGACATTATGATCAGTTGACGAGCTTATTCCAAAATTTAATTCATACAAAAGTCAAACAAACATGTTCAAAAAAATTAGAAATGTGTAACAAAACAAGCCATAAGTAGCCATTCATACAATGCAAGATGAGCAAGTAACTTCATTAGTCACTATCAGTTGCAAATTACTTGTTGAAACGTAGTAGTATATATTTACGGTTGAAAGCCGTGCTTGTTATCTATTCCCCGAGTATTCTATCAGCTAAATATTATAATTATTGATTTCATCACATAACAAACTGCGATGCTAGGTGTATCTAAAATCAAGCTTAGAGCCTATTTTGGTGCCTATTTCTCAAAATTTTCTCAGAACGCTTGAGCGCGCCCTGAACCCCAGCCGTGTCGTCCCGCACTTTTCCTCGCTCCCCTTTTTTGGCCCTACAATTACATTCTGCTGTGGATTTTGGCTCGCGTCAATCAACTTGGGGGGCCCCCATGTAGCCTACATCGTTTCTCAAATACATACCATTTTTTTAAGAATACAAACAGCCTAGTTTTATCTCTAACAGCAAATTATTTACCACCCCCTAAATTTTGAAACACCCCCCCTAAAAAGAAAAGCTGGGGAACATACTGCAAATAGGGAGCTTTCAGGATTGACGTAGCCCGCAGTCTGATTAATCTCTGAAGTATTGTAGAACGTGTGAACCCGATTGCAAATTGTTAGAAATGCAATTAGTTACGAGCAGATATGTTCAGAATTTTATGATTTATTTCATGTATAGTTTGACCCAAAGTTACTCGAGACAATGCGGCCGGCCCCTTCGCACCGTTTCCGACCAACGGCAAGTAAACTCATCGCCCCAAGTCACTATGTTTGTATTTTTTCTCATGCTCCGTTTGCTTTTTGTATTTTTGTCTCGCTGCTAATCGGCTGTTAGTGTTTATAATAAATTCAAATTGGATTTCGTCGTTTGGACAGTGGTTATGTTATTGTCCTTATTGGGCGTTGTGTTTGCTATCTACTTATGCGATAGAATTTAGTTGATACTTCCTAATTCTATCTTGTCATTGCTTGCATGTTGGAATTGAATTTGTAATTTAATTGCCTCTTGGGTTGGTCCTAAACCTTATCAACTCACCTTCGCTGACATCCATAACTGATCATCGTCACCACCGACCACTACGTTACCCCACTACAGCCCATCTTGTTTCCTATTATCGCATATATTCGTTTACGTAGTACTTTGTCTACAAAAAAACTGAATTGTGTAGTTGTAAATGTCAATAAACCCGGCATGTAATAATAATAGAGCTGTTCAAATTTACTGTCCTAATAATATTTGTGAAGAATTTACTTGTATTAGTACAATTGACACCAATATTACTTTTTAAATTTAGACAAATGAAGTTTTCTATTACAACGGGACGAAAGCATCATCCTCCATCACTTCCAATTCAAATTTATGGCATTCGGGATACCCAAAACGGGATGCTGGATACACAATACTTCTTTTCACGTTAAGTAGTGGTGACAGTTCATCAGAGCAATATTTTACAAACGCGCGCCCAGACTTCATGGCGAAATATCTCTGCGAGTTGAACGTTCATTAGAAAGACAAATTGTCATGAATTCACATATCAATGTGATGTGTTCAATTGTCATGTAATCTAGAAGAGGACGCATATGTTTATGATTTTAAAACAAATAGTATTTGGTTGAATGTGTGGTATATTGTGATCCAATATTAATGTCTTTTTAATTTTATTCTGAAACGTTAAAAACTAAATTGTTTTATTATTTTTGGGTCATAGCACAAAAATTTATTTGATAAAACGTATGCTATACGCTTTGAATAAATTTTGTGCCAAATTTTCCTTGGTTTTAAATACTACTCACGTTTTACATATATTACTAAACGATAAAATACAGTTTAATCAATATACAATGGTAGCAGAATGAAAATGCAGGTTCCATGGGTATGTAGCGACTGTCTCCAGCAATAACCAATTGTAATTTTATGTAACAATTGGCTTTTATGCTAATTCTAAGCTTCAAACGGTTCGATGTTTGAATTTTATTTAGTCGTATACTGTATTTTTTTTTGAATATTCACGGCATCTTGCACTTTGGAAGAGTTGAATGTTGGCAACTAATAATATCTATATTTAATATATATATTTGATGTTATTAATTGCCGTATTGTAATTTTACGAAGAACAAGAAAATTGTGAAAATAGCATTGACTGAATCAATATTATAAATGGCATCTATCTGCAGTGCCTAACATACTATTTCATTGATTTGCAAGATTCGGGTCGTATTTGCTCCTCGAGTACCAATGACTTGACAGAGCCTTGTGGGGAAACGTCCCATAAAAATATGAAAAATCTTGAAAATTAACGTTGATATACTTTTATTAGGGAGCTTCACATAAACATCTTTTACGATGACTTATTTCAATTTATATTAATTTCGCATTCACGTGTTTAAAATCTTTTCTAAATATAGGGCTAAACACGGGAAAATCAAACTCTGTGAATTTGCATTACGTCGCAATTCCACCAACAATTAAGGGTTTCTGATTATGTAAGTGGAAAAAGCCCTCTGCGAAGCAGAACATTAAAATAAAAGCCTTATAGCCATCTCTATTTTTAACTCTCTGGCCGTTTACAGATTACGCAAAGGGTCGCAATTCATAATCTTACTCATCGGCATCGACTTGAATTTCCGCGTCTAATACGTACGCCTTCTTCAACTCTGTAGCGACTCCCGTTCATAGTTGCATAGCATGATTTCCTGAAAATTTCGTTGACCCACTTTATTTGGAATCTCCGATATATGAGGTCATTCTCTGTTGTTGCTGTTGTATATGTTTCATAATTAAAACATATTATAGTGTTAAAGTCAGAATCCAGCACGAAGTTAGAGATATGGTGGAATATTTGCTGGCAAAAAGGTAACAAGACAGATCGGGAGAAAGTCGAACGTTAAAAATAAAAGTATGGTCAAATACTAATTGCTATTTTACAACGGATTATCAGCCATTAATATGTTCAGGAGTATATTTATTTCTTGAAATTAACCCTTCTAAAACGCTTAATATTTATCTGGAATACAAGGATATTCAATACAAGATTCAGCACTACAATATCTAGCGGCCTACTTGAAATCGATGTTTACTTCACGTTATTTGCATTGATTAATGAAAATATGTATTGCATTATTCAAATTAATTGTATTCAATTATATCAATCAATTTGAACAGGATCAAAAAGATAAATTATATTTGACATTCGACTATTGAACTTCAACGCCAGGAGAGATGGTGCACGAATATCCTTTTCGGGTCAAAATTGGGAGAAATCAGTTGCCATCATATTACCCGTCTCATATCATGATATTGTGTTTAATTGGCGCCCATATCATATCCTGTATCGAGTAATCGTTCAATGGTCGCTTTGTTTGTTACTGAGTATTTTGGATATATACCAACTTCCTTTCCGCGTGAACGCTTGCCAATAAATGGTAAAAAGGATGCGGCAATTCGCAGTAACCGTTCCCCACTTTCCTGCCTGCAAAAGTTGTATCAGTTTGCATTGTTCCACGTCCTGAAAATCATGCCAGTTAGCCAGACATGTTTTCAGTTTCATGTGCATATTGCGAAGTGTTCAGTGCCAACCTTCAGATGAGGTAATTCGTTGCAGATTCCCAATTATGAGATATTATGGATTAGAGCAAGATAATTTAGTAAATAGTTGGTAAGGAAATTTTGGAGGGATGCCAAAGATAGTTTCACCAAATAGGAAAAATTTCAACAGTGGAAGTTGCCACCCATAGTGTCTCCAGGACTTTTGTGAAGACAATTTTCATTACAATTTAATGTCTATAACTGATGACGCATTTGTCCTACTACATCAGGGATGGCGAACCATATTTAATAGGTTTTTCAAAATTAGACTTTTATTGTGGAAAAACAAGACTGCATACATGTTAGTCAAGTAATCAACGTTTGCTTTGAGAAGCCTGCTGTTGCATCTCTACCGCAAATCTTATAATACTTGGATGGTATTTTAAATTTTTTTCGAGATTTACACATGTAGATTTTATATCATGACTGGGGGTTTATAAAATTATGAGCCAAAGCACGGACTTGCACGCATAGTATGGGACGAGGGTTTGACAAATCTGAGAAATATGTCAAGGACGCGAGTGGAATCTACCGAGTACAGAAGTTGCCGTGCGTGGCTGTTCAACTATTTTAATATAATATATATTTTTTTTTTCTACTGATTTTTTCTTCTAATACATGGACAAACGCCATTGTTTTTAATACCGACTTTCGTTAATTTGAGAGCCTTTTAGCACATTTTGTGACGCCTCCGTTACGTGAATATTCAAACCATAAACGGGAATTCGTATTTCTAGTGGTATGCAAGATCTTCAGTTACTAACAAAGTCTCAATTTGAAATAAATTTAATGAATCTATACTTTCAGAAAGGAACTTTACCAACTAATTTATTTTGCTATATTAGTTTTGTGTCGTTCTGAATTCTTGCAGTAAACATCAGTCAAACTATACCTCGAATAAAACGTAAAATTACTGAAATATAGAGAGCTTTCTGTGGTATGACGGTCGTTAGCGACGAAAGAAAAGTTTTTTTTTATAAAGCCAATGTGATACATAATTTTGACCATATATTGTTTTGTACCGCGCTTTAAAGATGTCAACGTACAGAGCGCAGGTGTCAGGTAGTAAAAATAGAATTGAATACGGATAAAAAAAAAACGAACTCCATCGAATTCTAGAATATCCGAATCTCAGTATATCCGAATATTGTTGGATTGAATTGGCGGTAATTTCTATCACAGAAATGTCACTATGTTTTTTGTATGAATTCGTGATTTGGCGGGTCACGGGAAGAACTTGGTGGATCAGTTTGTTCCCGCGGGTCAGCGGATCGCCATTCCTTTACCAGTTATTGCTCATAAGCAACTGACCGAGTATCTTTTTGAAATATTTTCACACCTGGCAAAATGGACATACGCATTAATTCAACTATAATGTCGTAGATAGCATCTTTATATTTTCCCGGGGAGCGGAAAATCGTCTATTTACTACCCCACTTTAGCCACGAGATAGTAAATAAAAGGAAGGATAAGAATAACCACAATATCTATTATTATGTAAAGCATTTGGCTTTCATTTACACTTTGCAAATTCTCAAAATAAGTCACCATACGGGATACTGAATGACTGATATCATATTGCAAAATAAATTGCTCTATTCAAATCTCTCCAGAGGCAGTGCTTATTTATCTTGTTGGCGTATTTCCTGTAGGCCTATTTGGTATTTATGAGCTATCTCATTTCAAATAAACTTTATGCTGTGTTGAAAAGCTATAGCCACCATATGAAGATTATTTAACCGTTATTTATATTTTCAGAATTATTGATTCATCGGTATACTACATTAATTAGGTTAGTCATACATATACATAAAATACTTTCCTGTTTGGGAAGTGAAAATAATGGAATCTGTCGTAGCAATAATTGCTTTCATCTGGATGACACACTTGGGATCTTCCGGTGAGTATTTTTATATATTATAGCGTTATGCATGTGAAAACAAACCATGGTGTTTTATTAAAACTTAGTTGCTTCGTTCTGAGTTCACGTCTAGCAGTGTTTTGAAAGAAAAGAATAACCGGGCATTATCGTGAATGTGTGCGACCCTCATGTGCATTGTATTTGAGCATTGCTCTTGTTTGGCATGAATCTTTATCCCAATGGAAGATTACAGCGCAATAAATCCACCCATTATTGTTATCAGGCTTGATACTTTTTGAACCTGGTCACAATCTTGGATAACCCCGACGCTGTAAGCTACCATTGCGGGAATCGCTGTAAAGTCGTCTTGAGTAAGCATGCGGATATAGCACCGATTTGTCATCTATATTGATGTACAAAATAACACCAAACAACACAATAATATCTTCAATTTTGTTTTCATGTAAATATAGATGAACAGACAAACGCAATTTAGGATTCATACCAAGTTTTCATAGAACCATCGGACTTCATTCTTACCTATAAATTTCTTTCATAAACTATAGTTTAATTATAGTTTTGTGGCTCACTCGTGTTTTGTATGTTTATTGGAACTCCAACACGACTAGCGCCATATTTTGTTTGCACTTTTAACCTCGGAAACGACCAAAAAGTTGATCCCATATACTCTAACTTCGACGTAAACCGCTGGTGGAGTGCAGTATATTTGTTGGGGTTAAAATGCCGCAGATTTTTCGCTTCCTGTCATCATATATTCTTTCTCTTTGTCAAATTTTCTTGGAAAGACGGCTGGCTGTATTTGATATCGATTATGTTTAATCGTACCGTGTCGTTTCAGAGCGGTAGTCCTTCCCGCTATTTTGAGAGCCGTAAATAATATTGAATGGCAGCGCATGCTGATATTTAGTCGTTTAATTGGTCTGATCGCGTGAACGTGTTATTGAGAAGCGATTGTTAGGTTTCCTAAGCTTGTGTGAATTTCATCAAACGAAATATGATCCCGGTATTTTAAAGAGCTAATTTCATATTATATGTATATATATCTTATGAATATTCGGATCTTGTCCTATCTAAAGAGTTTTCACCGACATAATCGCCTGGCGACGAGAACCCAGGAATTTACTGTCAGTGTATCTGGCAACAACAAAAATTATGTCAAATGTTATTCCAAGCTTCAAGTTATGTGTAATACACTACATAGTTGCATATTTCACCACCATAATAGTTTCAGTAACACTTCAGTCATCACCCGTAACTTTGCTAAGAGACCAGAATCCTTTTGACTTAATGCGCGTGACCTTCGCCCTTCTAGCAAATATCTTATACTTGATAAAGCAGAAGTGTATATTTTACTCGTTTTTTGTCCTTGTAGTTAGTATACCAGAATGCACCGTTCCGTGAAATTTGTTTTGGCTTGTTTATCGTGAGGTTAAGTCAGTAGCATAAAATGCATACATCGGATTTCAAACTTTGCTTTTATTTTTCAGCTGACGATATCAAAGGATTGCGTATAACCAGCAAAGATTTTGTATTCACCGCATCATGGGAGCCCGTAGCTGCGCGCAATGAAACTGAGTCCGACGACTCTACACCGACAATGTACACTCTGTCTGCGTATGGGTACGTTTTTGTCTATATTAATTTAAAGTATTCAATTTGACGAAAACGTTTAGATGAAAATATTACTTTGCAAATATAAAGCGATTCTGTTGAACTCATTTTCGAGGGCAAATTTTTTTTTCTGTTGCACTGACGTGTTGGTACCAAAGTTGGAAATGTGTTTTGTATGAGTCGATTTTACACGTCAGTGCACGAGTTTGACTCGAGACAGATTGAAAAATGTTAATAAAATGTTCAAAATTGTTCTTTTCAATTAATATGGAGTTGCTGTAAAATTTTTGTCATGTAGTCATTGTGGGAAAACTGAAGTAAGCTTTCATAAATATAGCGACATATAAACGACCGTTGACTCAGAAAGAAAAAACAGAATAATTTTGTCGTCGACGTTAAACTCGACATGTCATTTGATTTGCAGGCTAAGCAATCACAGTAAAGACTCAATCTTTTTTTTTCAAATTACACGGTTTTAATCTAAAAATTACATTGTGGGAATTGAACACAATAAAACATGCTATTATTGATTTCAAATAAATGTTAAATATTAATTTCAATTTGATATAAAAGGTCGAGTCGCAAATTTGGATAAAAAGTATGTAATAGCTTTCTATCAACTATTTCTATCTTCAATTCCTGAATTTTTTGAATTCTATTGGGCTGCGAATAAAACATTTTTAACAACAATGATAACAACAGCCAACCACACCAACAATAACCAGAACAATTTAACAAAAAGAACTAAAGCTTCACTTGGTGTCCGATAAAGTGCTTTGTGTATTGAATGAAACTTTTGGTAGTCAGTACAAAATAGTTATTATTTTTTGAAACAAAAAAAATTGAAACTTTAGATTATATTTTTTTTTTATTACATATTTCAGACTGAATGATTCGTCCGGATTTGCTCCCGTTACCAATTGCGCGAACGTAACAGAACACATCTGTGTTATTGACCCTGATATTTATGACTTCATTGGAAAGACCCATTGGAAATACAAATTTAAAGTGTATGCATCGAGTGGAGATAAAGCGGTTGGGGAAAGCTCAGTTGTACAATATGTTCCTTTCAAAGATCGTGAGTTAATCCTATTATATTATAACAGGAGGGAATGTGAGTTGTAGACTTCGTTGCCTAATTTGACACGGAAGGTAGGCCTACATATGGAGCGTTTTGCAAAATTGTTGTTGTTGAATAAATCGCTTTTCTAATCACTTCCAGTATTTACAGGTAGAAGAAGTCGATAATTTCTCCCAGTCCTATGGGGCTTATTATTAACACCAAATTTTGCGTAATTGGCGCCCCACGTAGATGTACGTCATACTAGTTTTAGTTACGTCATACATTTTATCTCGAAACCTATGTCCGATATCGAATGAATTACTACGACGGCGGACTTGGATTGTAATTTTTATTTTAAGCATTTTATCGTAAAACGAATTTTTGTGTAGGTCACATGTCATAGAGCAGGAGTGGGCAATTACTTTCCTGAGTGGGCCGGATGCGGATAATAGACTGGATTACTGGGCCGGATGATCAAAACTCAATATGATTAAAAACGGTTTATTTGCAAATTCGCAACTCGCAAGTTTATCAGTCATTAGTCAATCGCCTGCCCGTTTCACTAATCGCGTTTAAGTGATGTAAAGCATCAGGTATTTGCAGCGGGGGATATAGTAAATAACATTGAAATATTAGCGTTGAAAGAACATTGAAAATGTCATGAGTACAGATAGAATAATTTAAGTACTGTAAATCATGTACTGGACCAGTGGTTCTCGAACTTTTTTCGCCCCATACTGTACTTTTAACGTTATCATCGCCCCCAAAAACTACAACAAAACATCAAGTTACAACAAATTTATTGGGAATCAATCAAGAAATATTAATAAGATAGAGGAATTTTAGTCAGGTACAATCAAAAATCATCATCATTATTACCATCAAATATGATGTTAGAAATGAAAGAATCATTAATTTTACTTCGTCAAAAATGTCAGATGACTTGCGATTACTATATTTTCAGTACATTCACAGGGGAAACGAGTCGTCGCGCTTACGACATTCTTTATAATTGCCTACTTTGTCACCGATGATGATTTTCTGTTGCGTAAAATATTCAGTTCATGGCCGATACGAGCATTAAAATTGTCTCGCGATATTAATTCAATCATTTTTAACGTGAATTGCCGTTGCGCCGAGTTACAATAAATGAAAATTTCACTATTCTGAAATACTACAATCTGAATTTTGGTTTAAGATAATTTGAGAATATCACCGTTTGCAAAATCCCGAAGTCTGAGTACAATTTAATACGATAAAGTAAAAGCATTATAACTCTAATGCAGTAAACTGGCGCCGCACAAACAAAATGTTTGGGAACCGCTGGACTAAGCAATAGTTTCTGATTGAAAATTTCAAGATAATTTAGTTAACCGCAGTGTTCCCTCTAAGGTGTGCGCGTGTGCGCGCGCACACAGATTTCAGAGGCTGCGCACACGCATAGATTTACTGCGCACAGACGTATTTCGATGTAATGTAACAATACGCTCGGTTGGCAGGTTGAGAAAGTTTGTTGTTGGCCCACTTATTACCCGGTTAGAACATCAAAATTTCTTCATTGGTTTTGCACAAATATTAGTCATTCCCATAAAAGTGCGCACACACCAAAATTTCTGCGCACACATACTACAAAAAATTAGAGGGAACATTGGTTAACCGACATAATTTCGATGTTCTCGGCTTAATACCTTCGTCAGGAAAAAAAACAATCGGTGTTTTTAACTTAATTTTACTCACTGAGAATGCGCAATTGCCCCCTGTCGCCCCGTTACTTATCTCTTTTGCCCCCACTTTGGGAATCGTTGTTCTAGATTAAACAAAAGGAAAGAACATATGTTGGGGCATTCACAAACGCACGAAAAAATTTGCAGGCTCAAATGCTGATATATCAGTAGCTTGAGTTTTTTTAATGACTTAAATGATTTGGATGGATGATTTTTGCACATCATATTCAAGTGCTTATAATACGGGAGGAAATACGGTATTTACTTTAGCCGACGATCAGTTTCAATTTATATCATCGATATTTTCAACGGATATTTATATTTCTAAAATCTATGGTCATAATTTCAGCCGGCACGAGTGGGCCGGATGAAACACTCCGGTGGGCGAAAAAATTTGCAGGCTCAAATGCTGATATATCAGTAGCTTGAGTTTTTTTAATGACTTAAATGATTCGGATGGATGATTTTTGCACATCATATTCAAATGCTTATAATACGGGAGGAATTACGGTATTTACTTTAGCCGACGATCAGTTTCAATTTATATCATCGATATTTTCAACGGATATTTATATTTCTAAAATCTATGATCATAATTTCAGCCGGCACGAGTGGGCCGGATGAAACACTCCGGTGGGCCGGATCCGGCCCGCTGGCCGTAATTTGCCCACCCCTGTCATAGAGTCTATGACATAGACCATAGATTGCGAACCATTGGCCCACCGTGTTTTTCGGTGACGCCAAGTCCCGAATTAATGCAAAAAATACAAACATATCAGTGATACAAATTGGGTAAACTTGTGTATTACATTAGCTTTAAAAAATCTTTAGCATGGCGGTTCTGCAGTATTTTGTTTGGAACTGAAATTGCAATCCCACTGAGTTTTAAATTTTGCATACCACTGAATTCAAAAGGAAAAATTATGCCGCACATGATTTCATAAAGTCGAGTACGAGAAATCGCCTCAGTCATGACATAGCTGCAGCATGTGTATTAAATGTTTCCAACCAGGGATGCTGTAACAGCAAGTTTTGCATTGATGCAAACTTCGATTACATAATATTTATGAAATATATTCTTTGACCCATTCATGGAAAAAGGTTCGCCATCCCGGTCTTAGACCAAGAGCACTGCTCTACTGCGGCAAGTTATTTGACCTTTGGGCATTGCCTTTTTATTTGTGTTTAATGTGATATCTTCTAATAAAACGACGACATAAATTTTAATTTCGATTATGCAAGCTAAAACCCTCGATAGTCCATAATTGTGTTACCTCCGTTCTTGTTAACACTCAAATATATCTTTAAAATCTATTCAAGTTAGCGGTAATTGAAATCGCTAAAGATCAGGTGATATACATCGGCTACAACATGAAGATGTATTATGATATTATACCGTCGACTTATATATATTATTGTATTTTAATTTAGGTTACATGGTCATATCTCCTCCCGAAATGAATATAACTCGAGATGGCAAAAACATTACAGTGTATTTAGAAAGTCCTCTTCCTCTGTTTAATGCGCATGACTCTGCATATTTTGAAATTGAAGCATTTAGAAACGACTCCTTGGAAGAGGGATATACATACACGGTAAAGACTTAGTTTTTCAATACTATATAACGACGTTATCGTCGGGTGTAAACATTTTTGGCAAGAAAATTTGGAAATGAGACCAAGGTCACCTGTGACCACTGTCTATATATAGTATTTTCATTTTCTTATTAGACTACAACCGTACCTGGAATGTCGGACAATATTGTGAGCTGGATCACCTCTGCTCCTCAGAATGTTACAATTTGCGTTAAAGCAAGATATCTTTTTGATATCCATTACAAATATGAAGGGCAGTGGCGTCAGGTAAGATTATAATTCAATCAATTAGTAAATTTCAATTTCATATGTGTAGGCAGAAAAAATTAGTCACCAAACCGTACCATCTGAAGAAGTTTTGTGGGAACATTATATACCAAATGTCAATCCGTTATAAAATTTGGGATTGAGCCGACAGAAACCTTGTATTGAATAGCTCTTCAAAACTCGTGGGGTATAACTATATGCCAGAGATGGCAAAACTTTTTCCATGAATGAGTTAAAAATTTTACTTTCATTTCGGAAAAAAGACTGTTGGCCATAGATATGTAATCAAAATTTGCATCAATGAGAAATCTGCTGTTGCATCTTTTTAACAAATCTCCTGTTCGAAAACTTGCAATATTGAGCATTACACATGCCACACTTATATCACGACTGAGACGATTTCTCGTACTCGATTTTATGGAATCATGTGCGGAAACATGGATTCCCGTGCACACTATGGAGGTGGGGCGAGTCTTGTATTTAGCAAATTCGATGAACTCGAGTAATATGGGTCAAGAACTAGAGTTGAATCTACCGAGATCATGACGTCTATTTGAAAACGCAGTCATCGTAATTATCTCGTTTGTATTACGGCAACGACTGGGTTCGACATCTCTGTTTTATGCTATATATATACAACCTACAGGCTTTCTCCTGCCCTGAGACCAATATGGAAAATTATATCCCTCGTATCTTTAAATAGAATTTTGAGCGAAAGTCTTTTTCTTCAGAAATGCATTCGGGAACTCATCCAAAAAAAGAAACCAGAAGCATCAACAGATGATGTAAATTTATCTGCAGAATTTGGGTAAGATCTAACTTAAATACTGTACTGTAATAACTGATCACCACATGGAAATGTCTGGAACAAAAATGGATTTGTCAAAGCATATAATTGAAACTGTGATATTTCAAAAAATTGTATATTGTATCGTGTCAACGGAAAATGATAATAATCATTTATGACTCGAGACGACGAAAATACGACTCCACAATCACGTTCAAAATTTTGCATTCGATACCTGAGAGTTTAAAATCAACAAAAATATTTCTAAATCAGCTTTTACGAATATCAGCAGGCTGCCGACTCTGGTGACAATAGCAGTTCTTTTCGGAGTTATAGTTCTTGTTTTGCTGATCGTTGGATTCAGAATGCTTTTCATAAAACATTATCGGAATCCATTTCAGGACCCGAACTTGACATTGCCCAGAAATACAGTAAGTACTGTTGTTTTTATTAGTCAAGGATTGTTTTGTGCTCAGATTGTCTGGATCGGCGCCTGGCATTGTGCTAAGCGTCATGAAAACGCTTTTCGGGGGTCCAACAAGCAACTTGACATAGCCATTGGACGGTTACGACATTTCCCACACATTCACCTCACCTTTTCTCTACCGCGAATATAAATGAAATATTCCCATCTTAAAATATTTGATCAATTCACAGGAAAGGCACCATAAAAACTTGATTGGGGCGGAATTGTTGTTGTAGTAAACCGTCATCATCTTTCAATAAACTTACTCAACAGTGTTTTCGAATATTCAAGTGGCTGCTTAATAAAAAGCTTTGAACATCGTGTTTTAGGTCATAGCAACTAATACAGATGAAAATGATAAACTGGTCATTGCCGTGCAACCCCCTGAAAAATATGACAATATTAGAGCCAGTAGAGAGTCAAGTAACAACAATTTGAGTCACTACGAAAACGATGTTGAAAATGCTGCGTCAACGGAACTGTTCATCGCTGGATCGGATGATACTGAACTTTCAACACCGCAACAATTGCCCTTGATAAAAATATCGCCAGTCAGAAATTTCAAAATTGTCAATTCATTGACAAATAGGAACACTCGTGTAGAGAGCGCTGATTCGGCATTCTGCGATGGCATGTATGGTCTCACTTTGTCTGAATCAAGGATGTCACCAGAATCGAATAGCGACCGATGCAGTCCTTTACACGAGTCGCCGGGTTCTTGCGAGTCTGTGTTCATGGAGGACGAGGCATACATCCGTGTTCCATTTGACTTAGTCCAATCAAACTGAGTTAGAGTTATGACTATGTGTTAGGCAGCTTCGTTTGAACGCATGTTCCAAACAAATGAGTCATCGAGCGCAAAATTGAAGTAAACGAATACATAAGATATATATATTATCTTCCGAATTCTGCGAAAAATATATTTCAAGTTTCCCCGTAACACTGTTTTGTTTGCCTGTATTAATTTCGTCATAGAAGTTGCAACTTTTAATCAATATATATTCTTTTACTGATTTTTATTTAACAAAATTGTTGCTGCCATGCTAAATGTTTTGGAGAAAATGAATGCAAAATATAAATATGTACTAAAACATAGCAATTTTTCATAGCAATATAAAACAATTAAATCCAAGGTGAATTCAAAAGTGATACATTTAATTGATAAAAATGCATATTTTGAAATTCATTCTTTTCTTTCAATTTCGTGATGCAATAAATATTCAGAGTACTTATCATCAGAGTTTCTCTTTGCAGATTGTCTTTACCGCTTATAAGAACAATAGCATGCTTACGTATTGTCCTTGAAGATTTTCAACCAGCGTTCCAAAAAAAACTTTCATGTGTTCCGCGTCAAATTGTTGTTCCGCAAATTTTTTCCTTGATTGCCATATTATTTTATGAGAATATTTTACCGAGCAAAAGGGGTATTTTATTGTAGCAAATTTTATATACATAAATAAAAACTGACAAATGGCACACAAAACCGAGCCCATTTTTAGCCGCTCAAATTTCAATTGTTACGTAATTGTTAAATTATTGATTATTTATATCGGCCCCTGTTAACACAATAAACAAGGCATTCGAAATCATTCATCAACAGTGTGACCTCTGAAATTCCAGAATCTCATTTTGGGTTTTATTAACATTATAAAAGAAATGTAGTTAGCCAGTAAAATTTGCCATTCGGGGCAATTTCAAAATGTTATGTTATTTATAATACATAGCGCATAATATATCAAATTAGTATTAAACTGAGATCCGTTGAAGAACAAAGATTATTTGTCTTTCCTAATTCCCTGCCGGAATATAGGATCTGTGCTCAAGGTATCACATCGCATTACTATTTTTTGCTACTAGCAGTCTATCTTGATAATTGTCATTGATATTTCAGCGTTTGGCGACATGTGTATGAAAATCGTTTATTTGTACTGTGTCTGTACTGTTGTTATTTGTAGAACTGAACTTGAAATTTTTTACACTGTTTCCCAACTCGAGTCGGTAAAAGCCATTAGTGTTGTTTTTTTGCAATGCCAAAACTGATCGAAAATATTAGTTAATTGGATAGTTGCCGGAAAAACTTTCGTTTGGTGTTCCGCAAAAGTGTTCGGTGGTTTGAAAAAGTTTAAAATCTGCTGGGACTCCCCACAACATGTTTTGTTACCAGGATTCCATCGTCAACGTTCAACGAGCGCAAATTATATAATTATCTCCTGAGAATAAGGACTAGCCGCTAGTCACTTGCGGAACAAATTACCAAGAATAGATAAATGTAATCTACCATTTATACGATTAGGCGCATAGTCTTGAAGAATATTTCATATTGACCAGAAATAAGCTTACAATTTGAACTGGAATACTGACGTTCTTCAAATCATGGGAAGTGGCAATACATCGTTGTGCACTTTGCTGGATGCTGCTAAGTCATTTTGTCCCGAATTCACTGTTAATAGAGAACAGGCGATACAGATCCTAAAGAAAGCGGGGCGGGCAAAATTTACACATTTTCTTGACAAGAGTTATTTTCCCCACTGATATCAATATGTACGATTTGATCGCTTAGTATCTACTAACCTTTCACAGGGATATCACGATCATATTCTTGGACCGATAAATAGAATTCCAAAACAGTAAGCACAACTTTATTGCGAAATAATTTAACTGGAAGAACTTTTTCCTACGTGTACCGACTTCAAAATCTTGAGATATACACCTTGAAAAACTTCCTACTGATTACTAACATACAGGAAACAAAATTGAATAAATTTCAATGTTTCTGTGTATTATTGGTTGTCTCGCCACAACAAAAATAATAACAAAACATGTACAAAGATACAAAACATCAGTAACACATAACAGTAACGAATGTATGTTGGAAATATCATGCAAAGGCGAACAACTAATACATGACACACCAACACTAATTCAACAATTCAAATACAAAATTTCAGACGAGGCGAGAGGGTACTATTAAACAATAAGTGTGTAAAGTAAATAATCTAATGTGCATTTTGTATAAAATATTTAAATATTTGTGAGAAGACTTTTTAATAACAGTTAAAAAATCAGACAGTAACAAACGGTTGTTTCATGTTTGAAAAAAATTTTTTTTAACGATTTGGATATTCAAAATTATCACTTTTAGATAATTTAAATTTACAAACGCTGCATCTCAATTCAAATATAAAGAGGAAATATATTTCATAATAAAAAGTAATAAAATTGTTTCCCAATAACACAATTACTTAACTTTCATTTTAACATATTTATATGCAAACCACCCTGTGTACAATACATTTATCTTTCGAATAATAATATTTTCAGATTCTACACATATAAACAAAAAATAACAAACATAAAAAAACAGTAACATGATAGAAATCGTTTGTACAAAACAAATAGTATAAAAATAGATTTTCAATATCTTGGTCCTAATTCAATACAATGCACAAAATCCACCATCACTCAGTCTTTGTAATATAGTACAAGATAGTAGAAGACACAATGCTCAACAGATCAAAAATATTTGAAAGAATGTATAGTAACATATGAACAATTGGTTGACTGTATAATTAATTCTTTTATCAACAGAACAATCGGAGATAATTTAAAACAATTTTAATGAGATATCTATGGTAATCCAATATATCTAATACCCAAATAGAATCTTTCCAGCTTTACATTGAGACTTACTTGTAATTCATTATTCTCTTTATAACAGTCCCCAAGTATTTATAATGTAAAATTTGACAAAGTATTTAATACATTTAAAGTTGCGAATATCTATTCCATAAATTTATTCTATGCATAATGTCAGACATAAGAATCTACTACCTCACCACTAAATAATATATAAATTTGAGGTTTTTTGATTCATTTGAGTTCCTGTGAACAGTTCTTTCTGGTATTATCTATGTTGCTAAATTAAAACAAACAGTGACTATTAAAAGTTTTTATTAGCTTCATCCCAAAATTCGATCCACGAAGTATAGATCATTTTGCTACATTGTTGTTGTTATGTTAAAGTTGCTTTTCTCCGAAACTAATAGACCAATCTATTTTAACTTATGAAAATCTAAAGACGCAAGAAATTACTAAAACGCTATTACTCTTTCAAATTTTTATGTCATATTTGGCCTGATATATTTTGTAAATTCCTGGTCACACCGTCAGATGGCGTTGGTTGCAATTCTTTTAACATTTGGCATGAATAATATTGCTGAAACAGGGGTGGTTATATTAGTCGTAAGACTTTTGTGTTCATATTACCTAGTATTTGAGCATCACTCTTTTGCACATAATCACAGTAATAACGAGTATAATACGAGCCAGACACAGTTGAATTATAATAACTGTCACAATGAAAAACGAGATTATTCAGTGTTCAAATCGATAAAATTTGTGTAATAGTATGAAAGTTGTTGAAAATCGATGAATAAGGCACTGTGTATTCTCGAAGTTTGGAGTCAAACTGAACCACTTAGACCAGAGGTTTCCAACCTGAGGGACGCAACCCCTTTTGAAACACTTTTCAGGGCATTAAAAAGTACTTAAATGGTGTCTTAAAAGCAAAAAAAGGTTGGGTACCACTGACTTTGACCATTTTTTTCAGGCATGATTTACCCACGGTTCATGTCTGATTTAGTGAGATAAAATTTGATGTTGTGAAAGGCACAAACTTGAAGACAAAAGATGTGTTGTTGAACTATATAAATGTTGACACAAGGTCGAATTAAAACAATTTCAAGAAATAATCGGAAGTATAGAAAACGTAAATAAAATATTTTAAAAATTAAAAAACAAAACGTTGCTATATTTATAATCACTAATGAAATAATTTAAAAAAAAAAATTTTGATGAAGAATTAGCATTCAAGTGTTGTTGGAAGTAACCTTCTATACCAAATTTCACACATGAAAAATGTTTATCTTCAAAATATATGTATATATTAATCATACATGTGACTAGAATCTACCATTTTGCTACAATTGAACAATTATTAAACCAGGCAGGTTATGTTGACTCAACTTCAATTTAAAAATATAATTAGAAAATTTATTCATCAATACATAATTGAGACATTGGCACATAATACTTTAGAAATGAATAACACTGTATCATGCATGGGAAATAGTAAATTATTAATAGTCCAAGCATGATCTAGCTACTTGTCATCTAATATTGTTCTGATTTGTTCAATGAATCTCGTAAAGATCGGTACATCGCCCTTGATTTTGATCGGACCAGATCTGAAGCTTTTTCAGCACGAAGTAAAGATCGACTGAGCTGTGGATCAAGGTAGCTTTGATGTAGAGGTGGTACAGAAGAGGAACGCTTTACAGAAACAAGATGGCTCCTTAAAAGAAAAAAACATATTGAAATATTTAACAATTAACAGTAATGAAATACCTACACAAGACAATGAGAATTTATGAATGCTGAACTTCAAATTACATAAATAAAACAAGGAATTGAACAACCATTTTTTTTCGTGCCAAAACGAATATGTCTGAAGAATTTGATTTAAATAAAATTATAAATTAGAGTCATTCAAACAAACTATTTTTAGGAATTATTTTCGCATAGATGTCAATATGAAAAATTTAGATTACTAGCAAAACAAATCTAGAACATCATATAGCAAATCTAGGTATTTATATAGAGGGGGCAGCAAGTGTTAAGTCTTCAGAAGGTGGACATGAATCACGGAAGTACAAGAACCACTGCTCTATACTGTTATTTTTAATAACTTCACTCTGGCCACAGATTTTTTTTAATGTGTTGAAAAAAAAAGAAAATATAACATTTTGCAGCGGGGTTGATAGACTGTATTCATTAAAATACATACTTTTTTTATAATATATCTTCAGCAACCTTTTTTAACACTTCTTAAAATTTCATATACTGTTTGAACTGAACACTAATGAATATTATACACATACCGTCTCAGAGGAATATCATTTTCATCAGATTCATGTTCCACAATAGAACTTCTTCTTGACGATCTTCTACTGGTACTACGTCCCCTAACACTTTCATACGGAATGGTTTCATGCATATAATGGATAGGTGACGGTGCAGGCACATAAATTCTCGCAGGTGAAGAAACTGCAGCTGTATACATGGGGGGTGGTGTGGTGATATAGACACTGCCCATACGGGGTGCCACAGGAGTTGCTGGTACCACAGTAGGGTAATAGTAAGCAGTTTGAGGGCGAACCATGGGACCAGGATAG